CTACAGCATGTTCATTCTGGGTATGAAATATTGAAAAGTTTAGTGTTTTTACGGTACTATTTTTATGATTTTATTAGGTATTAGTGTTATATGAGTAAAATAATCTTAGCATTTGTTTTAAGACTTTGTTTTTTCAATTTCAATACAATATTACACTTCTTTTTACCATCAAATGTAGAAAATGAAAGGTAATGCTTTATTTTATCACTAAAATAAAATATAATACTTTATTTCACCGTAAATGTCGACTACATTGTATCAAGAACACTATCTTTTGTCAAAAACATTACCGATAAATAGTTTTGTACCCACATAAATTGACAATAACTTGTTTTTCTGCCGCTTGTGGCATGTATTTTACAATATATTAGCTACATTTTCAACCATTTTGAAATTGTGAATTGTACAGTTGACAGTTGTAACTTTAAATTTTATGTTGTCAAATGCACAACTTGGATGTTTCGTAACAGTTGCCAATTGGGCTTTTGTATTATTTTCTATTACAATGTTGTGCTTTAAGAAAACGTTTTTATTTTTGTGATTCGGGCACTCGGAAAAACTACTACAATATCGTTTAGCAAATTCTACAATATCGCTTAGCATCTACTACAATATTGTCTTTCTATAAATGTTGTGTCAATGTTATGAAAAAGCTAGTGCCAGAGGAGATTCCTATAAAACAAGAAGTGTTATTCCAAAGAAATAGGTATCAAGTGGTCAACATAAACTTGAATTGCGTTGTAAAATAACAAGTTTTATTGTAGCCAACTTGACTTTTCTTCCTCATTACTTGATACCAAAATACATTTCCATGGCTACTTATATATATACCTACAATTTGTGGGGCTGTATGCATAAATTAATGTAGTTTTCGTTCATTACTTGAGGTGTCATATGAATTTTATACGGTTTACTACAATTTTCTTAAGGTTCTATCGATTTTTAGTAGGATTGTAGGTATCAGTAGTAGAATTTTAGCGTCATTTAGTTGTATTGTAGTAAGATGTAGTAGAATTGTAGTCAAAAGTAGTGAAATTGAAGCTACATTTCGATGGTTTGTAGGTAGCTTTAAGTAATGGTAAACTACCGTCGTATGTTGTGTTGGGTACGAAATTGGATGTTTGGGTACAAAGTAGCATGTTGATTTGGGTAGGAAATTGTAGTTTACTTCCCGTGTCGTATCTTCTTTGCCTTGTTTATCATTCTTGTTATCTATATTGGAGTGTAGACCTCTGTACATCTTTCTGTAGCTTTTTGTAGGATTTTAGTAGCTTACGATAGTGTTTTTCACTTACAATCGTATCTTTTTCTAAGAATATTTGTATCTAAACAAACAGCTTCTAAACGAAATCGTATATTCCTCACACATGTTACAATAACACTTGAAAATGGCCTACGATAGTTGTCATTTCAAGCTACAATAACTTTTTTCATAGCATACAGTAGTTGTCATTGCAAGCTACAACAACCCTTATCGTAACCTACAGTAGTTGCTATTACAAGCCACAATAATCCCTACATAAGCCTACAATAACTGTTATCATAGGCTACAATTATTGTCGAAAATCGCACAAATACCATACCACGAAATGACAATTATACAGTCGAACACTGGTATCATGTGCAGGGTACAACATGTAATCTGGGAAATGTCGAATTTTAAAGAAACCGCTTATTTTGCATTTTCGAATATGTTATCGCGAACGTCGTCATGGCGACGAACACCGCGCTTTGAAACGTACATCTTGTTTTGTACGTGGCTGCGCGAGGAGCGGGGTAGGGGCTTTTTTGGGAAATTTTACTTTTTATTTTTCTGAGGGTATGATATCAGGAAATGGCATAGGCTTTTTTATGTAAGGGTAGTTCATTCAAGGCTTGCTTGTTGGTTACTGATTTTTGATAAAGATCTTGTTGATATTTTGATGATATGGCTAACATGAGCTACATTATCCTTTATTATTGTCTGTTTTTTATTCAAAATCGTCTTCACATCATCCTAACTGTCTTCCACAATCTAAAACAACCCCCTCTACTCCTTATAAATAGAATAATATCATTAGAAATTTAAATATAGTCTAGTATAACATAATATTTGGTTAAATATAGAGTGAAAACCTCTAATAAATACCTAAATATAGACCCATGACGACCAATATTACATTTGAAATTAATTTTACGTCTTGGTAAGGAAGTTTGCCACTGTATTCTGGTTGTCATGGCGCTATAATTGTACAGTGATTGCTTGCAAAAATGTATATTTAGGAAGAAATGCAAAGTAGGGTTCTATTTGGGGTTTTATCATGGTTAAAATCGTCTATGAACAATGTTTTTTCTTGATATCACTTTCGGAGTTGGGGGCGCTAAATTATTTGAACAAGCCAATATTAATTTTCGTTTATGTCTTGGGCTTCTAAATGGACTTTTTTCATGTTTCATATCGAAGGTAAACCAGGGTTCAATGCTGAAACTTTAAAATTCAAAAACATTCCTGAATAGTCTCATTGTACCCCATTATACCCAAAACTCAACTTGTCGCTCTCGTGAATAGAAGCCCAAATATCCGGCTATTCATGGGTACAGTAGGATAAGTAACTTTGTCGCCTGAATCACTCAAATTCGTAGTTTAATATTAAAATACAAATTCTGAATTATTAAAATAACTTGAATTATTCAAGTTCCGAACTCGAATTCATACCTTTTTTGCTACTTAAGTTATTCAAATTCAAAAAGTTTAAATTATTCAAATTTGACACAAAGCGACTAAAACTGGTCGATTTCAAATTCCGGCCAGATGTTTTTTAATCGAATTTGAAAGAGTGATTAGACTGGGTAATGATACCAACATAACATAGTATTTTGTGTTATTTTGGGTGGTTTTTGGAAAGGCGTGGTGAGTGGAAAATATTAAATTTGGCGTAATATCATAGATGAGTGGCATAACTTTTTGAATTTTGTGATAAAGGTTTAATAATATGAGTTATTGTGGTATCTTGTTATATACTAACATAACATTGATATAAAAAAGTAAAAATGCTACGATTTGAAGTAAAAACACTTGTAAAGCATCTCTTTACTTCAATAAACATATCTAAACGATGAAAAACTAAAGGTTAATACTAGAAAATGCAAAGTTTTGGAACATGTTCGTACTGCCATGGTTAATAATAAAGTAGTAGTCAAGTTGTAAGAAAGTAATTCTGCATAAATTTAAGGCGAGAATAATTAAGAAGTGAGTAATATGACTACTTGGGATTCGTCTGGGATACGAAGTAAGTGTTATTAAGGAATAACAGAGTAGTGTTTTTTTTTGTCTTCGGAAAGTTAGTACGTGATTTTCTGTGGCTAGAATATCACGTACTGACTTTTAAAAGCACAGAAGAAGACCTAAAGTACGTGATAGGTATATTGAGTTTTGTAAAATACGATAATTGGCCATCTTGCTGGTAGTAAATGTTATAATTTAGCATTTCGATGTTATACTTGATAGTATAGATTTTTCTGTGTTTATAAAAACTTATCGTATATTTTTGGGCTTTGTTTATCAATATCTTTACTCTGTGTTTTCCAACTTTTCACGTACTCAGTTTCATCTTCATAGCACCAAAAATCCTCTAGTATCTCATTCAGTCATGTCTTCTTTCTCTACTTTATAGTATTCCTCTAACTTTCTCTGTCTTATAATACTCCTCTATTTTACTCTGTCTTATCCCTACTCTATACCCTATAATGTCCCCCTCTACCATCACCCCACACTATCTCCCCAACCTTATTTACATACCGTCCAATATTCGAAATTTCGTATTTACCACGAAATATTTACCCCGCCAAATGAGTAGTATACAAATTAACAAGCGGTATTGTATGATGTCTGAAATTGTAGTATTCCGGGGGTCGCGGTAAACAAACCGTACATACAATGTGTGTAAGTACAATGAGCAAGTGTTTACAATAACCGCAATTTGGATAATTGTGCACGACCGTGTGATCTTTGTCTTGTCGCAATAACTGTGGCATTGCTTTTTGCATCAATTACCGCGTGTATTTTGAGTGAATTTGAAATTTTTGGGGCTTATTTGAATAATAATGGCAGTATTATGGGATAAAAAAGGGTTTTATTTTAGTACTATATAGTACCTAAAAAATCAAACTTTTCAAGCCAATAATATCCAAAATCACCATAGTATATCCTTATGAATCCATAATGTAAAACCTTAAGAAAAACGTTTTCATATATTCCGTCTATATATAACACATGATAGTTCATGTGCATATTTCCCACATCACATCCCCCACGTACTCAAAACAAGCCCCTACTTTCAACGTTTTATTTGCTCACTTCTGTTTGCTCAGTACTCTTCGTACTATTAATTTTAAATTTCAAACAAGTTCCCTTATCCATTATATTGTCTGTATAATGGGTAAGGGAACTTGTTTTAGGTAGTCCTAGAACTTTTTGGACTAATTCTTAGGATTTTTTGAATCATAGTACTAAAGTATGGTCTATTTTTGTAGTTTGGATAGTGTACTAGTTAGTACCGTTTGGGGAGGTGCCACTTTGCTTCTGTAACTAAAGTCACTACCTAAGATATGTCCCATACCAATATGTTTTCGCTTTGTAACACCAAACAATATCACTTTTCCCCGTCCCACCGTACTTACCGAGTACTGTTTGCACAGTACTTCCAAATCAGCTGGACAATCTCCTTCTTCCCCCTTCCTAATACTGTTTGCCCGGTTCCCAGGGTACTATTTGATTAGGGCCGGCCTTCCTTGATGCCGGGTTTTATATTCAATTTTGCCTCCTCTCCAGCGTGCTGTTTACTCAGTACTCTCCGCGTTGTCGCCGGTCCATTCCAGCACAAATTTATTCAGTTATTCAAATAACTTACTAACCAAACACAGCGCTCGGTCTGTTTGATTTCCAAACATTTCATACACCAAGGTTTAGTTCCATTGGGTTTTCGTATTTTTGGGGGTGGAGGGGTGTTTTAGAGGGTTTAATGGAGGAAAAGGTATATTTAAAGCACTTTAAAATTTTTAATTTTAAATTAATTTTGAATTTCACGCCCTGGGGGCATAAAACAAAAATTTTTATTTTTTAAAATTTTTTTTATTTTTTAAAAGTACAATTTTCGAAAAAACACTCCCTAGAGTTTAATTTTAGTATTTTTTCTTTCACCCCTTAGGGACCAATATTTCGAAAATTTTATTTTAGGCCTGTGATAAGGGTTATCGTTATTGGTCTATGTTTGGTAATTAAATTGTTATCACAAAAGCCTGTTACGTAATTTTGGTGATAATTTTGTTTTATGAGTGTTATGTTACTCATTGTCCTTGAATTTTGGGATTTTTGTTTGCTTAATGTCATCGATAAGGTCATTTTTTAATATTTTTAAAATTTTTGGGAGTTTTATTTTAATTTTTGAAAAATAAGGTTTTTATTCATTTGATTATTTAAAAATGGCACAATTCACAGTACCGTACTCAGTGTCGTTCAATTTTTTATTATCAGTACTAAATTTTTTAACTTTTCAATTTTTAAAAAAATTTTAACCTTCTCAAATTTCAGCTACAGAATTCGCACCTTCGACAGTCCAACCTGTCGAACACGCTCGCCCCCACGGTTCAAGCGCCGTCCGCCGTTCCGTCGGGCTCGTGCGCCGCCGCCGCACAACACAACGCCACGGCCGCGACGGCATCCGCCACCGCCCAGACGCCACAGCCGGTGAACCCGCCCGCCGCCGTCGCCGCCAACCTGCTCGCGGCCAGCGGCATCGGGATCGCGGAGCACCAGCGGCGTCTGGAGCAGATGCTACAGTTCCGCAAACCCTCCGAACCCATGGGCATGGTCGGCGCCATCCCTCCGCTCAGTATGTCCGCACTAAATGGACACTCGGATCAACCACAAACCTCGGCACATGCGTTGGGTACGCCCTCGTCTTCGGCCGGCACTCCCGGTGCAGCTGGTACCCCGTCCGCATCGAATGGACCTTCGCGGCCAGGATCGGCGGCTAGACCAGGCTCGACGTGTAGTCAACAAAAACGGTCGATTTCAATGGCCGACCACCCCTTCGCTGCCGCCTTGGCCAACGGTGCCACACCTAACAAGCAGATCAAACTGGAAGAACAAGTGGAAATGTACCAGAAACAGTTAATGGCCCAACGACGTGCCCCACCCAACCCCACTGCCACGCCCAACCCACTGTTGCCACAACAACTGCAACAAATGAACTTCCAACAACTTCTAAGCCAACAAATGAATGGTCAGCTAGGGCATGGCCAAAACGATATCCGCTTCGCCATTCCCCAGCATGTGGTACCAATGGGTATGCAACAACGAGTACCGGCTTCATCAGCCGCCACCTCGGCTTCGGAACAACAAGCCGTGGCTCACATTCAGGCCAGTCTAGCCAATATTCATCCACAGTTAATGCAACGAATGGGGTTAATGGGACAAGCTGCTCAGCTGAAACAGCAACAACCTTCACGACCAGCTACTGGGATGCAGATCAAACAGGAGAATGGAGCCTTCCCCAATGCACCAGACTTTGAGAAGACGTTGAGTCAGGCCGTGAACGCAATGAATGCCATCGACCCTGCCTTGTTGAACATGACTTGTCAACCGGGAATGTCAGGCATGCCTAGCTTGATGCAGAATCTCAACCCTAATGCACTTTCCGAGACTCAGAAAATGGTAAGCCACTCTTATTATTTCTTTGCCATTTTTGGTCAAAAAATGAAAAATAAAATTTTATTTAAAAATTTACACACATTTCAATTTTTTAGATTTTGCAACAACAACAACGTTTGCAGCAGCAACGCCTCCTCCAACAACAACAAAGCCCTCCAAAGCAACTAAACCCTCTGGCTTCTTTAAACAACCCCCTTCAAGCCCACCTCCGACTTCAAGAACAAGTCGTGAAACAAGCGATGAATGGCCAAATCAAGGCAGAAGAACAACGAAAACTCTCGCTAGCCTCACTACAACTCCAAAAGACCCCGGCCGCAACTCCAGCAACAAACCCCGGAACCCCACAGTCGTCGCACACTCCTCAGCGACAACTTGCTTCCAACCCCGGCCCATCCACGCCAAACCGATCTCAACCCCAAGCCGAGCCCTCTACCTCGACCGCCGCCACCACCCAAGCCAATCTTGCCAGTCAGATCGCGCATGCCGCCGCCACCGCCGACAAGGCCGCCTTCAAAGACCTGTACAAGAAGCCGGCTGTCTGGAACTTCATGCACATGGATGTGGGCGCGACTTTGAGGACACTGTTCGAGGACGATCAGACAATGGACGATGGGTCGAGGGAATGCCAATTTTGTGGCAGTGTTCCTACTGACGAAGAGGCAAAGGAGGAGAAGGATGAAGAGAACCAGCCTTCGACTTCAGAAGAAGCGAAGTCAGAAGCCAAAGGCGAGAAGGATTCAACGCCAGCGAGTGCTGGAGGTTCATTGGTGGCTGGTACTAGCATGACTAGTCCACATAATCAAGGTAAGGATTATAGTTTTGAATACTTATGATGCAGGTATCAATTTTATCACTTTTTCATAAACCAACTTACTTGAAAGAAAACTTTGTTACCTAAAATTACAAAAATATTACCTAAATTTAAAAAAATGCCATTCTCGCCCATTTTTTGGCCATAAACCCGACCCAAACCCTATTTTTGCACGCTACAAATGTTTTTTTTCGAAAAAAAATTAAAAGTTCTCATGCCGTTTCGAAACGTTTTTTGTCCAAATTTATGACACTTCACAGGGTCTGCTTTTGGAAAACGTTTTCTCCCCCGCAGGGCCCATTTTCGACAAATTTGAAGCCCAAAAAAACCGAATTGCCCCGCTCTTAAAACTACACGGCCCATTCAGCCATGAACACTCATTTTAGCTGAAAAAACGCGTTTTTTGGCCCGGCGTTTTTTCGAATTCATTCGGTTGGGCTAACTTACAAATTGTTCATTCAGGCCGAATACGACGGCACTGCAACAGTAATATCGCAATTTTTTGGAGTAAACGGGGCTTGAAAGTGATAAAAATTATATTATAGTAGATAGACTTTCATTTTTTATATAGCAGGATGTAAAGTGTCATTTCCATTATATTGTGTTGCCTAAACTTTTATTTTCCCTATAATAATTTCCCATTTTCAGCCCAAAACCGCCTGACCAACTTTGTGCCCTTGTCATCCGCCACATCCACCCCCAACACGTCGCAGTCCAACCGCACCCCTCAGCCGGGCCAGCCCTCAGGCCAGACCCCGACCGCCCAACAGCCACCCCAGCTGCAGCCAGAAGTCTCGTTACGTGCCCAATCAAGTTCAGCACAACAACCCGCTGCCTCGGCTGCTAACCTGATGAGAGCACCAACGGTCGTCGCCCAACAACAAGCTCAACAACAACGAGCAAACGCTGCTTCCTTGACTCATCAACAACAACTTCAGAGAATGATGGGACTTCCAATCGGAATTCAGAATCAAGCAGAAGCCTTGAGGCAACAACAGCTTTTGGCTGGACTTACCGCAGCCCAACAACAGGACAAACGGCTTGCACAACTTGGCCCAGCCCAACAACGAGCCCAGTTCCCGTTCAGCCAAGCCTTGGCCAATCAGCAAAACCGCACTCCTCAGCCTGCCCGGGCCTCCACCCAATCGGCCCAATCCTCATCGGCCCAGCCTAACCTACAACAACATCCAGCGCTAAACGGCCTGACCCCTGAACAATTGCGACAACAACAATCGTTGCTATCTAACCCAATGCTGCAAGGGCTACTACCAGCCAACGGAATGGTGACTCCAGAACACATTACCTTGTTGAATGCGTTGTCCCAACAACAAATGCAACATCAGCAACAACAACAACGTCTGGAGCAGGAGCGACAACGTCAACAACAAGTCGCCGCTCAACAACAAGCCGCCACCAGGCAACAACAGCTTGCCCAACAACAAAGACCTGCCCAAACGCAACAGAATCTGCAAACTCAGCAGAATCTACAAGCCCAGCAACAGAACCTTCAAGCTCTGCAACAACAACAAATGCTACTCGCTGCTGTTGGTGGACAACAACAACAAGGCAACAATGCCGCGCTGCTACAAGGTCTCAACTTGCAGAACCCCACTGCTCAACTAATGTTGCAGCAACTGGCTCAGCATCCTCAAATCAACCAGCAACAGTTGGCTGGACTAGGATTGCCGGCCAACATCATCGCGGCGTTGCAACAACAAGCTCAAGCCCAACAACAGCAACAACAACCGCAACAGGTTCAGCAGTTGCAACAACAACAGCAGCAACAGAATCAGGCCCAGCTACAGATGCAAATGTTGCAGCAGCAACTCGGACAACGTGCCGGACAACAACAGCCTGCAGCTCAAGCAGGTGGCAACGTTGATGCTCAGATAATCGCTCTATTGCAGCAACAAATGCAACAACAACAGCAACAACGTGTAAGTTGGCCGTTTATGATGGCGTCGTATCGATCTCTGTAGTAGTTTTTGCCCCTTCGTATCTTGTGCTATATGTCGTGTCTTGTATCTTTAGTTGTGACTATTGATTTGTAGTTGGTATAGCTTGTGTTTTCGGTCGTATTTTAGTATAGTTTTTAGCTTTTTGATCGAATATTAGTATATTTTTTGTGTATTTTAGTTAGTTTTTTAATTATAATGTGAACAGTACAGTACCTTGACAAATTCTACGGGCTATTTAACGTATTTCAAGCTGTTTCAGGTAAATTACTATCAAATTTTCGTAATTTTACGGGGATTTATTTCACTCTAATTGAGTTTTTAATAATTTATAATTGATTTTTTTAATAATTTTTCAATTTAAATTGATTTTTTAATAACTTTTGTTATAATTTCAACGTTTGACATCTTTTCACAAATGACTTCTACAATAATATTCATACCCATAACTCTTTCACTCATTTCATTTTTGGTGTTGATTGTTGTATTTTGTTTCGGCTTTAGTTCGCAATAAACGTGTTTGATTTAGTTTTGCTTTTCTCTTTTTTTAAATTAACAACTACCCCCAGGGCATTTCGGCTCTTGTGTGTTTTCAAAAACAATTTTTTAAATATTTTAACATTTTTTTACTTTGTTTATTAGTTTTTTGTGATTTGTTTGACCTTTTTTATCAGTTATTGGTGTGAGTAATTTTGAGAATAACATAATATTGCACTAGAGATTCCTAAAAATTTTCGGATTTTGGCTTGCACAGTGCAATCAAAGTCGTAATTAAATAACTGCACTGTGCCATAAATCCGAAAATTTTTGGAACCATCTATGACTAGTACTTATTATCTCTATATTGTAAAACGTATTTTACCCATATTTAAATAAAAAATAATTTTGAAAATTCATTATTAAAATTATAGGCCGAACCAACGGCTTCCACTGCCAATTCTGCACAGAATATGGAAGCGGAATTGTTGAGACAGCTTCAAGGTGCCAATCCGGTAAGCGTTTCACCAAATTTTAGTTTTTAAAAATTAAATTTTGAGGTCACATTTTGAGATTTTATAACCACTTTGGGATCCCACCCATACCTTAACCATACCAATTTTCAGAGCCTAAACCAGTTGATTCAACTCCAACAACAACAAAAACAATCTCAGCAACAACAGAGTGCGCAACAACCCGCACAACAACATCAACCAGCCGCCTCGAACGCGCAACTTCAGCAACAAAACCTGCTGCAAATGCAGATGGCTCAACAGCTTCAGAATCAAGCTCGCCAAAGCGGCATAAACCTGGGCGGAAACTTTATGGACGCAGACATGTTATTGGCCAGACAAATGAGCGGCCAAGTCTTACCCACCGACCTCCAGACCTCGAATCAGGACAGACAACGACTGACCGAGCAACATCGCCAATTCCGACAACTTTTGATGGCGGCCGCGAACACGGCGCCAGACATTCCGAACAACGGCCAATTCAATGCGATGGCCATGAATGGGCAGCGACAGAATATGCAGGCACAACAGCTGAAGGCGGCCCAACAACAACAACAACTCATGGTTAATGGGCAGCCGATCAAAAAGACCAGCAATGCTTACGATCTGATGAACGGTCAACGGTGAAATGGCATTGGTCAGCTAAGGAAGCTAGAGATGAACAAGGTGGACATGCAGCTAGCGATAAAGGATTTACAAGTAGACATAGAACTTGACCGTGACCGGCTGGGTTGAGATCTGTCAAAATATCGGTTCAATATCATTATTATAGTTCTTATACTGTAATGGTAATGATGACAACACCTACAAGTTGTCTGCGATGCACTCGTCAGCAAAGTCTACTAAATATTACAATAGATCTGTTCTCGGAACGTTGCCATAGTCGACATGTACCAAGTGAAACATATTGCATGTGTTTTACTATCGCAAAAACCTGAGCTTTCATATCAGTTGCTTCTGGCTTTGTGGTCAAGCTTCTACTCTTAACTATGATGAAGCCTCTACTCTCAACTACTGTCAACTCGATAGTACAACAATCAATGTGTATTAAGGGCAAAGTTCGAGTTTACTGTAACCTTTCCATTCATAATCTAAATCAATCTTGAAGGACATCACACACACTACAGTACCCGAACCCACCCCCGAACCACACTGACCAAACCTAGGATTTACAACAATTATTTTCTCATCCAAATTTCTTGTTATCAACCTCAAATTGTCAGTGTTTTCACACGTCTTAATTCGTTTAAATTATAAACAAACCACTCCAATTGCGCCGGGTATTTTCGTTCCAAATTCTCTCATTTAATTATGTCATTTCGTACCTTGGGTTCAGAATTTCTATTCTAATAACATTACAGTAGTCTTTGTTTTCCTTTTGTTCAGTTGGAGCTGATGATATAAGGAGATTAAGGGGGTTTAAACCTTTAAAACTTAGATTGTTCTTAAATTGGATTGATTTTTGAAGCCCTACGGCAGCTATGGCCTAAGTAGGGTTTCTGGGGCACTGCAAAACCAAGTAGAATGTTTTCAAGTTATCATGGTTTCTTTAAAAATTACTTTCTCCAAGAAAACCTTACGCAACCCCCTTGAAGCTTACACCACCCACTTTAAAGCCAAACAATACCCTTTAAAGCCCCAAAAACCAAGCTCCAACCGAACCCAAAGAAGCCTTTACCACTTAACTGATAAAGCGCCCCTCGTCTTTCTATGCAAATCTCCAAGAGTCTAGCGTGCGCCCCCGTGAAGACCGTGATCTCTTTCTTTTGCACAAATTGTTTTTGGCCTTCTTTGGAGCGAAAGGAAACTTCATTATTATTATTGATGACATTGTTTGTTTATTTTTGCGTTTTTTGTATATAAATTATGATCAACATGATGTTTGGAGGTTTTTGCTTTATTTGAAGGGCAATTATTAAGCTTTTAGTATTAATGATTAGGTTGGAATAGGTTTCAAAGTGATACTGATAAAAATGATACTAGTTCAGACTGCAGAGGTTAAAATAAAATATTTGGTCGTTCAAAAAATTCTGTGCCCCTAATCCCGAAAATTTGATTGATAAGGGAAGCACGATTATTTGAACAACCTACTATAAAAAACAAAGCATTTCTACAAAAAACGCGCCGAAATCGAAAGTAAATAGTGATTAAAACACAATAACACTAGCCCACATAACCAAATCTGTTTTAAAACAACACATTTATCCATTTGAACTTAACACAACATCAAAACAATACCAAAAACCAAATAAAATTAGAGAAAAACACAAAATAAAGTAAGATCAAAGTGAAAAGTAACGTTAAACTAAAGTTAACAACAAAAAAAATACAATTTAGATTAGAGACGGTGATTACAACATAGAATTAACATCTGCAATTACAATTTAACTTAACCATATATCGATACAACAAAAAACTTAAATTTAACCAAAAATCGACAGAATATCTTAACCACATATCGATAAAACACAAAACATACCTTACCATATACCAATAAAATAAAACAAAATAAAAAAGTTACTATCGTTTTGAAATAGTTAATATAACGTTATTAAAGGGCTAGAAGCTCTTCCAGGGCGGTTTCTTGGGCGTGGTTCTGTTCGGGTGTCCACTTGACGTACTCTTTTTGGATCTGGAATTATATTAGTTTTAAAAATATTAACATAAAGTAAAAAAATTAACATAAGATTTTTTACAACAACAAGAAATATATAAGCAGATATTGTGTTCCAAAAGTCTTGTCATTTTTATTGCACAAAGCTGAATTAATGACACAACTTTTGTCACACCTAAATTTACCATAATTTAAAAAAGTGTCTTCTCTGACCCCAAAAAGCCTCACAGCACATAAATCAATATCACCCACCTCATCACACAATTTGCGAACCTCCCGGTTGAAGATCATGGCCGAATCTCCGCCGACAGTCCATTTCCTTTTGTGCACGTTCTCGTTAGACCTGGCATTCGGCAAAACCCAGGTTTTCAGCGGATCCTCGATTCTTTTGAACGGAATATAACGGTCATTCCAATCTCTCCAACGCCGTGTTAGTGGCCACTTCTTCAACTCGGATTCTGGCAACTCACATCGCTCCTTCTCTGGATCATATTCCATTTCTGGCTCACAATCAGAGGCTTCAGAATCCTTGAGAATTATTTTTTCGGTCAAACTCACATCGATGTGCACATCGTCAAAGTTGATCTGAGTAGGTTCGAATAATTGGGCGAACATTTCATCTTCTAAGTTCGGTGCTGGTTGGGCTTCTTCGACTGGTGCCTCTGGCTGCTCGTTTTGGCTTCTGTCACCAAAGCCGTTAGGCCAATTTTGATTGAAGGATCGGTTATGATTCGACTCATTACCTAAAAATTTTTCAATTTTTAAAACTAAAAAAAGTATTTAAAATGCAACTAGAAACCTTGGAGTGTAAAGAACAAAATTAAAATAAATTGATTTGCAAAAACTTGCCAAACTCACCAGACATAACTTGAACTGTCCATCCCAATTTTTTGCCAAAACCTCCGAGCTCTTCGTTACCTCCAAAAGATCCGACGCGTTGGACGGGCTCCGGTTTGTAACCCAGCAGTTTTTTCATTTGATTGTCCTGCGACCGCACCACATGATCGTTGCGTTCGGCTTTGGTCTGGATGCGGTCGAGCATCTTGTTTTGGTCATCTACTTCGTCGCCCAGGGCTTGGCCGAGCATTCGCAGGCGTGAGAGTTGGCCACTCATACTGCCTGGAATAACAAGATTAACATTGATATTCCTAGTTCAATATTTTAATGCGTTTTATTATTTTTAAACCAACATAAGGTAATTTTTGGTCTGCACCGTGTAAAATTAAACAATTTTTAAGCCTAAGTTTGTTAAATTGAATCTAAATTTAACAAAATTGAGCCTAGGTTTATCAAAAACAATATGAAAACATAAAAAACCTACCCAAATTTTCGTCGATTTCATTGTCCATGACTTCCCATCGAGAACCTTTAATGGCATTTCGACTTTCGGCTCCCAAACTAGGCCTTAAGGCTAAAGTGTCAGCGGCTGCTCCAGTAAACCCTTCAACTTCTTCCACTACTCGACCTAGCTTTCCTGCTGACGCTGAATGTGTTATCTGGAAATGGTGATCGTTTAATTAGGTTTAACTATATAAAAGTGGTTTTTATCGTTCAATAGTTTAGATAAAACAATAAGAGCTGTCACAAACAGCTAAAAATTTACATTTTTAAAAATCTTTTTTTAAATTCTGGTCATTTTTTATCGAAATAAGGCTTTAGAACTTGAAGATCATAATCTGTTTTCAAAAACAGTAAATTACCTACCAATTCAGGTGCATTAGGCTTCTGTGGAACTTTTGAGAACTTGTTCTTAAAGAATCCCCCAAAAACACTCTTCAAACTATTCAGTGAACGTTGAGTCAACTGTGTTTTGTGATTAATTTCGTCCAGATTCTTTTCCGTCTTCTCCAATTTCTCACGCTGTTCCAAGAGATTCAAGGCTGTTTGATTAACCATCTTTTCGGCATTGTCAAGCTGAGCTGTGGATCGTTGAGTTGAAGCTAAAGAGCCTTGTATGAGCTCTTTGAATTGTTTCTCACACTCTTCAATGTCCATGTCAACATTTGTGTTACGGGAGTGGCTTTTCGGCACTAAATTATTGAAATAAGAAACGTGAGCAATGTAAAACTACTATAACTTAAAACTATTATCACTAAAAACTTCAAACCCCTATGTATTTTTTAAAAAGTTACAATCAAAATCATATTATTAACTATTCTTGATAGCATTTACATCAAAACCACTCAAAACCTCTGTTCTATGACACAAAATGTTAAACAAAACTTTAATCAAAGCTGTATAAACCATTCATGATTAATTTGAAGTCCAAACAATATGTATATTTGTTCACAGAAAAGTGATGCATCAGGAACTAACTCTTAATCTAAGATAATATAATCTCTTCCCAATTTATCAATCAAATTAACCAAGATCTGATCAACAAGAGCCAAACAACAAAATTAGTAGCTTTAGAATGTAAATTCAAAACAAAATCACTTACTATCATCGTCGTCGTCAAAAGGATTTGCCATTTTTGGATATCACGACCCGCGTGTCTCTAAAACAAACAAAAGTTAGTTGGATCTAAAAAAATGGAAACAAGCTATTGAATATATAAAGTACAAATTCTGCTTCAAATTTAGATAACAAAAGTTTTAGTAAAGACTAGTTTTCGACCGAAAAAATAGAAAAAGTCAAAAATGTTTCATTTCCGCGAGAGACTATCGAAATCTTCTATTTCAAAGCAAAATGGAATGGACATCTGACTGGGTCCTCACAAAACAAACCTTATTACAAAAGAATTTTGGCTTTAAAAGGTAGGTGGACAAGTTTTTGTTTCAACAAAAAAAACTAACAATTAGGTATTATAGTTAAAGGTGCACGTAATCAAGTATATGTAGTATATTTCAACTCGAACTGAACTTTGGAATTAAAATTTCTTAATCGTTGAAGACTAAAACTGTTTATAAAAGACTATAAATTAATAAAATCAATAAAATTATCAATCAACAAATGGCTTTTAACTTCTAAATATCTTTTTTTGATTTTTTGAAAAAAAATTTCCCAGGCCGTCTGGCCCGGTCAGAAAAATTTTTAGGCCTCGCCCGGCTCGTTTTAAAAAATTTAAAAAATTTAAAAAATAAATTTAAGAAATAAACGGAAATTTGTCTTTACATTGTTTTTTCAGATCATTTATGGACCCTAGTACCTAATAAAATCAAAAAACATCAACGGGGATAGAAATAAAAAATTTTTAAAAATTAAAAAATATTTTTTTCGGGCCCGGGCCCAATTTTCTTTTTTTTGCCCAATTTTCAAGACGGCCCGTTTCGATTTTAACTCAAGGCCGGCCCGGCCCGATCGTAGGGCCAGGTAGGGCCGGGCCTAGACGTCCCGTTTCTCACCCCTGGTTTTAGCGCTCCTTGCTTTTTAAAAATAAAAAAAAACAACATGAAATTGTTATCGGCTTTCGTGATGGGTGAGTTGACGACTTGTTATATCACAGACTTTGAAGCGGAAGTCGTTGTTTCGAGAAGGTTCGTTGTTTATTTTCTGGATTCATTAAAAGTTTAGGAAGGTCAAGTTGTTATGAGTTATGTTGTTGTACAAGGTTAAGGAGGTCTTTTTGGTTTTGTAGACCTTTGGAGGGGAATCACGTAGTTTTTGAAAATATGGTGAAGATCTTTTACTTTAATGTTTTTCGCTAGTCTTGAGATTTGATTCACAAACTTGACTTATGATCGAAATGAATAAGAAACATGTTGTTGTTGATGTCCATCACAATAAGTATCATAAGGCATATTTATTGCAATTGGATGGTCTTCTAATGACTCACTTTTGATTTTTAAGTATACTTTGTGTTATTCAAAACAGTTTTAATCTTTGTAATCTATGGAAATGTGTTTAAATATAAAGATTACTTTAAACCATGATTAATATCGGATTTTCAAAGATATTTTTGTGCCTTGTCTGATACTTTAGTACTGTTAGCGGTTTTTAAAAGGGTAGTTTAGGACGAAAAATAGTTTTTAATTTTAATTTAGTAAACTGGATTCGCTCAAAATTTCTAGTTACGTAAAAGGTGACTAACAGTATGAAAGTGTTTTAGTTGAGTGCGAATAAACAAAAATGTGCTCTTGGTTTGAACTGAACGTCAAAATTAATCCAATTTTCGAATTAAACCATCAGTTTTAAATTTTTAAGTGGGTGCACGTCTGAAATAACAAATTAACGAGAAATCTTTTGGCTGGGAATTTCTCGTACGTGTAAAATGAGGTTTTATTTTGATTTGCACTAAATTTTTTAGTATTTTTCTTATAATTTAGGTTAATTTTTTATATTCTTGAACTTAAACTACGAAAATACTATTTTAGCTACAAAATTCGTTAATGTTTTTACGTTTTTGAAAGCTTAAACCGCCAAAAGTGTTCCGAACAGATAGGAGTTCAATTCGTATTGTTTCGGGTCACCCTTGACTACCCTTGTGTCAAATTTCCAAAACAAATTTCAGCTCACACAATCTTATACATTATACCGTGATGTAATTGCTTTCAACTAAAATTTGTTAATTTTTAAACTAAAAACGTCAAAATCACATTGACTGTACTATAATGTAGATTGTTTACATTCTGGTGGTGGGAAAACAAGTTTATTCAGTAAAGCTGTGATCGTTTTCCAGCTTTTATTTGAATACGAAGAGTGGGGATCTTCTCCTCTTCAGCGGCGACTTCTGCTTTCACTATTATTACCTTCCGCAATTACTCTTACCGATTGGTTATAACTATTGTAACTTTTTACCCATCATTTAAAACTTGGTGGGTGGAAGTTACAATGGTTATGAGTTTACGTAGCGAGACAAAGGGAGGTTTTAGTTATATCAAGTCGAATATATGACTTTTTACTTTGTGGGTTATATCGTCGTATTTGGGGGAAAGCAGAGATGTTATTTTACTATATATATTGTTTTACAATTTTTAGTGTTTTTAAGAAATTTAAAAAAAAAATCATTTATATAATAGTTGGCTAAAAAAAAGATTTTTGGACTACCGCTCTTTATTATGACACTAAACTATTTTTTTCTTGAAGGTAGTGGTACTAATACTATTTATAATACTACGATTTTATAAAGCTAAATTTTAGTGCAAAACCCCAAATTTTAACGTAAAATTTGTCGTTTATTCACGCGTTGTGCGACAATGTTCATCTTTTAATTATCGTCGCAACGCTCTTCACCATAACAATTGCACTGTTTTGTTCTATTTACTTATGTGAATTGTTTTGTAACAAGTTGCAAAGGTTTTAAGTGTTTTGATAATGTTCTTATTCTGTTCGAAATTGAGGTTCTCCTTCTTGTTTTGTCGTCAGATTTTCAAATATTTCTTGATTTTTCATTAGTCTTTGAGTACTTTAAGTTGTTCAAATAGTTTCATGCTTTCTATTCGTATTGAGGTAAGGCAGAGAATTATTTGAACAATCTAACAATTTTGGCTGAACAGTTTCTATTATTGTTTTGATTGAAATTTTAAAATAAAAGGCTAAGATATCGTATATTTTGTTTTCTTCTTAAGATACTGATGCTGTATATTGATTTTTTGTCCAAAAATCGCAATGGCTATAATTACTTGGTCTTTCTCTTATGTTTTTAAGGTGGCAATTTAGAATTGGTCTGTAGTTATTGTTAGTTTTGTAGGAAAACGTCTGGTCAGCCTTGAAGATCTCTTCCTTTGGGCTTGTAGTGTTCTTCTTGAATTTTTTTATTCTAAACTTTAAAAAATAGTTTTACGATTGGAACTTGTAGAGTTATAGAAAATTTGTATTTAATCTCTTATACTAATCGACAAAATTAATCTTGTATGATCATAACATTAGAAGTCTACGTAGATGCCGTATGCAAAATTTCAGCCCATTTGAAGAAGCAACTTTCAAGTTACAAGGTGGTATATTAATCTTGTCTGCCAGTATATTCCTCCAAATTAAGTACTCGAGCTATAGAAATCAAAGTAGGTAAATAGGTTGTTGTTATAGACCTATGAAGAACACTTTGTAAGCTTACATTTACTTTTTTGCTTTTATTATTATACTCTTGCTTTGATCTTTTGTCTTTCTTTTATCCGTATCATTACCTAAGCCCTTAATATAGCTCAGATTCCTCGTCTGCTCATCACCTACGCTGTTATTAATCATGACATTTCACGATTGAGAGTTTGTATAAACCTTATGAACCCTCAAGAAACACCGTGAAAGGTATGCATCTCGCTCACCTTATAATATGTCATTCGCTTGGAACGAGTATTTATTTCCATCGGAATCCGCGAATTATTTTGTCGCAGGGATTTGTGGTGACTCTTCTTCACTTTTCAACGTGAACTACTGCTTCACCTCGGTGGTGTTACAAACTGTTACTGAGTCATGTTTTTGGGAGGCTAGGAGAGGAGGGGTGGGGGAGGTGTCAAAAACTTTCTTTACTGAATTGAAAATGGCAAGAACTTTCTTTGGTAACCCTCAAAATGGCAAGAACTTTCTTTACAACTTAAAAGTCAACCAAAAACGCGACAAAATAAATATCAACTATAAGACATTGTTGACTTAACAGTTTAAATTTGTTTTTCGAGTTCAAAACGACTGCCAAGATACGTCACTTGAGTATTTGTCTTTACTTTCGATTGTTTTACTATTTGTTTTTATAAGAGTTTGACCTCCAAACCTCACGGCGGGTTTGTTTCCGCTTTACTTTTTTATGATTTTACATTTAGAAAGTCGATCTTACTGTATCAATAAATGGGTTTTATGAAGTCGTAAAGTTAGTGGATTGAACATCGTGTTTTGTTAATGATGCTAAAGTGGTATAAAAGTGGTCATACGGTTTTTAAATGTTTTAAAAATGAGGTTTTTTCGAGAAAAAGTTTTAAAGTTGAATTACATTGCTGGTTATCAATTGGTGTTATTAATGTGATATGTCTGAGCTCTAGGGTAGGGCAGCTGACCTGTGTTTAACCTTATTTTGTGATATTAGATATTTAATTGCCATAGCTCTATTTATGACATGCTTAGTGATTTTTGTACCTTTAAACTATATGTATATCAAGATTAATTGTTTAAAGTTAAAAGGAAAAATATATTACGCTTTTTGAGCTGATATGGGACAATTTCAATCAAGTTTTGTTTCAAAAACATCGTTTTTAGGGGTTTGTTCTGGATATTTTTAGGTTTAGTTATTGTTTTTATACATTAAACATTTGTTATAGGCAACAATAGTAGTTGGGGTATTGTTATACTGGCATACCGGGCCTAACTGCTTTTTAAAGAGCTGGTTGTGCATTTTTGAAATTTTTGGCCGATATCTCTACTTCTTCCAGATTTTATGTTTGTGTTATTTTGACCATAATGGCATATTTGTTAGGGCATGTCTCGCTTAACTACTATTTTCGTATTATTTACTATAAAACTATCCGTTTTTCTCAAAGCGAAACTTTTATTTTCAAACATCTGCCAACTTAATATTATTCAATCTCCGGTATTCAAATACCATTTCTAACTCACTTTTTTCAAAAATCTTCAAAAAACTTTTTCCTATATCGCTGAAAAGTCGGTTATAGGTATCTCGATGAAATGTCATTGTGAAGTTTACGTTTTTTTTATTTTGTCATTGTTTAGAGCTTGTTTACGGAGTTACTTTTCCATCAAACGCTTATATTAACATTACATGACCCATGGTGCGTGATCACACGTTCTGGATGATATTATGACTGTGTCATTTCGCCAAATTACTGACTTTTTCGAGTTTAAAACAGTTTAAGCAGTAATTGAACTTTAAATAGTAAACACTAAACATTGCTTTGTACCATGGTAATGATTGCTTTTCAGGAGGAGCGGGTTGGTAGTAATTTTAATGAAAAAAATAATTTTTTAATAAAAAGTTTAACGTTTGTTCTACAATGACATTTATACTCATAAAACACATCCAAAAAATAATGTCAGATTCTGTAATTTTCTCATTTTACGAGTTTACCATGCCTTGTTTACCTGCTTGTTTACCGTAATTTTATGGTATTTACGAGTAGACGGGCTTCAAGTGTAATATAGACGTTATGGAAAGTTTGTCGGGAAGTTAGTAGGGTTTTAACTTACAGACTATTGTAAATAAAACTATAATTTTACAATGATTAGTAAGGTCTGGAAGTTTATAGAGATTGTAAAACATGATTTTGCACTACAAGCGATCGGTTATGTAGAAAGGTTTTTTGATGGGCAATATAACGGCATAAAATAATATATGTTTTGTCGTTGCGATCATATTTGGTCAAATTTTTGTTTTTAGTTATGAAGAGGGTGGGAATTTTTAAAAAATGAAAAAGATAAAAAGTTAAACTTACTGCCTTTTCCACTCAAGTCTAACCTCTAAGCTCTAGGCCACATTAATTCTTTCTATTATTTATTTTGCCCAGAACGGAAGAGAAAGGTCAAATGGTTTTCTTATATAAATTTTTCGGCCGCTAATATCTTGCTAGCCCTGATCATTTAACAGTTTTCTCGGTAACTTGTTGTGCTTTTTCTTGCTTTACTTTCGTGTCGTTTTTAATCTGAGAGATACTTGGTTCAACTCCCTTATAGATTAATGTTTGGATTATGCTAAGTTTTTCCATAAAAGTTATTTTTAAATTTTCTATTAACTATTGAAAATGAGTAAACGTATTTTACAAATTCACTATTTTTTACGATTTTTTTTGAATTTTCTATTGCAGAGCTTTCTGTTATAAACCTTTCTAAAACATGACTTTTCAGAATCCAAACCAGTAGAATCACCATCTGTTCTACGAAATCCCCACCGTTCCACGGTGAAGACCAGTCATGGTATTTTCGGGGCAGATGGACGAGTTCAACCGGAAATGGGGTTACTTTGTCAGTAAACACCCATGGTTGCATATATTGTTCAGCATCGCATTAATATTGGTGTTCGGAATTTGGATCAAAAATTTGAAAATCGAATTGGACATTCGAGTATCGTTCTCACCTCCGGAGTCTGGAGCTGCTCAGTAGGTTTCTGAGGGTTTTCTTGGAGATGACACTAGTTTTGGTCGATTTTTAGACGAAATTTTGGGGTTTCTTTATGTTGTATATTAAGAGTTTGGCAATATGATGGTCATTTTTTAAGAGAAAACGGAGCAAGATGTTGTTTATTAGCGTCTAACGACCTTAAACTTACTATAATCTTCAAAATTTTGCACTAAAATTCTTTTTATCTTCAGTGAAAACCGAGTATACAAAGAATTCTTCAACCTCACAGCCTCTCCTCAACGATCATTTATATTATTATCGGCCAAAGATGGAGGCTCAGTATTACGGCCAGAATGTCTCAAGGATGTGGTCAAATTGGACAAGAGTTTTTCTGGGTTTTTAAATGAAATCGACTCTTATTCAGGCCTAAAACAATGTGATCCTCTATGTAATTTGAACAAACCTCTACACATTATTTTGGTAGGTTGTAGTAGAACATTTAGGGCATTATGAAGACAAGGATAGAATACATAAAGTTTCTTAAATTGTGTTATAAAAGCCGTTTCAGTATCGTACTAAAACATCTCTTTTAGAATCACTTACTGTCAGCGAACAAAAGCAGCAAAGCCTTGTTATTGGACTTTCCAAGCTCGAATTACAATGGAATCGACATTTTTGTGGGTATGAACATGGCTGGAGCTACTGTTCATGGTAGGTTTTTTTCAAAGTTTTTAAAAAGTTAAAGATAATATCAAGGCGGTTATATTAGACTGGGTAAAAAAGTTTTGCGCTTTTTTGACAGCATAAATTTTAAAAATTGTCAAAGATACTATAATATCAGAGCTAAATAATTAAAAGGGACATTATTAGTTGATTACAGTTGAATTTAAAGTAATTTTTGACATATTTGTAATAGTTTTTAACAGTGTTTTTCCGGTCCGGTCCGCGGACGGGTCCGGTCCGGACCCGACGGACCGAAACAAAATTTTTTGTGGACCGGACTCAAAAACCTGCGGACCCGGACCGAAGAAAAAGCTCCGGACAGTTTTAGCGCTTCTGGCTTTTTTTAAAAATAAAAAAAAAATTTTTTGCGGACCGGACCCAAAAAATTCGGGTTTACACCGGGCCCGAAAAATCGCCGGACTGGACCGGTAAAAAACGCTCCGGACCGGTCCGGGCAAAACACTGATTTTTACTTTTCTCATTGCCCTTATTGAGCGAAATGGGAGAAAAAGCTCGCGAAAAGAAGAGGGTGGTTAGAGATGAAGAGACCGATAGCTCTTCTTTTACACTTTCTCGCGATTCGTGCAATCCAATCGAAAAACGAGTGATCTTTCAATGACCTGAAAGGGAAAAGAGTTGATCTTCGGATTAATATCCCAAGTTTGAGGTTAGCTCATGTTCCAGCTCGGGTACTTCTGTGGCTGAAAAGGGAAATTTTGGAACGTTCTGCTGTTGTGGAACATATAAAATTTAAATTGCGCTAGTAAATACTGTTTCTAATATAAAAAATGACTATATACTGTGACTAATACTACAAAGTAATGTTGGTATCTTAATTTTTAGACCAAATCTTCCCTCAAAACAACTCTCGCATTTCGTCCGTAAAAACCATAATCTTGTGGTACTTTGCACGTGCTGACACGTTATATGCCAAGAAACGATTGAGCGATAAAACTTCTGAAATGTTTCAACTTGGTCAAGAAGGTCGATTTCTAGAAAATGTCAAATTCGAAGTGTTTGGCGACGAAATAGCCAACAAAGAAATGGTCCGTGGAGCGATCGAAGCGACCGTGCTGATGAGTATTGGTTTCGTACTGTTACTCATATTTGTCACTTTTACTGTGTACCACAAGATTGGTTCCATGTCCAAGTTAGCAGTACCAATAGTCGTATTTACCTCAGTTTTGTGTCCTTTTTTGGGATGTTTTGCGGCTTTTGGTCTTTGTACTCTGCTTGGATTTCAAACCTACACCATTATGTGTGTGGTACCGTTTTTGGTGCAAGGAGTTGGTGTGGATGATGCTTTTATATTGCTACAGTCGTGGTCACAACATAGACGTATCAAGTCTCATGAAGAAAGGACTGCTGTTGTGTTTGCTCATGTTGGACCATCGATTACTATAACATCTTTGACCAATACTATTGCTTTTGGCATTGGGTTCTTTACTCCTACTCCTCAGGTATGTTTTTGTAGTTTACTGCTTGATTTGGTTTTTTATATAAGAAAAATAAGGTACAAATAACATCGCAAGTTAGGTTAAAAGCTAGTATACGATTAGGTATAAGGCTTGTAATGAACTTTTGTATAACTTTTTTAAATTTTAAGAGCGAACAAAAAGGTTAAACTATCTTAGCCTACTTTAATATACTTTCAGATGTCCCTTTTCTGCCTCTGCACGTCCTTTGCCTTGCTGTTCGACTACATATTAACTTTTACAATGTTAGCACCAGTAATATCATTATGTACAAAAAACGAAAAACAGTTTACACCATTAGCGACAGTACTATCGGAGTCAGAAGCTCAACGTGTACCAAGAGGCATCTTAATGTACTCAAAGTTCTTGTGCTCAACGAAAGGAAGAATCACTGGAATAGTACTGTTCATTGTGATGCATATATTCACATACTGGGGTGTTGTTACCATGAGATCTTCGTTTGAACCATCTAAAGCGTTTCCATCCGATTCACCACTGGCTAGCTCTATTGATACTGTTAGGTAGGTTAAGGAGTTACAACTTGAAAAATTATTTTTGGATTTTATAGATTTAGATATTGTTTTAGATACCAAAAAAAGGTAGTATTGCATCAGATAATAGAAAAAGTAAATGTGGCTAAATTTATCTTTGGAAAAAAAATTTTAATTTTTGTTATGGAACTTATCTGTGAAGGCTTAGTGAAAGAAAAGTTAAGCTGAATTTTTCTTGATAATCGTTTTTGATATTATCGTGGAAAAAAATGTTTTAATGTAAAATACGAATGGTGTGAAATAATCTTGAAATAAATTATTTTAGAAGCGTTTTCAACGAGTTTTTTCCAGTCAATGTTATTGTAAATCGACCGCCGAACGTTGAAGATCCATTACAGGTAAGCCGAGTTACATAAGAAGTACAATAAAATGGAATTCTCTAGGGGTGAGAGATGGGCTGTGTAGGCATTAAGATCGGGCCGGGCCGGGTCCAAAAAGTATAACAGGTCCGATCTGTTTTTCAACCCTGGGATTTGACAACTGACTGGATCTACCATACTGGTTTAGAGGAAAGTTGGAAAAAATTGTCGCGAAAAGCTGACAAAATTCCTCTTCCCCTCCCTCTCACCTGTTGGATATTACAAAAAAAAGCTGTTTTTACTTGAATATTTTACAAAAATTAGATTTAATAATTTAAAAAAATATATATTTTTTTCAGCTAGCAAATTTCTACGAAATGGTATCAGAACTGGAAGCTCTACCTCCATCTTATGGTTCAAATAGGACATTGTTATGGTTACGAGCGTTTGAGAAGTTTGACTACGAAACGACACAATTATTTGGATATTTGGGTTACAATACGTCAGACTACAGCTTGAGCTACACAAACTTAGATCTGTTTTTGGATTATGCTGAACATCCAGCTGCTATCAAGACCAAGACTGTGAAGTAGGTTGCTTTGCACAATAGGTAGTATGCATAATCATTATGTTGCGTTTTATGAAGAATTTAGGGTTTTTAGGTATTTTTTGGGGATATTACTGTAGATTACAGTAGAATAACAAATGGTTTTTAAATTTCAATTTAATTTTTTGAAATTTCAGTGACTCCCTGACCGTATCCGCCTTTCAATTCAGTTTCATAACCAAAGGGCAGGCTGAATGGGCGATACGAGCCGTGACAGAGCAACAAGCGCGTGACATACTACTACGGTATCCAGAGTTCAATGCTACAATATATGACGGTGATAGCTCTATTTTGGACTTGTTACTGACAGTAAAGATGGATCTTATCGGGTCTATGGCGGTTACCGTGGCTTGTATGACTATTATATGCTCCATTTTCATACACAATCAGGTTGGAGTCATATTGGTGGCTATGACTATTACTTCTGTTTGTTTTGGTAGGTTTTGAGGGGTGTTTTTAAAGTTTTTAAAATTTTAAAGATATTTTTTTGGAAACATTTTGTAGGTATGCCTTTATATAATAAAAACCATTTTAGTAAAACGCATACGTAGAACTTAAAAATTTGCATATTAACACATATTACTATAAGGAACATTTTTGTAATTGTACATTTTTTGATTGGATTACTGTAACATGCAAAAAAATTAAATTGGATTGTCTAATTTACTTAATTTTCTTAAATTTCAGCTTTGGTGGGCTTCATCTCATGGTGGGGCGCCGACCTCGACCCAGTAACCATGGTGGACGTTCTACTAGCTACAGGCTTCAGTGTGGACTACACAGCCCACATAGCTCACCAATATTATGTCAAAGAATATTCATCTAACCTCCTTCGTATAGCTCACTCACTTCACGAAATGTCAGGACCAATGATTCAAGCCGGCTTCTCGACCATTCTCTGCATGTTACCATTGATCTTTGTCCCAACTTATGCCATTGTAGCCTTTGCCAAAACAGTGTTTGTCGTTGTTGGTGTTGGTCTACTGCATGGACTGTTCTTCATGCCTATTGTAATATGTTGGGTGCCCTATAGGTTTGGTACTTGTGGCAAAAAGAGCAGATCGGAGCAGAGTAGTGTCAGTGAAAACCCGTCGACGGACTCGGCTCAGGCGTTGCTCAGGACTACGTGAAGTTGATCGGTCGGAAAGGTTTGGGAAGGATATGAAAATGATCTTTTGAGAGTTTTTATTTTATTATGACACATTTTTTATACTTTTTTTGTTGTTTTTATAGTATTAGAATCTCTTTTTGTTATTTTTTCCGGTTTTACCCATATTTTTTGTATTCTCAATATCAGCCAGCCTACTACAATATCTTTTGTTCATAAACTTTGGAATTACTTTATGTATTGAGATTTTAACTTTTTTAACCGAGTTTACTCTTTTTTTGTATCGTTTGTTCATGTTATACTGTGTTAAACCACTTAAAACTACGAGTGCCGCAAAATTCTTTATTTTCCAAAAATTGTCATGGTGAATATCCATGGAAATTCGTTTCGTCTTCTGATCTCCATAACTAATTTTGTCTGCATTTTTTGAAAGCAATTGTCGTCGAATGTGTTACATTGTTCCACACTTTGTAGCGGTTTTACAATTTGTTTCATATTTTATTGATTTTTTGTTATTTTATTCGCCTTGTATCATATCAATAAATAAAAAAAGGATTTTTGTATATTTATACATTAATTAGTATCTTGTAAACTATCTCATTTTTATTGATCAATTGTAAAGAGATTGAAAGAATAATTTTATTTATAATTTTATACACTATGAAAGAAGAGGCAGGTTGCGAAAGCGAGAGAGCGGTTAGATAAGAAGAGACAAATAGCTTTTCTTGTCGTTCGCGCAACCCACTCAAAACTAAAGGGAGCTCTTTATGACCTGAAAGGGAAAAGGGTTGATCTTCGGATTAATATCCCAAGTTCGAGGTTAGCTCACGTTGCAGCTCGGATACTTCTGTGGCTGAAAAGGGAAATTTTGGAACGTTCTACTGCTGTAGAACATATAGAATTCAAAATACTTTCGTAATTAATTAATATTTGAGTGTTCTGTGCTATTGTCCTTCGATTTTATGGTGATTTGGGCGTATTACATCTGTAAAAGGGCCGAGCCCAATTTTGCGGCCTGTCTTTTTCAATTTTGGTTAGGGACGGGCCTAGGTTTACGGCGAATCTATATTCGATTTAATCATTGACCAAAAAAACTCGTCTATTTTATACAAATGCTACTGACAATTTTATAATCACAAGATTATAAAAGACTGACCACTTCATGATTAATCAGGCCACAAATTTCAGTAAAATGGCAAGTTACATGAACTACATAACGACATTGGAAGAGATCGATAGGCTGGCAGAACAAGCAAAACCGGAAGGAAATCGACCGAACCGAATCATCAGGACTTCAGCATCAAATCGAAGTGTGAAAACAAGTAATTCTAGACGATCAACAAGTTCAAACAAGAGGAATATTGGTTTTAAAATTGATTATGTGCCTACGGAAAGGTGTGATGATCCTACTTGTGCTATTTGCAGTGGTAAGATCGCATTTTGTTACCTAATTTTATATTTTCATTAGATTTGTTGTAGTGAATATAAGGGGAAATGATATTTTGTGTTTATTATAACTAGTTTTTCTTATAGAGGATGCTTTTAGTACGTTAAGATTTGGCAATCTAATTATTTTGTTGCCTATAACAATAATTTTTATAATTCACTTAATTTTTCATTTATGAACTGCGTATTTTACAACAACCTCATTACAGGTCCCCCATCAACATCCGCGTCAGAACGCCCAGAAACCTCTCACATCCACCTCCGTGACATTGGCCTTGACGAAAACGTGTATCCCTTTTCAAAACGACTAGCTCAACTCGATTCCACTATCAATATGTTGACTCAGATCCTAGATCAACGGCTGAGAGACGAAAGGTATCGTGATGCACAAGATTTGAGTGAGATCTTGAGGGAATTAGTGGGGAAGCGACAGAAATGTCAGCAACTTTTGGATGAGAGGAGAGGAAAGTTGGGGGATTTGTTGGAAGCCCAGAGGCTAAAGAATGAGTATGACACTTTGATCTGGAATGCTGTGGATATTAATAGGTTGAGGAGACATTTAACTGTCGCTCAACTGGTCGATTTGGAACGATTGAGACGGTTTTAATTTTTTATGGTCGGTTTTATTTAGAATTCCTGTTTTATAGTCAATTTCATTTTAATTCCTTTTTTCGGTCGATTTTATCTAAAATACTTGGTTTTGGTCAATTTTGGTTTAAAATTTTTAAATCAGCCTAAACTTAAAAACTACTTTAACAACTTTCTAAAAAATCGTGATAGTTTTTTAAAAATTAGATTGCCATAAAAATGAACTTTGAAAACTATGATTTTTATTTATGAAATTGATCTTCTTTATCTAGAAATCTACTTTTTTTATTGTCTTCTTATAAACATTGTTGAATCGGATAACCTTTCCTTTTTGTTATAAAGGAACAGTCTACTGTTTTAAATTGTTTTTGAAATTGAAATATAGGAAATACTTATTTTTTCTGCTACAGTAAGAAATGTAAATGTATAATATAATAGTAGGGTTGCAAAACTTAAAATTTACGTTTTGCCCTGGGGTTGACTTTTAATCATTTTTAAGCTTTAGCGTATAAAACTTAGGGGTATTTGTGAGTTGAAAATTGGGATTTTTTTTTCGAAAATTGGGCGTACAATAAGCTGCGGATCAAAAAAAAATTTGGCCTCTACTCCTACTACCCCTGCATCTAGAAGAAATCTATAGCGACGACCCTGATTTTAATGAAATTACATCGTTTATAACTTTTCGTCAAGCGAGCAACCACCAGCCGTATTTTACAAACATTCCAAAATTTTGAAAAAAATTAAAATCACAACAAAAATAGTTGATTCAATTTTAATAACCTTCGAAAAGGAATGGCGACGGAAGGTGTCATAAAGCTCGGCCAATTATTCGTTTTCCCACAAAACCCGCCCCTCCGATTTTATGGCCAAACTTTTTAGCGGCCTGAAGCCTTTCAAAAACGATGGCTTCAATAAATTTTCGCACTCTCCAAATTTCTGCCAAAACTCAGTTTTTCGGTCGATTTTTATTGTTTTTATTGCGCGAAATTACTGTATTTTAGCCAGTTTTGTTTATAGTAATATGACAGTTTTGTTTATGTCAGCAGCTTTTGTTATTTTATTGATTACGGTAATGTTTTACTGTTCGGTTAAGAAAAATTGAGATTTAAGTTAACGTAAAAGGCCCTTCAGGTATCAATAAGAAAATTTTAATTGGGTGAGATATAAAATGTCAATATTTTTAATTTTTAAAATAATCGATATTTTTTAAAATTCAGTTTACAGAGGGAGAACCCAACCTGTCCCACTCAGAAACAGCTCAAAATTTTTATATATTTATATTATTTGTACTTCTAATAGTACACATAAAAAATATTGGCTTGCGCTTTTGAGTTTTAAATATGAAATATTTGGGTTTCCCGGCAATTTGGTAAATTTGGCATTGTGTTTCAATCACTTTTTTGACTTTCCAGACAAGCTACGCTTACAACTTTAAAAATGTAGGTCTATTTAAAGATTTTGCTACTAATATATCAAAGAAAAATGATTAAAAGTCAAGAAATGACATAGTTATAAGCTTGAAACGCAATACCAATTTGGCGAAAATTCAAAACGTAATTTTTTGACCTTGAGTTTCTCGAGATTAACTGGAAAGCGCGATTTAGTACTTTGCTGAGGATCTTATATTTACATGATCTTTCTATATAAAGTTTGAAGTCAATCAGAACGGGGCATTTTCTATGACGTATCTACTACATATAATATTAGTTCAGTTTCCTCCAAGAAATTAAATTTTCAAAAAAAAATTAAATTTCATAAAACCGATTATACAGAACGTATTTTACATTACTTTCAACCTCCAATTCATTTTTTTTTAATTTCAAATTCTAGCCCCTCAACTTCCAAAAGTAGGCGGAGTCTTCTATCGTTTCCTCATCGCTGATTGGCCAAATCCTCTAAACAGTTTTTTCTAAACAATTCAATTACTTTTACTACTGCCAATCCTAAATCAATACGAATGCGAGCTGAAGAAGGTACATCAACATCGTTGGGCTACAGGATCAAAAATGAAGATTGTCTTCAGAAGCAGAGAGAGCGTGCGAATAAGAGAGAGCGGGATAGGACTAGGGTAAGTTTCTTGAACTTTTGGGTCGGGATTTTGAAAATATTTTAAAACATTTTTTAAATTTTTATGAATTTTTAAAAATTTTTTAACTTTTGCACTATGCAGTTTCAATAATTTTAAGGTATGCGCCGTGCAAAATCCACCATTTATAAATTATTTGTTAACTTTTAATTAAAAAACGTTCTTTCACATCAAAATTGGCAATAATTATTTTTTCGACCGTATTTTACAATAAAACTGAAGTTTTTAGGCACTAAATTCAGCGTACACTCGACTCCGCCAAAAGATACCATCGTTGCCATCGGATAAAACAAGTAAAATCCATACACTTCGAGTTACTGTCGAGTATATACAGTTTTTAAGGGAGGTAAGTGTAGGTTTTAACATTATTTTATAATTTATATGTTTAAAAAAGTTTGTTTTAAAGTTTTCAAAAACTTTTTCAAAATTAAAAAAAAACAATTTTTGCAACGTGCAATTGCTATTCTCTCAACAATTATCTTATACACAAGCTAAAACACACAAAAAAAGATATTTTTAAACCATTGAATCATATGTTAGTATGGTGCCTTAGTAAATATTCATTTTTAGTTAGCATCCGACAACAATAACTTGAACATCGACTTGGCGGTGAACGAGAACAATCAGATCAACATAGCAGCCACTTTTAACTCATGGAGGACTGGTCTAAATCAAAGGAAAGCGTTATCAGCAGCTATAAAAGCGCCTTCTAAGAATGAGAATTTACATGGTATGTTTTAACTTATTTTTACTATTTTTTTTAGATTTTGTACCTAATTTTATAACTTTATACCTAATTTTGTAATTTTAAGGCAAAATCAAGTCTAAAAATTTATTTTTGAACATACCTTATCATATTATTATACCATTACGTTAAAAAAGCTTTTTAAACCTCAAGCTAAATCTCATTTCAGATCGCCTCCCAGCCCCAGTCCCCTCACTCACCCTAAATGGCCTAGAATTTCCTCCCAATCCAGCCCAACCAATGTTTTGGCCAACACAAGAATACTGCCTTCTACCTTACAGTAACCCCTCAGAAAGCTCCCCCTCCCAAAGTTCGGTTTCTTCGTTAGGATCGGCGCTGGGACACGCCATCAATCACAGCTGAAAAATTAACTCGGGAACGTCGAGAGTCGCAAAAAACGGCTGCGAATGTGCCGACAAACACACCAATAAATATACATATTTATCTTTCTTGGCGTTTAATTACTGTCGCAAGGGAATGGTAGTCTTGGAAGTTTGGTTTTGTGACTTTTGATATTGATTTGATAGGTTTTAATAGGCTTGGCGGGAGTTTGAACGGATGGTTTTGCTGTTTTAGGCTTACTTTTTAGAGGTGAACTACAATAACAGCTCGTAAAAATTTTTTGGACTATCACAAAAAATAAAAATTTTGACCAGAATACCCAATAGAATGGGCTTTCATTGTGCCAATGCATAGCACTTCCCTAACCCAAGATACAAAAGATATTGTTTTAGGTCCATTCATAGCCAAAAAATCAATTTTTGCCATTTCTAAAACTACCCTGAGCCGCAAAATCGTTCCCAAACCCTCATACTACAGTATCCTACTCTTGAGAGTTCTTAAATCTCAAGAATTCGCCTCATTCTTTCTCTAACCACCTCTTTTGTCTCTCCGATCACAACCCTGTCTACAACAACATCTGGAATCAATATGCGTTGTTTAAAGGCTGAATCACGTCCAGTCGAGACTCTGTGTCGTAAAAACAAATCCCTTTTTCCGTTTTTTGTCCTTTTTCTTCGACCGATCAAATTACTCTACCTATAATAACATATCAGGCCGTAAATCACATCGATTGGCCATGATTAAGTTTTATGTTTATTGGCCCAAAAAGAAAAGCGTATTTCAACAAATTTTTAGGGATTTATTAGATTTGTCATCGATAAGAAGTTAGAATGCATTGGAAGTCTTTTGGACACAAAATTTTGGTAAACGATCGAAATTTATATTGTTTTAGATGGCCAACGAAATAAGAAATGTTGAAACAATGAAAATATGATATAGATTAATAAAAAACATACCTAATAGAATAAAGTAGATTACAAAAACAGGCCTAAAGTTGATTGATCAAAGTAAAAGTAACAATGCAGTACAAAAAGTAACAGTTGACACGAAAGAGCGAAAACGAGTCGACTGTCACACGCGCCTTGGAATTTGTTCAAAAAACTTATTTTTTGATGTTTTTGTCGGCCGAACTTGGTACGATTTCCTTTCTTCCTGTACCAAAAATAGGACAAAAATATGGAAAAGTTTGTAGAAAGGAAAAAAGACATTAATTATGGGTAAGAAAACTTTTTTATTCTGTTTTAAACACATAACTACGTAAAGTAATGTTAAAGTCTGATTTTGAGAAAAGTTTTAGAAGGAAACGAAAGTCAATATCTTTAAAACAATCTCAAGCACCAAATTACTCTGAACTAATGATGAATGGAGCTAAAATTTTGTTGCCAGAAGGTCTTACACCTTATTCTACGCAGAAGTTAATGATTATTAAGGTGTTGATGGCTTTACGACAACAAACGAATGCTTTGGTGGAAAGTCCAACTGGCAGTGGTAAGATTATTGTTTTTTCTTTGTTTTTAGATTCATATTTTACTGCTTTATTAATTGTGTGGTTTTTAACAACTAAAAGTTAGAAGGTACACTTGACCTTGTTAATGACCAAGATTATGAACTTATTTTGCCTCTAATAAAGTTGTTTATAGGTAAAACGTTAGCGCTGTTAGCATCAGTAGGAGCTTGGTTAGTAGACTACAAGAATAAGCGAAGAGCGGCCAAGTTAGAATGTCCTAAACATGGTATGAACTTGGATAAAGAAGAGAAACCGACTGTTTCACCTATTAACAAGAAGAATAAGATGAACGAAACTGGTGAAAGTATAAACACAGATGCAAATGGTACTTTGGTTGATGGAGAAGAAAGTGCTATCTATTTGGATGAAAGTGCTATGAATGACAGTGAGTTATAAAGCCTTCTGTCTGGTTATTTTATATGCTATAGTGTAGGACGAGCGATGATTTATTCAACTTACTGTGAATTTTCGTAGCGCGACATTTGGGGAAATTGACAAATGGGGAAACGACGAATGGGGAAAACGACATAAGGGGAAGCTATATAAAAAAATAAAAAAAAATTGTTTTTACTTTACCCGACTCTGCTCTTGACCCCTTTAGCTCTACCTGACCCCATCGTGACCTTTTAGCCGGACAGCCGGAATTTTAAACTTTTTTGTTGTTTTGTTTGTTCTACTTCAGGGTTTAATGATTTTAATGCATTTTTAGTTGCGGGCGAGTTCAATTCAAATTCTGACGAGATGCTGGACGATTCTTCGTATCCAATGTTTGGCAAAGAGAGTGCGGAAGAAGTTCAAGAAGAAAAAGATGCCAATGAAGGTTGTACGTGCCCTCCGTAAGTTCTCTCTTTCATTGTTGTTGTTTTAGGTAATAAAAAGCCATTTATTTCATAAGCGACATCATGTTCCGCTTTTCTCGGTCATGTTTTGCTATAGTCGGTTTTTGGGCAAAGTAAAATAAAGTTTATACTTATTTTTTTGTTAAAATTGATTTTTAAATTTATATTTTACAACTAACTAATCTTTTTACGTTTTTTAGAGTTGTAAGAATATATTATTGTACCCGAACACACAAGCAAATAGCACAAGTTGTTAAAGAGTATTCAAGGTTACCTTATGCTTTTACTGGAATGTTAAAGTATGTTTTACTTTAAAACATATTATCAGAATGCATTAGAATGTCATGTTTAAAGGATGCTTTTATTTTTTTTATTGTACAATACGTGAAATTTGAAGTTGTCCTCGACAAATTTCAGTAAAATAAGTTTTTTTAATAAAGGACTCAATATTATAGACACACAATCCTAGCCAGTCGAAATCAGACCTGTGTGAACCCGGATATTCGAAAGAAGCCAGGGGATATTAACAAAAATTGTCGCGACTTGCTGAAGGAAGGCAAGAAGAACAAAGGAGCTGGATGTGAATGGCGAGAACCGCTGACTAAAAAGTATGAACGAGCGGGTACCTTGAGGTACGATTTGGAAGGAAAGATATCTAAAGGATGGGACATTGAAGAGATTACCGAGCAGTTGGGTCAGGGCAGGAACAAAATGTGTCCTTACTTTGCGACTACTAGATATCTGACTATGGATGCCGATATCATCTTCTGTCCGTTCAATTACTTGTTGGATCCGATCATTCGAACCTCTTCAGACGTGCATCCGAAGAATTCGGTCATAATATTGGACGAAGCTCACAATATTGAGGATGTTTGTCGCGATTCAGCTTCGTTTCAATTCAACGAAACCGAATTGGCTATCTCAATGGCTGATTTCAAAAACAAACTGGCTCGATTGGAGCAGGAGATTAAGCATTATAAGGAGGTGGCGTTTAGTGATGAGGATGAAACTGTCAGTTTCTTGAATTCTTTGGATAACAGCATGGTTGAGGTGGGTCTTTCGGGCTATTTGTTTGTTTTTTAAGCTGTATTTTACTTTTTTTATAGTGTAGAATGTGTTAAAAAGGTTCAAGATGGTCATTTTTTTTTAATTTACGTATTTTGAAATTTAATTTTAAAAAATTTTTGTGATAGGAGAACAAAAAAATAACGTTTATGGTGTGAACTATGATAATATAAAGGTTGTTTTAGATGAGTGATCTTCTAAAATGGTTCTACAACATTTTTTGTGATTTGACACACACAGCTTTAAATGGAAGTGGACGATCATATCCGATATCAATGAATCTCGATTGGATTAAAACCTTGGAACTATTCAAAATGATACAAGAACCGAAGTTTTCTCAGGAACTGAAAACTTACTCGGTGAGTTGAAATGGTTTTTAAAAGAGTTTTGGAAGGTATTTTTTTGGGTTCTCTACTTTGACCGTATTTTTCAACTTTTTTTTTTATGTTTGGCTTATGTGTATTTTACATTTAAAAGTCTTTTAACGTGAACTTCAAAGTTTGATGCAAGATTTTTGTATTCACTGAATGAACAGCGTTATGCTATTATAGAAAGCTTTTGAAATCATAAGCGGCAAAGGCTCGGAAGCACAGATAACGACAGTCGAATTGGGACAAATCATGCCGGCTCAGAGCACAGTAGTATGCGTCGAAAAAATACTGTACTTTTTGTATTTTTACAGTAAGGATGAGAACAGAAGCTATTACAAGTAAGTGTTCGTACATTCTTTGATATGTCATTAAATCTTAAGTGATAATTTGGGGAGGGGGTCAATTTGGGGTTTTAAAACAAGGATATTGTGGTATAAGAGTGTGATTTTTAATAGTTTAGCTCTTAATAAGGTCTATTTGACCAGTTTTTTGCTGTTTAACTCTTTATAAGGTATATTTCATTATTTTTTAATAGTTTAGCTCTTTAGAAGGTCCACTTTAACATATTTTTAGATCGAACTTGGTTATTGACACAGTAAGAAGCAAAATGGATTTTCAATCTCAGATGATGACACAAGAACATAACATTAGCTATCTTGTGAATGGCTGTAATGTCACATTGAATCTGTGGTGCATGCTACCTGCTGTGGTAAGGATTTTTACTAAATTTTGGTTTTCTATGTTGTGAGAGGCTGCTTTTTAATAAAAAAATTATTTTTTAGCTGATTAGATGGGTGATTTTGGTATGACATAGGGTAACAAAATTTGTTTGATTTTATTTAAAAGTGTCATTTCAGTCAGCCCGAGACGCGTTCGCCAAATGCCGAAGTGTAATCTTGGCTTCAGGCACCCTCCACCCAATAGAAACCTTCTCTACAGAACTCGGAATGGACTTTAAATTTCAAATGGAAGGTGATCAACTCATCGACAAGGACCGTATCTTTGCTACAGGACTGGCATTTGGACCAACCAACAAAACCTTCAAGTTAACCTATCGAGAAATGGAAAATGACATTGGAATTAAACTGGAACTGGCACGATTAGTATTCGATGTTTGTCGTGTCGTACCGAACGGAGTACTATGTTTTGTGGCGTCGTATCGTATGTTGGATGACATCATGAACCAGCTTCAGACGTCGGGGTTGTTAATGGAGTTGAACAAGTTTAAGGACGTGTTTCAAGAACCAAAGAACGCGATGGATATGCAAGAGGTGCAGGAAGAGTACGAGAGAAGTGCACAGTTTCCGAATAAGGGCAAGACTGGGGCTTTGATGTTGGCTGTGTTTAGGGGAAAGGTAAGGATTATTTGTTCAGGTGGTTATAATAGTTTTTTTTCTAAATTTTAACTAAAATTTATACTGTTTTATGAATGATAATATCTTTTCCTTCACTTTAAAGGCAGAAAACAGTTTATAAAAGGAAGACTTAACGCAATAACTATGAATAAAGGCATCATTTAGGTATCAGAAGGAATCGACTTTGCCGACGACAAAGCCAGATGTGTGATATCCATCGGTATCCCATTCCCAAACCTAAAAGACGAACAAGTTGCTCAAAAGCGAATCTTCAACGACGTAAACGCTAAGTCAATGACTCTACTATCAGGCTCGGAATGGTATTCAATGCAAGCTTTTCGAGCACTAAACCAAGCTTTAGGCAGATGCCTCAGGCACAGAAACGATTGGGGAGCTCTGATATTAGTCGACGATCGATTCCAAATGCCACAACCCAAGATCTCGAAGTGGGTGAGGGAAAGAATGATGAGATTTGTACAGTACTCGACATTCCGAGAACGATTGGTGCAGTTCGTGGAGAAACACTCGGAACAAAAGGTTAAAATGGAAGGCATGGAGAACATGGAAGACATTGTGGCTGCTGGAAGTAAGAGGAAGAGTTTGGGGATGAGAAAGAACCCAATGTTCAAGTAGGGTGGAGGTAACTGGGTGAGAGGAAGAAGAATGATGGGATGAGGTAAATATTGGGTATGGTTTAATTGTGAATACGAAACCTTTTTTGAAATTATTTATGAAATGATATAAGCATTTGAAATGCGGTTATTATCTACTATTATCCGGGTGAATTTGATAGAAGATTCTTGTTGGTTAGCATAATATGTTTGTTATGTCTTTTAAGAATATTGATTATGAACTGAAATTTATATTGTGAAACATAACTATCTTGTGTGACTACTATATGTATGTAACTTTTGTTGAATAAATAATATATGAATCCCCCCCCCCCTCTTTTCGAATAAAAAAAATGTTTTTTGCCCTGCTATTCTTCTTTAGGCTTCTCGGTCTACTTTTAGGCTAAAAAGAAGTCGTGGCTACCCTATATTAACAAAAATCGAATCCACAGTTTCGTGTATAATAGGTTGTTCATATAGTCGTGTGCCTTCTCTCAAAACAAACGTGCGGGGCTGTGGGCACAGAATTATCTGAACAACCGTAAAAGAATGACTTTTGAACAAAAAGTTTTCTTAATGTTCTCCTACCGTGTATAAGTATAATATATGTTGAAGTACATATAAGAAGCTAAATAAAGTCAAACAAGCTTGAAACCATAACAATTTATTAAAACAATAATTAATAAAACAATTCATAAGCCACCGTTTTGTCAATTCTACCTGTAATGTCGTGCCTAATTTGTTTAGTACAGTGCTTTTTGTAGCTACAGAGGGACACAAAGGTGCGTGGCTAGCAATTGTGCGGCATTGTCGAATCCACTGAAAAGAATAAAGTTATATATAGGTACCGTTTAAAAGGTACTATAATATGATTAGAACAAGGTTTTTCAAAAAAACTTTAATACGTTTTTTGGCTTTATGGGGAGAGGTATAGCTGTATACGTATGGTAAAAAAACCTTACGTTTTGTTCTCTTTGTCACGATTGGTATACTCGCTCAACCAGTAGCAGTAGGCAGTTTCTTTGCGCAGCTCGGTAAGAATCTTCGCAACTAGTGCTCTGTTGAAGGCTTTTTTCTTCTCATTGTGGCTCTCTTGAAGTAAAGTTTGCATCAGGGCCAGAACACATTTCAGTAGCACAATCTTTTCATCGTCGCTTCGTCTTGCCGATGTACACATCAAACTAACCATTCTACAGAACGTATCCAACGTCAACAAGCGTTGTCCTTCTCTATGTTGTAATTGCTCGAGTCGACTGGTTACATCAAGGCATATGTCCAAGTTTACCTCGAGGAACTTGATCAATTCATTAATGTCATCGTGCTGAATCCGGTGTTTCTTCATGATTTCCACAACGATTTCGTACGTCATGTTTTGGGTATCCTCATAACGTACAACGTAAATGCATTCACGGTACACTGCTTCTACTTTGGACTGGAAGTCTTCTGGAGCGTCGAAAATGTTACAGCATTGTTGTAGTTGAAGTGGCAACTTCTCGACTAGACGATGGCGGTCTTCTTGGTCCAACTCATTGTCGAAGCCGTTCTCTAACTGTAGATTCAATGCCATTTCTCCTTCTTCACACGCTACTTTGGTAATGTACTGTGTAGCGATACCCACCGTCGCATTACAGGCCTTCTGTACGAATTCGTCGACATCATTCATCAACATGTTTCTGTCCTTCAAGAGTAAGGTAAGGTTGTCCTTGATAGCCTTCTCTAACGGTAGTCGACACAAAGCTGGCGCGAGTTCAGTTATAAAGGGCACTAAGAGCTTCACGGCTTCAGACTTGATGGTTTCTGGGATTCTGTAGTCTTTCTGGATCAACGTTGTCGTAGCGGACAAGCTGATGTCAACAGCACGATCTACACTACCTTTAGTCGTTGTGTCTGTAGCGGTAAGTGTAGCCTCTTTAATAAGATCCTTGTATCGGTTGGGCACGTTGTAGAACTGGATGGTGGCATCAAGGGCTTTAATGAAGCTGCTCCAGTCAGCATTCTCGTTTTCAATGTACTGTACTAATGGGCTAGTACGTGGGTCGGATGGTACTGGTGATTCTCGGCTGTTCTTTATCTTCAGGACGTCAAAAGCTTCAATGTCATCAAGTTGAAGGTTCAGTGCTTCACAGAGGGCTTCAATCTCGAACTTCAGGTTTAACTTGAGGTTTTGTTGTTCATGGATGCCAGCAAGGACACTCAGAAGCCGTTGGATCCATGTGCTGTATACATTGAAGATCTCGGACTTTTTCACAGCTTTCAAGACGGCTGCCGCAAACGGCACGGCCAGGATAAGTTCGTCCTCACCGTCTACAAAGGCCTCAATCAACAACTTCTTTAGATCCAAGTCATCAAGATTGATTGGCTGATCTTTGCCGATAGTGATCAAACCGAGCCACTGGCCAATGTTCTTTAGCATCTTTCGTTCTATGTAATTCGAGGACGATGATCTTGAGCTGGTGTTGAACATCGTGTTTACAGACTTGTAAGTTTCGTTTAGTACGGCTTGCATTAATAATTCCTTATTAATATTGGTCAGTAATTGCACGTAGGTTTCATGCTGGTTGGGCTCGGCGGCTACACGTTTGGTCACGATGTAGTGGGCTAGCCACGCAACGACGGAATCGGATGTTTGGGTGATGATAATGTCGTTTATTTCGTGACAAACCGACGACAAGTTGGACACGGTCAAGTTATTTAAGAGGAAGGACACTCGGTACTTAATTTCTTCATCGACGAGTACGGGCATGGCTAATGGAGTTGGGCTTGAAGAAGAAGATGGAGCCTGTAAACGGTAATAATTGCTTTTTGTTTATTAATTAAATCTTATTTTATTTATTACTGATTCAAAGTAGAATTTTAAGACGTTTGTTATGTTACTGTAACTTTTTTATTGAAATTTGGTAAAGGTTGGTTATCAGGATATTAAACAAGATGCATTTGTTGACGGAACAGTGGTTTTATATTGAGACTTATTAACGAAGCTAACAGTAGAAGGAGCTTTAGAGTAATTTACTCTAGAGTACTGTCTTAGATTAACCATGAGAGCTTCAAAGTCGCTTTTACTGGTACTTCTCAACTTCTGCTAGCTGGTTTATACCTTGTTATTGGGTCTGATAATCGACTCTTACCGATTTAGAACGTTTACTATTATATTATTTGGATAAGGCGTAGTTACACAAGAAAGTAATTCAGATGTTCCATTCTTTTGGCCTGATCGGCCACAGTAAATTTATGACAAGAACTTTCTTTACAAAGCAGAAAATGGCAAAAAATTTTTTTACAAAGCATAAAATGACAAAAACTTATACTGTGCTTCAGAACCTTTATGTAGCTTCGAATCGTCGTATTTTCTGTTCAGATGAGAATCAAATTTAAAATTTTATATATTCTGATTCCAAACGTTCGATTTCAGATTGACATTAATAATTCACAAGACTAACTTACATAGAGATCAGCGATCTTGGCGAAAAAGTCCATTTTTGAAGTTGGAGGAGGTATTTTACAAAGTAGTAATAACACAAGCGGGCAGCAAGATGTATATCTTTCGATATGCGATTGGTATGTGGAGGAAGGGGTATTTATAGAGTCTGATTCTTACATTGCTATTACATATCAGGCAAACTCGCACAAATTTTTACTTTTTAATGTCTTGTCTCTTTTAAGCGGGAAAATCTGCGCGAGTCAACGAGAGAGCGGTTACATTAAGGTAGATTGGCAAACTCGCACAAATTTATAATGTCTAATCTTATATCTGTTTTAAAAGGGGAGATCTGCGCGGGAAACTTAATATGTAGTTAAGGAGAGAGCAGTTGAGGTTAAGAGAGGTTAGGCTTGACGTAAAGGGCTTTGAGATATCATAAAGGCTGTCGATTAAATATGTTAAAGAGAGTATGTTTGGAGAGAAAATTTGAACTATTACTCAAGGAAATTTGAGTTTTGCTAAGATATGTAAAAGATAAAAGCACATCAATTAACTACGCACGGCACGTTTTGCATAGATTCGATAAAGAACAGTCTTTGAAGGCAGATTATGATTCTTCCTAGCTCTGTTAACACTGTGAAAAATAAAAAAAACTTAAAATTTAAAATACATTTATATGCTTACACGGTAAGATGTGGTAAAATGGTATGAGATTGTACTGTTGTGAGAAAGTCAGTATTTTTTATCATATAATGTTTACATACTATATCTTTTGTTTTACAGTCAATTAATATACAATAATTAAAAGGATGTCTTACATTACAATTTGAAGAATTTTTAAATTTGTTTACAAGTTTGCGACTCTTACCATGTACTTGTAATTTTTTCCTTGTTATTAACTACATTTTGTGTGATTGTCCTATTTATAGGTTGAGCTTGAATATTAATACAGTAAGCGACAGACGGGCTATCTATCTTAAATGATAACACAAGAACATCACATCAGCTATCTTGTACGATTGAAAATTCACATTTACTTGATATTTTATGTAACAAACTTTGGTAAGTTTTTCTTGTACTTTAAAAAATTGAGTTTTGATGTTATTTAGAATGTATCATAATTTGATTTGGGTTTTGTAATTTATGATTATGAAGGGAGACGGGTGACAATTTTTGTTCTTTTTTGGTTTTACTAGTACATATGTGGTCTTGGATTTTAATTTAAACTCTATTTTAGTCCTAGATGCGTCTGTCGTGTCGTACCGAACGGAGTTCTTTGTTTTGTGCCGTTGTATCGTATATTGGATGCTATTCTGCGACATCTTCAGATCGTGCGTATCGGAGAACCGCATTAAGCCAAGATGATTATGGTTGATGATTTGCAAACTTCCGAGCACTAAATCAAGCCATAGTCAGCTGCTTCAGGCATAGAAACGGTTGAGGAGCTCGGATCTTGGTAGATGATCGATTCTGAATGCCACAACCAAAGATCTTGAAGTGGGTGAGGGAAAGAATGATGAGGTTCGTACAGTACTCAACGTTCCGAGAACGATTGGTACAGTTTGTGGAAAAGCATTTGGAACAGAAGGTTAAAATGGAAGGCATGGAGAATATGAAAGACATTGTGGCAGCAGGGAGTAAGGGGAAGAGTCTGAGGATGCGAAAGAACTTAGGTTTTAAGTTGGGTACTGTTGTTTTCTCCGCCTTTGATTCTAGTTATGTCTATTTGCTTTATAAGAGTATTGAGTATGAACGGAAATTTATATAATGTTGTGGCACAAAATTCGAAGTACCTACAAACGAATGCCCGTTGATTATAGACTATGGCATGGAATTGGAAATCAACAGGAAAACCACATTTAACTTTTTTAATTTGTTTGTCTCTTCTTCTAGAGCTCAGCCTTTACTATATATTATTTTATCTACAGATATCAGCAAAAAAAGCCAAATATTTTTCAATATATAAGTATTTATTACAACAAAAACTAATATAAATATCAAATATTACAAGTTTTATATACTCATATTTCCACTATCTGTAGACAAAGGCGTTAAACAGCCAGATGATCCTAAGGAACCTTCTGTATCGTCGTCTACGCTGTACCGCTGTTGTAGATAAAGCGGAAGCTTTTTGATCACATGAGGTTGGCCCGATCTGTAGTCGAGTCTTCGTTCCAGGTGTAGCATTAGGGCTCTTCTCCCTTCTTCACACGCTATTTTGGTGATGTACTCTGTAGCAATGTCGACGGTCGCATTACTAGCCATCTGGACAATGTCATTCACACCAGACGTCAACAAGTTGTTGATACTTAACAGTATCACGAGGCTGTTTTGGATGGCTTTTTCTAATTGTGTACGGCAAAAAGCAGGTGTCGCTTCCCTAATTGTTGTCAGCAACAACTCTGTAGCTTCAGACTTCATTGTTTCTTGAAGCTCACCGTACTTCTGGATGAAGATTGAAGTCACGGTCAATGAGAAGTCGACAGGACGGTCAACACACACAAAACCGGTTGCTGTTGTAGCAGCTATTGTAGCTTGTCTAATCATGGTCTTGTAGCTGCTGTCGACGTCGTAGAGCTAAATGGTAGCGTCTAGGGCTTGAATGAAGATGGTCCAATCATAGGTATCATGCTCAATGTACTGTTCTAACGGGCTGATGCGCGGGGCTGGTGGTACTGTAGAGGAAAGAGTCTTTTTGGCTTCCATCACGTCGAAGGCTTCAATATCTTCTAACTTGAGCTTCAGGTCAGGTTGTTTGTGAAGTCCGGCCAGAACACACAGTAGCTGTTGGACCCAGGTGTCATTTGTCGTGAAGGTTGTAGACTTCTCCACTGATTTTAAGACGGCCGCCACGAACGGTACGGTGAGCAGAAGCTTGTTTTCTCCATCTACGAAAGCTTCAATCAAAAGCTTCTTTAAGTCCAAGTCGATTTGCTGGTCTTGGGCGATAGTAACCAAGCCGAGCCAGTGGCCGATATTCTTCAACACCTTTCTCTCCATGTGGTTGGAAGCCGAATATTTGGAGGCGGAGTTGAACATTGTGTTTGCAGCTTGGTAAGTTTCGTTTAGAACAGCTTTCATCAATAGTTTCTTATTAATATTGGCCAACAATTGCAGGTACATGTCGTGTTGGTTGGGCTCAGCTGCCACACGTTTGGTCACGATGTAGCGTGCCAACCACGCAACAACGTCATCAGAATTTTGCGTGATGATCAAGTCATTGATTTCATGGCAAACCGACGACAAAGATGTCACGCTCAAGTTGTTGAACAAGAACGAGACTCGGTACTTGGTGTCTTCATCGATGAAAACGGGCTTGGCGGATGGAACTAGGCTTGGAGAAGCAGATGAAGCCTGGAAACGGTAAGAATTGTTTTTTGTTTATTATTAAGGGCTTATTTTATATATTAGTTTATTGAAATTGATTTTTAAGATGTTTGTCTTGTTACCGTAAATTATTTATTAGAAGTTGTTAAAAGTTGGTTATCAGAACGTTGAACAAGACGTATAGTTTGTTGAATATAATCACTATTTTTATATTGATCTTCTTATACTAAGATAACAATTAAAGAAACTGTAGAGTACTATAAATTTGACTATACTGGCTGTGACAGCTTAAAAGTCGCTTTTACTGTTACTCGTCAACTTCCTTCAGCTTTTGCATATCTTGTTATTGTGTCTGATAATCGACTCTTACCGATTTAGAATTTTTTTATTGTATTAGTTTGCTAAGTCATAGATAAACAGGAAAGTAACCCTTCTGTGTCTCATCTCACAGAAGGGTTACTGTCTTCTTAATCCTGAACGGCCACAGAACATAATAACTTGGTTCACAACCTTTATCCGGCGTTAAATCTTCGTATTTTATATTCCGATGTTAAGAAAATTCAACATTTGATTTCAGGTTAACACTACAAGATTTTAACTTACATTGAGTTCAGCGATCTTGGAGAAGGATTCCATTTTTGAAGATGAAGTTGGACACAGGGTAAAGTAGGTCGAACACACGAGTACGAGGATGTATATCTTTCGATATGCGGTGAGTATGTGTAGGAAGGGGTATTTATAGTGTTTGATTCTTACATTGGTATTACATAAGTGGCCAACTCGCACAAATTTATAATTTGTTATCTTTTATCGTTTTAAAAAGAAAAATATTGCGAGAGAAACCTAGTTGAGAGAGGAGGAAGGGTTAAGAGAGGTCAGGCTTTACGTAATAGGCCTTCAGCTATCATATATGTTGTCGCTGAAATATTTTAAAGTCAGTAAATAAGGAGATAAGATTTGAACTATTACATAATTTAAAAAACTGAAATTTTAGTTAAAAAACGGGTACAAAAGGAAAGTACGTCTGAGTAACAATGATTTTGCACGATGCGTTTTGCATAAATTTGACAAATACAGTGGAACTCCTGTATAACGAACTCCTCTATAACGAAACTACTGTATAACGAACAACTTTTGAATCCCCGTCTAGCACTACACAGTGCATTTAAAACTCCTCTATAACGAAACTCCTTTATAACGAACGAATTTCAAATCCCCGAGCGATTCGTTATACAGGAGTTCCACTGTAATAGAATCTTTAAAGGTATAATAGGTCATAGCTTGGGAGCCTGTTCTAGGCTTTTACGGAATTTAAGTTTTGAAAAATAAGCCCAATTTAAAATAGAGATAATTTTACAGATATGAGTAACTTTGTATGAGAGTGTACTTTAGTCAAAGTCAGTATTTTACTATTTTCATTACTGTATCTTAACATTAAATTTTTTAGTATTCTAGACACGGCAAAACTCATTGCAACTCTCCCAACACTAAACTAAGATCAAGGAAGATGTCGGAAAAACAGAAACGATTAGATCAATATTGATGAAGAGGTGAGGTAAATTTTTAAAAATATTTAGAATGTTTTAGTTTTACAGTAAAAGTTTTAAAAAAAGTTGCCATAAATATAGAAAAAAGTCCTTTCTGTATGCAGAATTATGATTTTTATACTTAATTTTTACAATTAGCTATCACGATTAGTTCAAAAGATGAACTAACTGTATTAAAAATTACACTTTTTAAATGTTTAAAGCTGTTTAGAAAGTCACGTAGATTGATAAGTATAAAGAGCGCTCACTTTTTATCTCATATCAAGGTTTATATATGTTTGTTTATCATTAGCTTTTTAATTTATATTTTTAAAGATTTTGCATAAATTATTTTTAAATTTATTTTTAAATATTATTAGGGGTTGGCTTAGGTAGCTAAAATACTTTTATTTTTAAATTCGCAGGAGGGGGGGGGGGGAATCTATTCTTGATGGACGATAAGTCTGGTTCATATGACGAGATTTACCCTATTTTATATTTCTAAATTTTCTAAAAATTATAATTAAAAAATTATAAATAAATTTTTGAGGATGGTACGAGTGGCTGTAGTTCAACATGGACCTGTTCTGTATGACACTCCTAAAACGATTGATAAAGTGCGAGAATTGACTAGGAAGGCTGCTTCAGATGGTGCTGAACTAGTGTTGTTTCCAGGTATGGTGAGAAATTTAATTTCTGGAATAGTTACTGTATTCAAGACAGGGTAATTTTCCATTTTTATATCAAGGTATTCGAAGAAGGGATATAGCTCATCTTTATATAAAAAAAGGTTTTTTTTCGGGGAGGTTGTAGTTGCACTGCCTAACCTTGACTGTATTGAAAAGTTATGTAAGACTTTATTGGTATTTTGACACCAATGATACTGTAACTTTTTTTGGTGTTTTTAATCTATCTTTGCTCCTATTGGTGGTAAAATGAACTCATATAAAAATTTTTTAGCCGATTCTGAACGAGGCAGGTTGGGTATTTTCTCTGTAAGTTGTGCATTTTATACGTGATACGCAGTTACATTAAGTCAACCTTTTCAGAAGCCTTCATTGGAGGCTACATTAAAGGCGAGACTTTTGGTATTTCAATGGGTAAAAGAAGTGAGGAAGGTCGAGACGAATTCAAAAGATATTTCAAAAGTGCTATTGAGTACGGAGGCCAAGAATCAGAGCAGCTGGCTTCAATAGCCAGTGAATTCAACGTCATTTTGGTTATCGGAGTTGTAGAACGAGAAGGTGGTACTTTGTACTGTGCTGTAAGTTTTTACTCTGATTAAAGCTGAGTACTATAATGTTATAGTTAGTTGAGTACAGCTTATAATGTTATAGGAGGCTAGCCGAATCTTAAAAATTAATCTTTTTTGAAAATTTAAATTAAAAAATTGAAATTTTAGGTATTTTTCTACTCTGAAGCCGGTGAACATCTTGGAAAACACCGCAAACTAATCCCAACAGCACTAGAACGCTGTGTTTGGGGCCAAGGCGATGGTAGTACTATTGACACCATAAACACCAAAGTTGGTACCATTGGTGCAGCCATATGTTGGGAAAATTACATGCCATTGCTTCGTTTCTCAATGTACCGTGATGGCGTACAAATATACTTGGCACCAACTGTAGACGACCGTGATGTATGGCTTCCAACTATGACCACAATAGCTCTGGAAGGCAGATGCTTTGTCGTATCAGCTTGTCAGTTTATGACTTCCGCCGACTTCTCTCAAGATCATGAGAGTTATAAAGCTGTTAATGAGGATGGAAGTGCTAATGTGCTGATTCGAGGAGGGTCGTGTGTTGTGTCGCCATTGGGCAAAGTGTTGGTACAGCCGGTGTTCAATAAGGCAGTGGTTCATGTTGTTGATCTTGACATGGACGAGATTATTAGAGGGAAATTTGACCTGGATACAGTTGGTCACTACAATCGACCAGACGTCTTTCAACTTACTGTAAAAAAACAAAAATTGTGATTATGATTGTAATTGACTGTAATTGGAATCTTGTAATAAATAAACATTTTTTGAAATTTGACTTTTTAAAATTATGCATAAAACGTATTTTACTACCTAATTTTTTAAAAAGTAGTATTAAAAAAGGCAATTCAATCCCAAATTGTGCTTATTAAGCTAAATATACACCATAATAAACTATAATCTTTGTACCTTATTAACATGATGTACTTTGATCGTTTATTCAAACTTTTGGCCAAATGCGCACAAATTTTCGCAAACCTTGATGTATCTTTTAATAAATTACGTAAGGCATTAAAGTTTAAACCCTTTGAAGCTAAAGTGATTGTAAACCATTAAATGTCTCTTTATAAAATTTTGTGCGCAACTTTTGTCTTCTGATTTTGTATATCTGATTTTTGTGCAAGTCGACAATCTCTATAAATACTCAAAGTTTTTGATAATTCTTCACTCATCGTAAGCTTCAAACAAGTGATATCTTGCTCTTCTCGCTCTCTTCAACTTCATCACCAACAAGAAAATGTTCACCATGACTGCTGTTAACAATGTAAGCTAATATTATTGTATATAATTTTTTACATAATTTGAACTTTCTTTATAACACGGGTTGTAATTATTGTTATTGTAGGCTTCAACTTTCGCCATAGCCAACGCTGTCCCAATGAACATGTTCTACAACGTCGAAGACCGTGTAGCCTATCTGTTCAATAGCTTGAACGGTGCTTCCTTGTCTATTGACTGTGATGAGATGATGGACATCCTTAAAAGCCACCTAACTGCCACCATGCTCAACTAGTTGGCCAACTACATTGTCAACAGGCGTGTAGCCACCGAGCCGAACCAACATCAACTCTACGTCAAATTCTTGGCCAAACTAGGCAACGAACAGTTGATGGATGCTGTCATGGAAGAAACCTACAAGACCATCCATTTAATGCATTCATCTGGTACTTTAAGACCTACAAGCTACGTTGATAAGAAGACGTTCTGAAAGCTTGGACATTGGTTGGGCGCTGTGACGATTGGCCAAGATCAACCAGTCAACATTGATGACCTAGATCTAAAAATGTTGTTGATCAACGCTTTTGCGAACGGAGAAAACGACCTACTGTATGTTGTACCGTTTGTCATCAGTTTTCCGAAGTTTGTCAAGCAGTCAAGTATATTCACCGTGCGAAACACTTGGATCAGAAGGATTTTGATAGTTTTGGTTGGTATCCGCAAACAGCCAAATCTGAAACTTAGCTTAAAGCTAGAGATCAAAGCTTTATGGGGTAAGAAACGGGCGTGGCCGGCTCTGAACTGTAGTTGAAAGAAGCCGGACTTAATATTTGGCCCGAGCTTAAAAACTTTAAAAAATTACATAGGTAATGTGTCAATTTTTTGCAAATTTTTTTTGACTTGGTGTATTGGATTTTGGAATAGGGGTAAGAAACAGGCCGGGCCGGGCCCACGTTTCATGGTCCAATTCTTAGGCCCGACCTGTTTTCATTTTTACATCAGGCCAGCCCGGCCCCAATTTTTTTACGGGCAAACAGCTTTTAATGTTTTGCGTCCGGCCGTGACGGTCTGGATTTTTGAATTTATTTTTCCCGCCAAACCCATGTCTCAAAAACTACTATAGATACCAAAAAACTAACAGCATTAGAAGGGCGTGCAATCGCTTTTTCCTTTTTGTTCCATTATAAAAATGCTCTAAAAACACTACTAATGATACACTACATGGTGTACCATGTATTTCTGCGAAAAGTAAAAGCTTACTAGTCTAAATTGGGCGGTTCTTTTTTTAGTACACTTGAAATTGCGGGCGGATTTGGTATTAGTACCTTGTTTTTGTATGTTCGGCGGACGGTCGGCGGAGGCCGGCGAAGGCTATTTTGTTGTTTTGACCAATCCAAACCTTGATTTTGGGTCCCTATGACACCTGCTAATTCGTCAAAACCTTTTGCAATCAAAAAATGTTTTTCTCTGCGTCGGCGAACAATCGGCGGAGAAAAATTTATCCGCTAATCATTTTTTAAGCATAAGGTTTGATTAAAAAGGTTGCTATAGTCAAAGGGGAATCCTCAGTTTTTATTCGGTAAAAAAATCTTAAAAATTGACCATGATATGGCCTTCGCCGATTATCTCCGCCGACTGTCAGCCAATATGTAAAACATATTTTTTTTCATTTAAAAAGTAATTAAAACAGTTAAAAACTTAAAAGAATAGCCCCAGTTTTTGTCCGGTAAAAAAATAGGAGTTGGGCCCTCCGCCGATTTTCTCTGCCGATCGTTCGCCGATTTAAACAATATAACTTTTTCTTAGTTTAAAATTTCATTAAATAGTTTAAAAGCTCAATAAGAATATCCCCAGTCTTTATCCGGGGAAAAAATATCGGGTTTGAGTGGAGTTATGGCCTTCGCCGATTTTCTCCGCCGGTCGTCCGCCGATTTAAGAAATATAGCTTTTTTAATTTAGAATTTTACTAAAATAGTTTAAAAGCTCAAAAGAATACCTGCAGTCTTTGTACGGTGGAAAAATGTTGGGTTTGAGCGGTGTTATGGCCTTCACCGATTTTCTCCGCCGACGCGGAGAAATTTTTTAAAAAATTTTAAAAAGCGGGCTTTTAGCGGGCCGGGCCGGGCTTTAGGGCGGGCTGGGCCGGGCCGGGCAGAAAAAAAATTGAAACGGGCCGGGCCGGAAGGTGCCGGCCCGCGGGCCGGGCCTGAAAATCGGCCCGGCCCGTTTGCCATGTCTATCTGGCCCGAAAAGAATTCTTTGCCGGGCTTTGATTTTCAGGCCCGGCCAGATGTAAATTTAGCTCAAAACCGCCTACACGTTCCTCATTCCTACTTTGAAAGTTTAAGTTTCGTTCGTTTAAGCCTTATTAGCTTAAGCAATTTTATTGTAAATTTTAAAAAAATTTCAGCGTCCACTTAAACAATCGTCTTCTTTAAGACTATGGATAACAGAAGATGCATTTACTGCAACTTCTAATGGTGGAACTAAGCTTTGGTTTACAGAAATAGAAGATTTGGAAGACTACATCATCAATAAAGTTTGCAGTAATGAACTAACAAAATTAGAATTAATAACAGAATCCTTAAAACCTGACCACATAAATTGGTTTGTTCGACCAAGAAGAAAGCACCAATTTTGTCCCGAAAACCGCGACGAGAGTTGCAAAGTTGTTGAATAATAAGATTTAATGGTCGTAAAAAACGGTTAAAATAGTTCTAAAAAATTTATAATTATTTTTGATAATTAAAAATCGAAAGTTTTACTTTTAATATAAAACAAAAATTAACTTCGAAACAAGGGCGGACAGACGAAAATCTTTATTTTACCTTTTTAATACGGTACTCGTTGATGAACTTAAAGACCACATAGCTACCATTGCGTGCTATTATCAGTTCACCTCACAACTAATTGACACTAAAGCAACTGAACTTAAAATATTTGGCTTAAAAAACATATGGCGGAACAATGTCACCATTCATTGTAAGTTATCTTTGTTTTACGATACAATCGATTGCGTTAAGGGTGAGAAACAGACCGTGTAGACCCGGCCCAGCGTGGCTGGTTAAGCTAAAGGTACAACGCGTTGGGTCTAAAAGCGGAGCTTGGCCCGCGGTAGATTGAAAAGTAGGGTGGTGCCCAACAATGATTTTTTAAAAAATTTTATTTAAAAGCTCGACCTGTTTTTCACTCTTAATGTTGTTTTTATATGTGCCTGTCTATTAAACTTATTCTTAAACTTGGACAAAAGTCAAATATCTTTTTAATAATTTTTTGTTTAAAAACGACTTATTTTAAGAATATTATGTTTTTAGGTTTAACACATTTACAAACCTCGCAAATAGAAACAATGCATTTGCCAGATCTGGAAGTTTTGTTTACTTGTAAAAAGAATCCAGTTGTATTTCCACCTTTCAACAACGTCACTTCACTCTCAATACAGATGGGATTCATGCAGAGCTTAAATTTTGTTGATTTGGATCTTTTATATCAAGGATTAATGGATATGTATCCAAATATGAAAGAACTTACTATGAGGACACCATTTGGTCCATACTATTTCAACTGCGCTGATTATTCCCGTGAAAAGATGAACGCCATTTGCAACTGTGCGAAGAAATTCAACGTGGATACCGTAGTTTTGATCAGTGCTGTTAAAAATTTGAATAACCTTGAATAAAAAAATTGTTTTGTCTCTTTGTTCAAATCATTTTGAACAAAAAATTGGTTTGTTTGATTATTCAAATTGTTTTGTTTTTAACAGCACTGGTTTCGATACAGCTTTGTCACGATCTTTTGTCCATATTTTTGAGCACGTTTACTGTTGTTTGGGGCATGGATTATACAAACAAGACAGATGAAAATTACCTTTATTACATTTTTAAATTTGTGAAAGCTTGCGTTACTGTAAAAGTTGTTTTGACAGAAGGTTCGAAAAAGACCTCGTATGTCGCTGCCATGTATCCTTTAAATTTTTAATAAATATTTTTTTGTTTATAAATAAATAAGTTTATTTCAAAAATCGTCAACATTAACACAATTTGGACAAAAAGAATTTGGAAGAATTGAGCTAAAATGAAAGGAATTACACGTCTATGTTAATATAAGTTGGACTATCGTTTTTCAGACAAAAAGAGCGTATTCCAAAGAAAAGAAAGGTCTACTATGACATTATTTGACGTTTACTCCATTTTTTCCAAAAAAAATATTTTTCAATCCAAAACTACTAGTCCAGTCTATACCAACACTAACCGATTATGAGCTTACACATAGAAATAGATAACGTAAACACGTTCCAATATGTTACAATAGACACGTCGGGACAGGTTTATATTAGTTTGTTCAAATAATTCTGTTCCCCCTTACTTTAATCAAATAATTCTGAAAAGTTGCTTTTAGAAAACGCACAGAATTATTTGAACAACCTAATAGGTAACTCGGGGATTTCGATTCATTAGTTTGGAGAGATCTAAAATACAACAAAAGTGAGCTGAATACAATAAAAATAGACATTTTGTTCGCTATTTGATTATTAATTTTTCTGATGTTACCCATTGAGACACAAAAAATACCGTTACAATCTGGGAAACAATGAAAATGGCAATTTGGAATTGTGTTAGAAAGGTTGAAAATAGGCAGTAAAAAGCAAAAACAAAAAAAAATTGTTACCTAAAAATGCCTTTAAAAGCCCAAAAACCGCCAGTAATTTACAAAATCATCCAAAAAAATCGTAAAAATTGCCATTTCCAAGCTTCTACAACAACAAAAAATAAAAAAGACAGTGTTTTTCTGCAAGATATGACAATGAAAGTTGAGAGGAAAGAACAATATCTAATACCTTTAGAATCAAAACTAAGAAAAAACTTAACGAAAAGTTCACAAAGACCCTGTAAAGTACCCTAAAACAACGCAAAAAGACCTAAAACAATGGAAAGAAGACCTAAAACAAATAAAAAAGAAACAGACAATACTAAAACTAGTCTATATAGAAGTCAAACAACAACTGAAAGTAGTGGTACTGGTCATACTATAACCTAAAAAGCCAAACATAGTACTAGTATTCACCATATTGTAGATGAAAAGCCCAAAAAGAGTACTAATCCGTATTATACTATAGCCTAAAAGACCGCCAATAGTACTAGTAATCATCGTGTTATAGTCTAAACAACCGACAATAGTACTAAAAATCATTATATAATAGCTGAAAAACCCGAAAAGAGTACTAATTAATACTCATCACACTCTAACTCAACAAGCCAAATGTAGTACTATTACTCAACATACTAAAACAAAAACAGTACTAATACTCATCTTTTCCCTACGTCAACTCACCCTACAGTATTAAAAGTACAAAAACTATCAAAACCACCCACACCTTAATTATAAAACCGATTGACGACCTGTTTCAATCGATTGTTAGGGCTCAGTGAGCTGTTGAAGAGCTCGTCATGATTGGACCCGGCGGTGTTATTCGACAACTTGGGTGAGCTTTGATTGACATAGGCCTTGTTAACGGGCGTGTTGAATCTCTTCGATGTGGTTGGCTGTTTCTTTCCGTTTTCAGAGCCTGGAGTTGAATGGAAGAGGGGGGAAGCTGAGAGCTCTCCTGATAAGCCTAGGGATCCATCTGCTGAGGTTTGATAGGCATAGACTCTAGATGAGTTCATGTCGTATCTGGGGGTTAGTGAGCGGCGATTGAAAATGTAGTAAACTGAAAAAGAAAAAATTATAATTTTTTTTAAATTTTGATTTGACGATCTTGTACTAGACTAAAATTTGTTTAGCTAGACTAAAATTAATTAGGCTAACCTAAACTTTGTTTAGCTAGTCCAATCATGACCAAACAAACCTCAAACTTACAAAAACACCCCTAAAACCTCGAAAAACCCTTTATATTACTACAAATTCTATACCAAAAACCTACACAACATTCCAACCGTAGCAAAGAAGAAGGTCAACATCATGACCAACGTTGTAGCCGGGTTGTTATCGAAGAATTCTCCCAGAATCCGTCCAATTCCATGTTGTGCTTCATACGCAGTTTCTTTGACTTTTTCGTATGATTCGGCAATGGTCAAGTTGTTTGATACATCTTCCTCATCTTTTAGTTCTTCTGGGCTTAGATCAGCAACTGATAATCTCAAATATGTGGCAATGCGGGAGTCTTTCGGGTCCCATACTTTAAGCACAGTTTCTCCATCGTATTTTAGGTAGATTTTGAGTTTGCGGCGATCTTCCGAGGCTTCAATCTCTGTGAGGTCAAATCTGAAAAAAAAAATTTTTTTAGTTCGAAAAATTTAATTTTTTTTTAAAAAACCACCCCCAAAAAACCCATCAAACCCCTACCTATGAGGCCTGAATGCCACCCTATTATTGGCTGCATGTAAGACCCGTCCTCTCGCGTCTCTGAATCCCACATTCACGGTGATCCAGTTGCCTGGCATCAAATGTTCACGGACTCGTTTCGTCTTTCCTTCCACTGTCAAATGAATTGATTTGGCTGCTGTGACCTCCACCGTGACAAACTGGCTGTTGTTGTAGACAGAGCTGTTGTGTTGGACTAGGAGAGCGCCGACTCCTTCTTGTGAGCCCGATTCCAGGAGGATTTCCGGCAGTCCGTCCGAGGTTTCGGTCGATTTTATTTCGAAGAGTGGGGCGGATTCGCGATGGACCTTGTATTGAGTTTGGTCGGTTGGTCTGAAAGCAAAAAAAATAAGAAAAAAATTTTCAAATATGAATCAAAAATGGCAAAAATTTTTTTTTCATTTATATAAAACACTAAATTACGTCCCTCCGGGCGACTAAAAGTTTTGTCGCAAGTTTCCACTACCTTCCATACTAAAAAACAACAAAACTTTGGATTCCCTCCTTATACCATAAGTAACAAATACTTATCAATACCACACCCTCCTTACCTATTAATGCTCAAAGGCAAGCTAGTTAACGGTGTAACTCTAATCGTTGGCTGTTTTTCCAAGAACGGTGCCACAAATGCTAAAGAATCTTGAACATCAATTCTGATGGCACTTGAAAAGTGTGAATCCCTGGTCTGGAACTGCTTGTATCCTCTGGAATGTGGTGTGACTTTAACTTCCAGCTCCGCCACACCTGGTTTTAGTGCTCTTAGTTGCGTGGCAAACTGATTTTCCGGTTTCTGATTGAAGAGGCTTCTGGTCACGGATTCAAAAGTCAGAATCTCGGCGTCTGGCTTGGAAAGGGTCCATTCTACGGTCAATGGGTAATCGGCTCCACCAAAGGAGAATGGAGATTCATCTGATCCTGTGAGGCCTTCAACTCTGGCTTCTAAAACGTCTCTCGTCTCCACTAACAAAGATGATACGACGATTCTGACACCAGCCAGGGATACCACCTTTAATGTGACTTGATTAGACGTGACTTTTCGGCCGGCCACTCCAATCGCAGCTGTTATCGAGCTGTAGCCAAGAGTCTGAGTTGATCTTATCAGGCCTTCTGAGATCTTGGCTATGGCAGTGTTATTCATCTCATAGTGGACATCTCTCAACGGTTTTGGACCGCCCAAGACTTCTAGTTCAAACACTGATTCTGGAATCAACGTCAATTCCTTTGGGTCCAAAACTAATGGTGAAAAGACCTGTAGATGATGTTGTGCGCTTCTGATCGTCTTCGTAGTAGCCGATATGGCTGATACCGTGATTGGAGTTACTCCAATCTTTAGACCAGTAGCTTTGTAGGATAACAAGCCCTCTTTCTTCAGAATTATCAGTTGATCATTGTATTCCAGGTTCAGATTGATCTCTTGAATGTCCTCTAACGCGAATTCCTTGCCTTCCACGTCGGTTATGACAATATCCAGATGTATATCACCATTCAGTTCCACAAACTCGCTTCCTTTGATCTCGATCTTACTGATCTCTGTCACTTTCACTGGGATTTCAATTTCATGGCCAATGATGCAGAGATCTTGAACTACCAGCTTAGTGACACCTTCTCTGACCGGGCTCAGCTGAATTTGTGTTTCAGTCCGTTCCTTGTTGGGCAGAAGATAGGCTGATACGTATGTTCCACTGAGTGTGTGATCAATGTAGAATTGTCCTGAGCCGCCGTGAAGGGTTATTGTGGCTCGAGCGTCCTTTTGGTTCCAGATGACAATTGATGATGTGTTTGGTTTAGCTAGATCGACTAGATTTAGGACCAGGTTAGCTGTTAGTGTTCTTCCAATTGATCTTTTGTTTCCTTTTACATTGAACTGGTGTGATGAGGCATGGATGTCAAGGACTCCTGGCTTCCCTGATGGTTGCAGCTCAGCCAAAACTGAAAATTTATGTGTATAATCGATATATTCTTCATCTCTTTATGTAAAAGAAAGTATAATATCCATTCCTTTATCTTTACAACAACTAGCCTACATCGTTTTAAACCAAAAAGCATATATTATTCATCTTTTAACCTCAAAAACGAGCTCTAAGAACCCTCAACCTTAAAAAAAATCGTATTTCAAGCCAACTTACTGCTTTCCAACTTCTGATTCTTATCCAAACGGTCGATTGAAGCCAATGAAGTTTGTTTTACATTGAACTCAGTGATTAATGAAGCAATCGAGGTGAACTTTCTTTCCATGGCATCTTCACCTTGACTGGGACATTGACCGAAAGCTGTCAGTTCGAGGTAGGTTGGTTCGCCGAAGAACACCGAGTGCTAAAACATGTTAACATAGACCGAGAAAATGACATTCAATAGCTTAAAGCTCCAAAAATACCGTCCTCCCCCCCCCCTCCCTTCTCATCTATTCTAACACTACCGTACCCTGTATAATTGGCAATCTATCACAACCTCAACTCACCGTATTAGCCTGACACCCATCACTAGCCCTTCTTTTAGCCTGTTGAGTCAATGCCAGTCGAGACGGCACGGAACAACATAGTCTAGCTTGAGCAATGGCATGGACTGGGTATGGTAGATTCTTGGCTTTTCTGTTTCCAACCTTGACAGTTACTGTAGTTTCAGCCATGTCACTCTTGCATAACACATTGTAAGCATCACCTAATAGGACAATTTCTCCGATTCTATCGTCCGCTGTGTTCACGTTGGTGTAGTATTTGCTTGGATCGTGCGAATATGGTCTTGGACCGCCTTCGAATTTGAATGGGGCTGAAGAGCCAAGACCGAGAAGGAGCTCTGAGTCTACTGTAATCTAAAATATTTATTTTAGCTTAAACTAGATTCTTTTTTTACAGATTTTTACCTTGTTTTATAATTCAAAATACCAAACAAGAACTCGAAGTCTCCTATTTTATCTTTTACAACCGTCAAAACTGAACTTTTGTCTATACAACTCTTCAAAGTCATTTTTAACCAAAAACCCTTTAAAATCAACCTCCAAAGTACAGCAAAACCTTTTGAATCCTCAATAACCCATTTTACCATCAGTTTTGTTACATATACAATCCATTCCCTTCGTATTTTTCCAAAATCACTATAAAGCACCCACCTTCAAAGGCTTAAAAGCGTAGACTTCAATCAATGCCCTTAAGCTTCCATATGACACTGTTACTTTACTGTCGCCAAGGCCTTTCGCAATTAGAGTAATACTCGAACATCCGTCATTTTGAGGGCTCAGTTCTGCTGGTTTTGCTAAAATTTGTTATTCAAATTAATATTAACATCAATATATCATCAAAATATTAAAAATTTTCATAAAACCAATGTTGTAGTAGAAAAAGTAAAATAATTTCATAAAAATCGTAAAAGATAAAAAATGTCACAACTAATGTGATGTTCATCATTCCTCCCACAACACTCACTTTTATCGACCGCATACACATTTTGATTAGCAATCTGTACACTGAAATCGTAGTTTCGACAGTCTGTGAATGGTACTGGTGCACCGTTCAAATCGGCCAACATTTTGATGTTCAATGTTAATGTTGAGCCAATTTCAGCTTCCACGACTGATGGGCCAAATTCCAAGGATTTTGGTTCTAAGACAATTACCTAAAATTACAAATTTTTTAAATTAATCCCTCAAAATAAAAAGCAATTTTTTAAAATAAAAATCACTCATTCACACCTTTTGCCTTACTTGTTAGCTCTACAACATTTAAAAAAAAATCACCATCCCCCCCTTCCAAAAATTTCTACCCCGCCCAAAATTTTTTCTCAAACAAAATCCCTCACTCTTCAGAAAAACAAACAATTTTACAAAAAAAAGCTAACCCCTCCCCCCCCACCAAAAAATTATTTTACCCCGCCCAATTTTTTCCGAAAAAAACCCCTCACAATATAGAAAAAAAATAATTTTACAACAAAATTTTTTTTACTCTGCCCTCCTTAAAAACAATATTCTAAATCCCTTACCTTAGCCAAGTCTCTATGCTGTTCATTCCGATAATCAGCGACATGAACAATGGTCTCTCCAATTTCACCACTCTGTACCACACCAGCATCCGATACTGTACCCACACTAGTGTCTTCACTAGACCAAACAAAGATGCCCGATCCACCTGAGACCTTCAGTTTGTACTTGTATTGGGAATTGTGTTGATATGGGAAGATCAAAGTCTTTGGTGTTACATCCACCGCTTCGAAGATTTCGGCTTTTTGTTCGCCGAAAATTGGCACTGCCACTTTTTGGGTGTATCCATTGATGTCTGTGATTTGCATAAAGTGAGATTTTATCGTAGTTGCACCAACTTTCTTGGCTCTGACTTTGAAGTGGGTATTGTTCAGGGTTCCTTCGATAACTTCTAGGTAGTCCGTGAGGTCTGTGTCGAATTTGGCGTTCTGGAAATAAGTTTATCAATAAAAAAGTTAAATTTACTAAAATTAAATAAATATTTTACATTTTAAAGCGTTATTTTAAGTATATAAACTTAAATTTCAAAAAATAATTATATCCACCATAACCAGAACCTCCAAAAAGCTTTAAAACACCCTTTAAACTACCAAAAAAATAATAAATTCACTAAAAATGCTCTAAAAGTCAATAAAACCCTCAAAAACCCTTTAAAACTGACCTCAGGAATATAGACGTTATTGCCCTGTAAATCCAACAGTCTGACTTCGATTTCATAGAAAACTCCGTTCTGAAGCACCCAGTTATTTCCTCTGTTAATTGAAAAGTAAATTGAATCCGGTTCAACCACATAAACATGAGCACTTTGAGGCTTAAAGCCGGCTTTTTGACGTACAGCTAAAAAAAGAGATCTTGTAGTAGGTTAACGTAATGATTTAGGTGAAAAAGCTTTATAAAGACTTGTTTTTTATTAAAAATATATAAAATAAGGTAAGTTAGGTCAAACCATTGCCTAGCTTTACGATTTTAAATAGAAATTCAAGATTTTTCTTCAAAATAGAGACTTACTTGAATCAAACAAAGTTACTTCAACATTGCCAATACTATTAGCTGTCAAAAAGTTTGTAGTCGGGTCTAGCGTGCATACTTCGGAATCACTGACTGCTAGCTCGTACTGATCGTTTGGCACAGCTAAAAAGAATTTTTATATAAACCTTATACCATCCGTAACTTTTTTACAGTAAATTTACATTATGCATAACTTTCTTATTGTTTTAAAGCCCAAATCACTACCTAAAATTATAAAAAAATACAATAGAAAATTAACTTACGTTCAGTCACTCCATTTTTCAAAATGACAGCGCTGTATGGGATCAATGATCCAACTGTAACATACAAATCTTCTGATGGAATCAATAACAAGTTAGCAACGACGTACAGTTCGATACTGTGAGGTGAAATGTACTAAAAAAATATAGATTAGATGAACATCGATCTAAGAACTCAAAAAACAAAACATTTGTAACCAGGGCCGGGCGCGAGGGGGAAGGGGGTACCCCCCCCCAGAAAAAAATTTTTGAAAAAAGTGTAACGTGGTCCGCCCTGTGGATTTTCGGAAAAAAAATTTCGCAAAAAATCGGCACAGGTACGTACCTGTGCCAATTTTTTGGACCCCCGCCCCCAGACCAAAAGTCCCCGCCTGGCCCTGTGTGTAACGTAATTCCCTAAAACTTACACTAAACTCGCTTTCACTAAATTTAGCCGTCAATTTAGCTGATCCAGTTTGAATACCTTCGACTAACACAACAAATCCCTTCTTCTTCTGCTTCTCCAAATCCTCAATCCCAAGAGGAGCATCGTATTTACTCTGTGAGAAAGGAATAATCCTCAATGGTCTTCTAGAAGGATCAGCAAATTCAAAAGTCCAGTCGAAAGGTATGTCTCCAAGAGCCGAGAAAGCGTGTCCTTTGTTATTGAAGGCGTCAATGGTCATTCTAGCTGGCGGAGCTTCCAGGAATAGCAAGTCTGTGATAGTCTCCACCTTTATTGAGTGAATAACATCAACAGAAACTCCGCAGGACAAAGTAACACCACTATCTAAAACAATATACATTGATAGTTGCTGTACCTCAAAATTCTTGATCAAACACATGTGTCCAAAACATTAAAATCTCTTAATCTTCGGTCAAACCATCTCCAAACTTTCACCTAAACATAAAACAAAAAATAAAGACTTACTGAGATCCTTGGCGAAAATGGTGGCACTTTGTTCATCAGCATGCTTGGATCTGGATGTTAACAATGCTTTGTCAGAACATCCTTTGTTTTTCGGATCAATTGGTTCGATTGAAGCAACATCTGGTCGAGTAGAGCGCCTGGAACAATATTCATAGAAATAGCAGTAAAAACTTCAAGTTTAAAATTAAGTTTCTACCAAAAACAGCCAAAGAAACATAAAATAATATAAATCTTACCAAGTAAAGCAAGCTCCACCAGGATGTGACACTTCCAACAAGAACGTCACTTGATTCGTCGGATGATATGGCAACAAAACGCGAGGTACATTCAATCGGAAGCCATTTAGGCCTATTAAAAGCAGTGTAACAACAAGAATTAAGAGTTTTAATAACCCCATTCTGAAAATTTAAAGTTTATTAATGTAAAAGTACTTATATATTTATGTAAAATTACTGTAAATAAAGTTTTTGTTTTGGAAAGCCGTAAAAACTTAAAAATTTCCATTTCGAAAAATTATTTCGCAAAATAATAAAAAATCCCGCTTTTCTTTTGGCAGAATTGTTTTCGTGGCGGGACCAAGTTAGTTGACAAATGTTTTTATTTTCAAACTTTTGTTTTTACTTGTCATTGCTCTAATTAAATTTAAAAAGAATAAATTAACGTAAAATAAACACCCATGATTAATTATTACTAAAGTAGTATTAAAAAGTTTATTATGATTTGAATATTATATAGCTTTCTCATTATATTTAGAAAACAGTCAAAGCCTTGCGGCGCCGTTGATCCATATTAGTAGTTGTTTTCAAAGTAACTGTAACTCTTTGCAATTTTAAAACCATTTGTTGCTGTTGACCATCACTTTCTCTAGAGTGCTCAATCTTTACAAGTTTGTCGATGAACTTCCGGATAAAACTTTCGTTACATTCGATAGTATCATTCACAATCTCGACTGCAGTGTTCACACTGTATTGATTTGCGGCCGATAAGATGTGTTTCATGTTGTCGTAACTGACGTTGAATCCACATGGACTAAGCGTTGCTTTAAAGGTAACGTCTTTGAGATTTGGGAACATTGTGAGTACAGTATGGTAAAAGTAGTTGGTGTACGCGGTAAAAAGCTGTAAACTTTTTGAAAAGTTAACAAAGTTGTAACGCAAGGACGTGACATTGAGGCATGTATAATGAGTGTATGGTTGAGTATTGTTGTTTATGATCAGCTTTAAATCTGGTAAAAACACACTTCTTACCAGTGATGTTGCTAGACTTGCCATACCTTTTAAGTTTAAAAACATTATTACAATTAAAAATGAATGGTATTGTCGTATTTTGTAGAGTAAGGGAGGATAAATTAAAGAATTTATAAAGAAAAGCATCGTAAAATTAAAGAAAACCTACAATAAGTTGGAAAGTCATGGTGCTGTATATCTTCTATACCGTCAATTGTAATCTCATCAGCTTTAGCATCATACAATTGTGATACGAATGGATAGTCACACTTGATACTGGTGATATGGCTGTTGAGCTGATCGAACATGACTGCGCCAAAACGATACTCTGGTGTGTTTTTTGTCTTGCAGACCATTTCGAACGACATCTTTGTTTTTGGAAATGTACCTAAAAATAAAAAATTTTAAATTTGAAAAAAAAACTTTTTGATGTTTAGAAGGCCTTATCTTATTGTGTTAAGCTTAGAAAGCGTAAGCTAGGTCTAGTAAACTTGATTTAATATGATTATCATTAGTAAGCTTAGGCTTATAGTTAGTAGGCTTAGGGTTGGTATGCTTAAAATTAGTAATCCTAGGTTTAGTAAGCAAAGGCTTAGTATTCTTAGGCTTAGCAAGCTTAGTTTTAGTATGCGTTCTCTAGCTTTTCTCTAATGCCGACGGCAATCAGACAAAAAGAGGGAACATACAAAATTATGAGAGCTTTTTTTCGTGGACAAGAATTCAAGGTTTTCGTCTGAACTACGAATGAAAAGTATATACATCAAGGGTTATATTTATAAATTGTCAAGTGTTGTTTGGTTAAATTAGCAAAATTTGAAAGTTATGTAATTATTTTCATCAAAATATATTCGGATTAGTTGTACAGTATCTATATAAGCAACCCAAAGGGACCGATATTTTGTGTTTACTATAAGGGGTGTTGTCTTTACACAGAGACTTTTTAGTGCAAATTGACCTGGCGGGGTTAAATTTCTTGTTTACTAGTAATACTAGGCAAAATTTTGTCTATATCCATATATTCTAGCCGCTGTTTGTACATTCCCAGTACCGTGTTTACCATAGATAGCTGGAGCGGAGTAGATTTATGTTTGCCAACTAGTACATAGCGCTTGAGATTCCTACTTTTCTGGAAGATAGCGTTGCACGTTTCTTCTGGGCATGGTTAGTAGCTGCGTCCATAGATTAGATCAACGTTATCTTCATCTACATCAAATTTATTTTTAGTTTCTACAAAAATATACTCATCTGATCATTTGTCTTCGTTACTGTACCAAAAATCTGTTGATGTAATGTCTTCGGCTTTCACTCCTAATCGTGTACATCTTTGCCAAATAACAGTTTTTTAGCACGAAAACATTTCATTCGGCTGCACAATCCCTTTCTTTTTGAGTAAAATAAAAATTTTGTGATGATTTTTCACAATTTGAAAATTTCAAAATTTGTTGTGCCCTCCGGGCGTTTTAAAAAAAAGTTGCTAACATCAATATTATTTACGCATATGTGCTCTACAATTTAAAGAAAATCCGGTGAAATTCTGTCAAATAGTTCAAAAGTTATACATAAACTACTAAATGTTACAGTACTCCAACAGTAAGAAAAAAAAATTAGGTTAAATACGTTTCGTTGGTATTAGAATAACTTCTACTAATAATAAACAGTTATTTTGGAAAATTTGTTTAAAAACTGAGTACTTTCAGCAGAATTATACTAACGTAAAGTTCAGCAGGGCTACGGTATATCGTATTTAGACGCCCATATTACATGAGAGCCCCAGGCTTATATCTTGAAATTGGTACCGTTTTAACCGCAAACGCGTCTAGTGTTATTATCTGGTTTGAAAAGTTGGTTCTAGTATGATTTTTTGTTGAAAAAAAATGCACTTTTTTAAATTTTTTAACAAAATTTTGCGGTTTTTAATTTTTTTGTGCCTTTCGGGAATTTTAGAAAAAAGCCGTTAACATCAATATTGTTTACGTTTATGTGTTCTACAATTTAAAAAAGGTCCGGTGAAATTCTGTAAAATAGTTCAAAAGTTACAAAAAACTTTTGAATGTTACAGTACAGCTACAGTAACCCAAAATTTCAAAATTTTAGTACGTTTTTGTGATATGGGGCCTCAAAGGTACCTGTGGTTGAAAAATAAAATTTAAAAAAAATATTTTTTTTACTGGCTTGCCCCTGTCTGACCCATGTTTGGTTCTCTCGCGAACCCTGTTTTAAAATGTTGCTGTAACATAAAATAATGCATAAAAATAATTCTTTTCTAATAAAAACATATAAAAACGATAGGTATACCTAATTCATTGGTCACTTTCTTTCACCCAATAAATTTTTATTTGTTTGTGACATTTCGTTCGCGCATTTGATAAAATTTGTTGAAACAGAAAATAGCCGAAAATCTTTTTTCGGAACGGCCATTTTCCTCATTTTGGCAGTTTTGTAAGCGTTATAGCGAGGAATCCATGGAGTCGTTTAACAGTGATACGGAGCCATGGGTAGACTTCGAAGATATGGTGTTCGATTGGGATCGGAACGAGAAATATCGAAGAGCCATCGAAATTGTTGTAGCCAAAGCCCAAAAAGAACAGCAAGAGGCTCGTGTCGTTGATATTGGTATGGTTTTTACTTGATCTTTGTAATTTTTAGGTAATATGCTTCTGAATTAGTGTTTAGATCTTATTTTAGATCTAACACTTGTATGTAAATTTGTTTTGATATTAAACAGGGAGGTTACGTTAATTTTCTTTGATTTTAGGATCAGGATCAGGTTTACTATCATTTTATGCTGCATCAGCAGGAGCTTCAAGTGTCTTGGCAGTTGAAGCAGACCCGAAGATATTCAGAACAAGCATTGAGATAGCTAAAAGGAACGAGATTGAAGATAAAATTGAGTTTGTCAACAATCATTCGACAAATGTCAGTAAGTATTTTATTTTTTGGTGGTTTTCATGTTTAGGTACGAAGTTTCAAATTAGTAAAAAATATGAGAATAGAAAGTAATGTCTTAGCTCTCGGAAAAGTGAGCTAATTAGTTCTGGTTATAACTGCTCTTGAGATATCATTAGATGATTAGTAATTTAGGTTTCTTTTGTGACTTAACCTAGAGGATCTACAGCTCAAGACAATGTTTATGTATTAAGAGGTTGGGATCTATTCTTTAAATTCTAAAATATTATTTTAGCCGTGGAGGAAAAGTCAAACGTACTGGTGTCAGAGATGGTCGACTCTGAACTTATTGGTGAGAACCTGATTCCAACTTACCGGCATGCTGTACAAAACTTGTTAGTGCCAAACCCTTATGCAGTACCAGCCAAAGCCAACGTGTATATAGTGCCAGTTCAGAGCCATTTCCTGAGGGAATGCTCTCGAATGCCAGATATTCTGCGACGAAAGTGTAACGGTACTCTACGAGGAATAGATGGACAATGGGCCGAGTTATCAGATGATATGATTTGGGGATGCGACAAAGTATTGGTCAAGTCTTTTGATCTTGTCAGTTTGGATTCGTTGTCAGCGTCATTTGGAACGATAGTCGAGATGGAGATAACGAACGATCGGATCAGGCAGGTCGATGGAGTTTTATTCTTCTGGGAGTTGGATATGACTGGCGATGGGTCGATTATTATCAGCACGGAGCCGGGTAATTCAGCGGTGAGTATCAGGGCTTATTTTTAGTGCTATTTGGTAATTTAGGGATGATTATTAAAGCTCCTATTAAGTTATTTAGAATCTTATGAAGAATTTTATGTACAGCATGGTTACGTTTGCTGGCATTTTATTTTTATGGCATTTTTTAAGTTAAAACAAGATAATGGCATATTGTTTTAGTGGAGAAATCACTGGTTGCCAATGATGTTCGCCTTCCCTAGATCATATCCAGTAAAACTGAATCAAATGGTTAAAATTGGTAGTTATCACGACACAGTATCATTCTGGTTCAGATTCGTCGATAATGAAGATATCGTATACGAGAATAAACGAACAGAATGCGATTGTAATTGGCATTCAAGTGCACCAGCTTCCTCGTTCTACAGGTTTAACCAATACGAACATCTGGACTTTACTGAATGGGCTTCTAGGGTAAGATATTATATGTTATCGTGGTTTAGGGGGTTTTTGAGAGCAATTTGATAACTTTTTGTTACATTATCTTTAATTTGACTCATTACTACATTTTAGATTTGCAAAGACTATACTAATCAAATTACTTTAGATTTGCAAAGACAGGAACGCCCTAATCCTCGGCAGTCACTCCATCCTAACAGCCTTCATCTTACACTCGGTGAACAGTGTGGCTCAAGTGGATTCAGATCACAGATTCAGGAGCAAATTCCTTCGAACAGTCGAGAGGACGAACCCTGACAGATTGACAATCGACGAGTTGATTTGTGATGTTGAGATGGAAGGCCTTGAGTTGGTAATGTTCGACTTGAACTCGGCGCCAACGAACTCTCCGTTTGAATTTGTGGAAGACTTTTGGAGGATCAGAGAACTTTACCCAAGGCTAAAGGCTTATCCAAAGGTGGGTTTTAAGGGGTTTTTTGATTTTTCTTTATTGGAATGTTAAAAGCCAAGAAATTATTCAATGCATTACGTTACCTTTATCTTTCAGAACATGTTCTTCCAAGCCACCCAAGTCAAACTCGGCGAGCTCGTCAAACGACGTGCCATGTACACAAAAGTCGACGAATTCGACTACACTGACTTTGCACACCTCGCCAGCCCCTTCCCCACGATCTACGACTATCAACTGGAACTCTTACCCATGTGGGAGTACGAAAGCCACATCCTCAAAACCACCACAATATTCTCGATGGACGAACAGAATCACAAGCCCGAGATCAGAATGAAATTCGAAACTGAAACCGACGCCGTCATCTTCTGGTGGTCCACGAGCAAAAAGCATGACATGTCGGGCAATTTCGATGCTGAAGGACGGTGGAGGCGGGGCACACAACAGTGGATCTACTTTAGAAGAGGTGATAATGCCAAGAATCTCAACTTCTTCTTTGATTTCCGTGGATGGTCGTTCAAGATCGAGGAATGCATTTACTGAATGACTTTGTTATAAGTTATAGATACAGCTGTATAAGTATAGTGATGGTGCGAAGAAAATATGTGGTATCCACTGACGGTTGGCTACAGAATTTTTTTGAAAGAGATTACAAGGCTACAGAACTTTAAAAAATTGAAACTTAGTGATTTTACAGTACTTTTCTCAGTTTAAAGATGTTGTGGTAGATTTTGAAAATAATTTATAGTAAGTTTTGAAGAATCTCACTATTTTATCTTTAACATATGTGTATGTTGTGGATGTTATACGGGAATTTTATCAAATAGAAGCCCTGTGAATTGATTTATTAACTATATGATTGTTGATGTTATTTGTTATCTGAGTGTTATATTATGTTATGTCGAAGAATTTTTGCAAAATGAACTGCTGACTGTGTAAACTTTGGATTATATTTAATTTTTGTTACCTAAAGTAGTATTTTAAGATTTTGAAGTAGTAACTTGTAATAATACTTGTTAATAGCTTGTTATAATACCTTGTCAATGTGAAAAACATCTTTATGAGATAACAAAATGGAGTGAAAAATGGTAAAATACGGCTGAAGTTTCACTCCTTCTTCCTTGGTTTTGAAGATTTTCGCTTTTCCGAATCATTCTTGGCTTTGCCACTTTGTCGAGATTCACTGCGCGGCTTCGAAGAGCTTCGTTTGGCCGAATTTGAACGTTTTTCTCGTCTAAAATTGAGTTTACTATCGAGGTTTTTAGGACAAATCAAGTCAAAGTCCTTGATTTTTGTACGAATTTTACATTTACTCTGGATTTATGTTGATTTAAAAAGAATGGCGTTTTGAACATAAGTCATTCTTAGCTTGTAGTATTCACAAACCCACAGTTTTACCTGAAAAAGTAGAGGTATACACCCGAAACCTACTTTTTACTGCCATCCCTCGGCCGTCCAGGAGGCCGTGCTTCTTGGTTCTGCTCACTAACAGCATCCTTACTGTTCACACTACTGTTCAGACTGCCGTTCTCGTCGTTCTTCACATTCTCCTTGCCATTTACCACCGACTTTCGACGCGTCGACTTGCCATTACTTTTTGACTTTGAGCGTTTTTTGGGTTTTCCCTCGTCCAGATAGTTGTTGATCTTCTCCACCACTTCTGCCGTGTGTTTGTCGATCTCGCGGATTCGTTGTGTCGCACAAACTGTCACACAAATCGCTTTGTCTTTTAGGTATTCAACCAGCTGAAAGTGGATTTTATGTTTTTTGATTTTGTAAAACCAAAAAAGGCTTGTTTCGGGGTTAAAGCTTATGGTTTATGAATAGATATGGCTAATGAAATTAACCATGTTATAATGACGTTTTCCAATTGTTTTTCAATTTTTGAAATGAAAAATATTTATGTAAATTTTGCCTAATGTAAAATACGTTCATCATTTGAACATTACATCGGATAAATATCGATCGACTACTTTAAAATAAAAAATTATATAAAACCAACTTCTTTGGTAACCGGCTTGAACATGAAAAGTTGTTCATTCGCATAGGCAGGATTGTTTCCTTTGGCTTTTGGTGTGACAACTTCCTCCTGATCGTAGAATCGGTATTGGCACCAGGACTGTAAATCAAAGGCAATATAAGGAAAATAAAAAGCAATGTCTGTTAAAACGTTATGAAACATTTGGATTAGTATGGGCAGAAGGCAAAGGAGGGCATTACCATAATTTCAAAAAAAAATTAACTTAAGGCTAAAAAACCCTCCCCTCCTTCACAGACCAAAATATGATGAAAAGAAGAACAGGGGTAACTCCAATATCATACAAGATATAACAAGAGATCTACCAAATCTTTACAGTAAAGTCACGTACTTCTTTAACTCTTCTAGGCAGGTTCAGACCAGTCAGGATTTTCACTTTGAAACCAAGGTTTTGACCAATCTAAAACAAGGCTGTTTAAATTACAATGTCGTTTAAATTCTATCCACTATGATCTCAACAATGATTAAAAAGTCTATTTCTACCACCTACTACAAGATATCTTACCAACTCAGTCGGATCTTCCACAAACTCTCCCAGAATCTCTTTGCCATTCGCGTTACAAGGAGTTAATGCCACACTCAATTGACCAGTCTCACTACCCTGAATGTCAGTTATAGGGTAGTTTTCTTCGACTTCCACCAAGAAGGCCAGACTCCGTAGGAATACAGTAACCGTGCCAACGTCGACAGAAGAGTCTGTGGATTCATAGAAGGGATCTTTGTCACGAGGAAGGTTCCATTTGGGATCGTTATCCATGTAATTCTGGTACATCTCGGACATGCCGTAGTAGCGGTTCATGAACTTGTGCTGATCCCATAGGAAGGTGGTGTCATCGGCTTTGTTTGTCACTTGGACTAGGATCTGGAAGGGAATAGGATGATATATATTATACATAAGAATGTTCTTTAAACATAGGATGTTATATTATATTAGGTTGTTCAAATAATTATGTGCCCCTTGCCCCGAAAAATTTCTTTGAAATGGGGCACAAAATTATTTGAACAACCTAGTATATGTATAAGTAAAACACACATGCATAATATTTTGGTAGAGAAAGATTCAAAAAGTTACAGTATAAATACCAAATTTTACTTACCTCAGTATCCCCATCGCTCAGTCCTTTAGCTTCCGGAGCCATGAGTACGATCTCAAAGTTTACATTTCGTTTCAATTCTTTTGCCATCGCATTGGCACGATAGACATTAGGTAACAAGTTGATCAAGTCTTCTTCCAGATACGTCCCGGCTAAAAAGAATAACATTTTAAATAATCTTTATAACAAATAAGACTTTCCAGACTTGAAATGTAAAGAAAGTTCTTGCCGTTTCTTGTTTTGTAAAGAAAGTTCTTGCAATTTTTTGTTTTGTAAATAAAGTTCTTGCCATTTTTTATTTTTTAAAGAAAGTTATTGCCATTTTACGTTTTTTAAAGAAAGTTCTTGCCATTTCAAGCAAAATATTGCTTTACCTTTGGACTTTCCTTTGTTCAATCCGCCAGTAATTCCAACGTTCTGGGCAATTTCTTTCTGTGCCATTTCGTATGTAATCTCCTGACTGTTTTTGATGCCTCCTTTCTTTGGATTCACAAACACGTACAGATGGTTACCACCAAAATGAACTCTGAAAATGGATTTTAAATTGGCATAACTTTGAATTTTAAAATTTCGTTCGAAAGATATATAAAGAAGGTAAAATAAGGTTAAATTTAAAATTCTAAGTACCACGCCTTTTACTGATGCTTTTAAATTGTACCATATGAAATAACATCCCTTCTACTACCCAACTCATCCCACTCTCACCATTACCTGTCATTTTGACCAAGCGCGACCTCCCCGACCACAGGCTTTCCATTCACCATGATCTCAGCTCCTTTAACACTCTGAATTGTGAACTTTTTGTTGTCCTTGTTCTTGATCACAGCATGATCCGGTTGGATACTCAATCCTTTGAGTACAATGTTCGAAGTCTGTGGATTCTGACCATTTCCAACGCGATTCTCGCCTTCTGGCACGAAATGCACCACCATATCTGTTAGGGCAGGGTCTTCGTTGAGATTCCACAAGTATGGAGTTGTTTTCTTCTTGGCTTCGATTTCCGCACGGTCTTCTCCAGCGTACTAAAGTGAAGTTTTAATATTTAAAAATTATTTTTTGGTCAAAAAGTTTCTGGCCTGATATCCATTCATAAAAATTTTTTTTTGCACCGTGCAAAACATGAAACCTTAAAATCGGTAAAATGTCAAAATTTTAGGTATCAAAATATGATAATAAGATAATATAAGAACCAGAAGATTACAACAACGTATTTTACCCACCTTTTTGCGTTCTTCATTCAGCCGTTCTTGCCAGGTCTTCTCCAAGTCTTCCATAGCCTTCTGATTCTCTGCCAACTGGCGTTTAAGGCTTTCCAACTCATCCTATAATTCAGTTCGCATTACTTTATGTTATCTACAGTAAATTTAGCTGCTTTATATACTGTCTTACACCTTTTTTAAATTTTTTAAAATTCTTGCACAGTGCAAACATTAAAAATTTTAAAAACTGGACTGTGCGGACTTAAAAAAGCTTGTAGAAATAAGACTATTTAAAGCTTTTTGACCCAAACATTAATATGTTATACGAAAGTAAAACTATGTAAAATGTACCCGAATAATGTAGGCTCTCCTCCGCACATACAGATATAGTTCTCGTCGAAGGAAAGGTTCCATAAAAATGGCAAAAACACTAGTTTTTGTGCTTTTTCCCTCATAACTCGTCAGGTTCCGAGTTCTATGATTATATGTTGCGATATTTTTAAAACAATTTTAAAATGTAAAAAAGTTGTGTATTTTCAGGCTAAACAACGACAAAACTTTCCCATGTCCCTACCAGGGGCGTCGCTACGGATTTTTTCTGGGGGGGAGACCCAAAAAAATTTTTATATTAGACCTAACCTTATGTATAGTACACCTCATAGTATACCTAAAACCAAAACCTACCTCACTAGCAGCTGATCCATCAACAGCGCCTTTCTTGATAAGTTTAGCCAAACGTTCATTCTCTTCTCGTAGCTCTCGGATCTGTCTTTCCGTAGCACTTTCGTTGACTACAGCTTGAGTTTTAATCGATTTGGCACGATCGGCAAACCTTAATGTGGATAAGGTCTCCTCATAGTTAATATCGGCCGGAGATATGGCTGCTATCTATAATTATGGCTTTTGTAGCTAATATCAAGGTTTTTATGTAAGGAGTTCAAATTATGTATTCCTAAGGGCATGGTTTTTGAACAAGATAACAAAAAAATTTAAAAGTAAAAACCCCTCACCTAGAAAAACCAATAATTAACTCGTATTTTACCCTCACAACCTACCATGATAGTCTTACTGTTACCACCAAGAGCATTCTTTAATAAAGATGTTAAGACAGAATCACGGTACGGTATCTGAACATTTTTTTTCGAATTCTGTTTGTCATGCAAAGCTTTGATGACACGGCCAAGAGTAGATAACGACTGGTTGATAACAATGCCTTCTTTCAAGCGATCACCTTCTGAGCCCGCATCTTTTTGACGTTCACTGAAGATATGCGAAAGAATTAATGGATCTGTGTGAGGCAAACAGTGAAAAGCGAAAGAATAAGTAGATAATAAACAAAATTTTAAAGAACTATTAAATTATACAAATAATTATGTGCCCCTCCCTTCAAAGCAAATTTTCGAGGTTAGGAGCACAGAATTTTCTGAACAACCTAATCATAAGCCAATATAGAACAAACAATTAAAAAAACGAAAGGATTAATGAACCTATAGATAAAATTATCCTACCTTCCAGCCAAATCGACTAAATTAATGTCAGAAGTCTTGGCCGTAGCTCCGTCGCCTCCTTTTTTCGATGTTTTTTGAACAAATTGAAGTTTAACTATGGTATGAGCTCTAAAGTATTACCTCAATTTAAACATAACCAATTTTTTAATTTTAACTTCAATTGAACTTAAAATTACTGTTAACGTACCTACTACTCGTAGCATTCATGTTAGTAGCTGCAATAGTCCTGCTTTTGGTGCCTTCCTCTATTTTGGCTTCAATTTCTTTGTAGGAATTGACTGGAGAACTGCTCAGACCTTCCACTAAAATTTTGAACTTTACGATCTTATATTATAGTAAAAAATTATCATATTATATTCTCTAGTATTTATAATATCCATATTATACACTGTAGTAAAAAACCTGCACTAAAAAGTCTTGTTGCTCCAATACAACCTTACTTACCATAAAACCCAGTCTTGGGATGTTCTCTTAACTTTAGACCACCTTTTGGTGGTGGAGTACTACTCAGCAGATCTCTAATCCTCTCGCAGTAAATCTCCAGCATAGATATTGATACCTGGTACTCTGTATTCGGATGTTCTTCCTTCTTTTTCTCTATTTGTTTGAACAACTCTTCACAAACCATTGGGACAATACCTAAAACAATATTAAACTTGAGATTTATACCTATAACAATATCAAGCTCAACATAAAAACTGTTTTATAGTTGTGAAATACGATTAAAACAATAAAGCTAAATATGGTATCTTACCTTTGTTTTTCTTAAATCCAACGATCGAGTAGCTTTTGCCAGATCCAGTCTGGCCATAGGCGAACAAGGAGCAATGATAACCTTTCCAAGCATTGTCCAGTACTCCTTTTCCTAGGTCTTCAAACACTTTTTTCTAAAAGTTATAAAGAATATACTTATATAAGTTAAAAAATAACAATAGAAGTAATAACATACTAAACAAAAGCCTAATTTTAGTAGCCACAGACCAGTTGGTCTACTATAATATAATAGTAGATCGCTTGGATCTCAAAAACGATTCTACATGTAAATAAAAATATTTAGTACCGTTTAAATCATCTTTTCTTACTGAATTTAGAAACGTGAATCTCAATCAAGAGTTTTGGACTCTTTCACAAGTTATATGACGAAACCTGGCTGAAAAACTTTCTCCAAAAAACACAATTTTCAAAGTCTTCAGAAGACCCTGTAAATGAAGGAAAAGTTTATAAAACTGTTATCAAACGTGAATACAGGGTATAGTCTTCAATTTGAATCCAAATTTAACTATTTTATCGCCTTTTATCAATGCTAAAATATGGATCAAACCGGACAAGATCTTTTTCTCTGTATTAAAATAAAATTATGAAGAAATAACGTTTAAAATAGACAAAAAGAAGCATATACACGGGAATTCCTGTATAACGAACAATTTTAAAATCCCCGAGCGCGCGATTTTCGAAAAAGATTCGCTACAGGAGGTCTGGTGTTTCTATAATACAAGCTTTTCGACAAAAAAAAATATTTTTTTAAATTCAAAAATCTACCTGATCAGCGTATTTAGAGCTAGATGGAGCTAAATATCCACTTTTTTCCGATTTATATCCATCATGAGACCAGTAACTGTGGTCGAAGGTAAACCGTTTTGGTTCGTCATTTGGGTTGTTTGGGTCTCTAAATTGTTCTTTTAAACATGTTTAGGTAGAACAATTATTTTTTTTAAAATATTTTTTAATATTCAAAAATATCAAAAAATTTCAATTTTTTTCCAAATTTAGGTATAAACTTTAAAAAAACCTTATTTTTTAAATCCAAAAACCGTAGAAACACACTTAATCTCAGTGACCGTATCATTGGGCATATCAATGATAAGCTGGGCATTTCTCTGTTTCTCTCTATCATTGAACGGCCGAACCCTGACTGCCACAACCACATTATCCTTATCAGCTCCCATTATAGACAAACTGTGAAACTGGAAGGTTTTACGTTGTTTCTGGTTGAATTGGCGGTTGCCAAGCTCTCTCTATATATCCATGGTTTTGCCGTAGGGGTTTTTTTGAAATTTTGAAACAAGGAAAGCGGTTTTTGAATATTTTTATGTGAAGCACGTGTCGAATATATTATTTTAGGCCGGTTATAATGGTTTAGATGCTTTTTAATTTTTTTTTAAAAATAAAAAAAAATTCGAAATTTTAAAAGTAAAAAAAATTTAAAAAATAAAAAAAATTTTGAAAATTAAAAAAATTTATTAAAATTCCGATTAAAAGTACAATTTTCATCCAAAGGTTCGAGTTGGTTTGAATTTCTTGATCTCTGATTCCACGGCGAAGGCTCGTTGTAATGGCCCCATACGGACGTTTAACTTTGGTGTGGTAGGGAAGTAACTTGGTGGTATGACATTCGATTTCGTGGTAAATCCAAAATTCATCTGATTTTGTGTATATTCGTCTTGATTACTGTAACTTTTGGGCTTGCTACGACGCTCACTGGTAGGGAAGATGCCTTGGTTACTGAAGCTTTCCTTATTATTGTCGCTATCTTTACTACGACGATCTTGTTGGTTATTGTAGCCGTCCTTCATACTGTAACTGTCCCTATTACTGTTGCTGTCCCGATTACTGTAGTTTTGTCGATTTTTCTGTCGATTATTGTACTTTTCTGCGTTACTGTAGCCTTCTTCGGATTCATAAAACCGACTGGAAATACCTTGAAGATTACTTTTCCTCTTTTCATAGCAATCCACTACATCAACATCTATGGCGCGGCTACACGACAAAGCTCCGTCCGAAGCTGAAATTATGGGTTTAGGGGGTCGAAAAAGTGCATAACATGCCATTTCTATATTGCTATGCCTTTTGTCGCTTTAGACAAAGCGAAAAAAAACAAAAAGCTAAAAAATACAGTAACCACGTCATACTGTAATATCAATATGTTCATCAAGGTAAAATGCCATTAAGAATACCAAAATGGCGTTAACAGTAAATAATACACAACTTACAAGAACAAACTACAGTGCCACAACTTTTGGGACATAGTACTCGTACTCGTTGCCAACTCCGATCACATAACCCATCCAACGCCCATTGACAACATCGATGACTCAGGTCTTGTTCTGGGCGGTTTTCTGAACATAAGATGAGTGTTACAGCTACTATTTAAACACAGTATAAACATACGACAACGGTTATGGATGACATTCAAGGACGGTATATTAACCATAAAGTTATCAAAGGTCACAATGACAACATATTTTACAGTATTACCCCCGGAAGGAATGGTGCTCTGACCTATGTTATTTTTTCATGGCAAACTCTTTGAATGAGACTAATGTACCCTGTTCAAAGCAGGGTACCCTGTTCTGCCCTTTACCTTTACGATCTGCTCTTTACCCCTTTACTGTGAATGGCATGGGGCAGTTTTTTTGAGTATTACTCTGTAGTAATACCTATACCTTGAAATTTTAAATTTTTTCATATTATACCATTTTCATTATAAGTTAGTTCGTTATAAAAACAGCTCTACAGTATAATAAACAAGCGGTAACAACTTACGAAGTGACCAAGGTCTTCTCAATCGGTCAGACATCTGTTTCCATGACCAGGACGGCTTGTTTTGGCGTTCTCTGGAAGGAAAAATGTTTTTAAAGAATATATTTCAAAATTTTTTAAATAATTTTAAAGTTTTACTTAAGGTCAAAACAACAAATTCACGCGTATTTTACTATAACTACCCTTGTATTTACTTTACGTACCTAGCAAAGTCATCCAAACTTGTAGGTAACGTCTTCAGCTCCGACTGTTGAGTAAACGGTAACGTTGGTGATGAACTAAAACAGCTTTTTTTAGTACAAAACGTATTTCCATAAACAGTAAAACCTTTTTTTTACAAAACTCAAGAGACTGGTCATACTTCACCTTATACACATGGTAGTATACTACCCATGTATAATATTTTTTGGTAGAGTTTCTATTACGAAAGGCGGTCAAAAAGTTGTCATTATATCTTTATGAGTCATACTATTGAAAATCATACTAAAGAGGTTTTACGATATTCAAAATTACAAAAAAGTAAAAAAAAATATTTTAAATTTAAATTACAATTTAGTTCAAAATGAACAAAAATCTTACTGTAACTTGTCGACGAACGGAGGGCCAAATATATTAACTTCAGAAGGCGGAGTAGGCACTGTTGATGGCATTTCTAGTCGAGAATCGGTTGAACTTACTGCAAAATAGTTTCAAAATATGCTTTAACTTTATTTCACAAAATGGGTAATCTCCAAATTAAAAACTTTGGTGTAAAATACGGCATAGACACAATCAGTCCAATAAATTGATATTCTTACCTTCCTGATATTCGAATGGCTGAGTTGTGGCGATATCAGTCTGTTCAAATATATTGTTATCGGACACAAAGAGATCGTTGGCTTCTGCTTCCGCATATTCTTCCATTTGAGTCGTTGATGAGGGTTCTTGTGACATAAGAGTTACTTGGGGATCAATCTAAAACATACAATTTAAAAAAACCAAAAATTTTAAAAAATTTAAAAATTCACCAAATTTCAAATTTTTCAAAATTTTTAGAAATATTATCCAAAATTAAAAAAAAGTCATAAACAACTGACCGTTTCATGTTCTTCCTCATCATCAGCAAAAAACTCGTTGAACGTGTGTTGAAATTCGTTAAACTGATTCTGAAGCTCATTCTCTGGCGATCTTGTTGTAGACACAATCTCTTCGTTCAAATGTCGTATATTCAAATGTGGTTGAAGTGTTTTAGCTATGAAAGGCTTTGAAGTTGAAAACCCAAAATGCCTATTACTATTAGAAGTCCCTGATATTGTAATACCATCACTTTTCGGTTCAGACCGCCGACTTTCCAGACCGAGCGAATATAAATGAAGACTAAGGGCGTTGGAACAGTCGCGTGGTACTGAAATTGGTTGTTTTAGGTACAGAATTTAATAGGAAATTGTGATATTCATATTAAAATTTAAAATTTTCACCTAAACATGAAATAAAAACTTAAAAAGTCATGTTAACATCACTTTTTTCAGGGTTTTAATGTAAAATACTCCATAACGGAACACTTTGTGTTAAAACCAATTAAAAACATACGCCTTAAGCATCGCTGTCGTGCATGATTCAACTTGTCCGATGATAACTGACAGATTTCAGTTAGGAGATCACAATTCAGGTCGCAATGATCATGTGCTGGCATCCACGCTAAGTCTCCGAACTGGTCTCCGCCTAAAACCATATTTATATAACTAGAGTAAACTTTGTTACAGTCCTACTATAATATCATGGAATAAAAAGCTTAACAGACTTCACAAAATTTAAAATTGTTCAAAATTTTGAAAAATCCAAGGCTGCACGGTGCAATCGTAATAAAGCCCTGACTAACCAAGGAGTTGGCCCTTTGCACCGTGCAGTCGTTTATCACTTTATCGCGATAATTTTTAAAAAATAGTTTAAAAATGTAAATAAAAAACAAAACTTCACAAAAAAATGAAAACTTACACAAATTCTCGTGACTGTAGATAAATTTAAAGATTGAGGCACTGAGTCTATCGATGGCACAAGCAGAGTCGACTATGTACAACAACAGAAACAACCAAAGCCGAGATTCTCGACAATTCATTCGGATATTATACTCATTGGTTTACCGTAACTTGGAGTTTACATTAGCTGGAATTTTTACTTAAAAATAATTTTTAAATTTAAAAAAAAATTTTTTTCAATTTTTTAAAAATTTTAAATCTCATGCCATTAACTCAGAAAATGCCAAAACTAGATACAAAACAAAAATAAATGATAAAAATGAATATAAAACTCAACTTACATTATCATATTGCACTTGAGATCAACTTTCTTTATACAAATCCAAGAGCTCCCTTATCAAAAACCTATCACAATATAAACCAATTGTACCTTGTAGCCTGTATAGCCAATAAAAAGAGAACGGTAGATGCGATTACCAAAAGACGACTCCACTTACTCGACAAGTATGGTAAGAATTCGAGAAAAACGGGCACAAGTACAAACTCAAACAAATCGCCGCAGGTAGGATAATATAATCGAGGACAAGTTCAACCACATCCGCTTTTTGCCGCAAAATAAATACATACCACATTATCCAAGGGAATACGGGTTATTGTCAAAAAAAACGCCTCGAGTAGTTAATATTGTAATTTACACGGATTTACAAGTCTAATGGTTCAAGGTCAAGGAAGTGCCATTCTTTCTTAAAGTTCACGATGAAATAGACAATAAAATATAAAAAATATACCAGTAGTATCATTATTAATCGTAAACAACATTAGTTTTTGGTCAAAGCATTTAATTTTCGAGTTTCGACAAGTTTTTGTCGCAATCTTTCTGTTTTAACGAAATGTCACTATCGACTTTTGTAAAAATCGCCATATTAACAACATTTATAACAAAAAGCTTATTAAGAAAAGAAAAACGAAAAAAATATTTATTTTTATAATGTTATTACTTATAAAATGGCAGTTTTGTTAGTTGATTTCAAAAATAATAACAATCTGTACATACAGGTATACAATAACAAGTGAGTAGAAGGTAACAACAAGAATTTTAAATTTGGTTAAAATTTGGTTTTAAAATAGACTGTGATCAAGTCGTTGTGGATCCAAGTATCGTTGACTGCTTTTTCTAAAGTCAAAAAGGTTATTAAAACTAAAATTGTCTGCACGGTGCAGTAATTTTAAATCTGCACCGTGCATAGGCAATTAGCGTGTGCACGGTGCAAGAAATTCATAAAAAAATTTGAAATCTTGATTTTAGCAAACAAAAATTTTTAAAAAATAAAATTAAAAAAAAAGTTTTAAAAAATTTTTGTGTTTAGATAATAAAGCCGTACCGCCTCATATGCTTATCACCCGGAGGTTCCAACTGATTTTGATTAAAAATATTCTGAAGCATGATCTGTCGCTCATTCACAAGATTTTGCTTCAAAAGCTCCGCATTATCCATCCTTTTGTTCCTCTTGTGGCCCCAGTTGAGTACGTACATGACAATAATAATGACAACCAGTACGAAGAAGGTGAGGAAAATGATAAGGATTCGTTTGAATATCAACTGGTTGGTTTTGATCCTTGATAACTTTACTTTTAATGGCACTTTCTCTAAGGTACAGTTGGGGAAGGGTATAACATGGTGGTCTTCTTCTTTTAAGACACATTCGTCACAGAATTGACCGGTATGTCGCGGTGGACAGATGCAACTCTCGGAATTGTTGGTTTTGTCTGGAAAGTAAGGCAACTTGAAAACATTTAAAAATTTTATAGTTTTGAAAAAATCTGAAGTTTTTAAACGTTTAAAAAAGTCGAAAAAAAATTACCTGGATATCCATGATGACATACGATTTTGTCGCAATAATCTCCTTCATATCCATATAGACAGGTACATCTAAAAACGCCGTACTTTATACTTACATTGTCAGTTTTCAACCAATTTTTAAAAATAGATTAGATTGTTCAAATAATCGTGTGCTCCATTTCAAAGCAAATTTTTAGGGTTAGAAAGCCCAGAATTATTTGAAAAACCTAGCAGTTAAAGGTAGTTTAAAGATTTTTTATTTTGTAAAAAGAAATTAAAATTTTTAAAATTTGAGTTAAAACCAGCAATTTAAAAAAATTTTTACATACATTCCTTCAGTAAGTTTCCCATTGATACATTTCCCAACATACTGACATCTGGGGCCAAAATAATACCCATGACACACACAACCTCCATTTATGTATTGACCACGTTCGTTACATTGATTTGCAATAGGAATATGACAAAGTTCGCCCGACCACTCCTCATCACATATACATTTTTTGTTGAAAAACGCTGACGTAGGATCGTATCTTCTGCCAACTGATAGGCCGTGGTCTGAAGATTGATTTTACTTTTGTTATTGTTATTTAAAACTCACATATAACAGCGTATTTTACAAAAAGTACTACGTCAATATTACAAAAGAATTATTTAACTTCTATAAATTTTGCTAAAATCATGAAAGACTGTTAAAAACTAACTTACCACAAGCGAAATCAAGACAATCACTGCCAGTATATGGGTAGAAACAGTCACATTTACCATGAACCATAACTCCGTGACCTCCACACAGAGATTTGTTGTGAGGTGTTAGCTCTATATCAGGTGGAAATAGGTTTTCTCTTCGTTTTCTGACTTCTACTTCTTCAGCTTTTCTAATTTCATCATCTTTTTTTACTTCTACTTCAGCTTCTTCATCTTTATTGGCTTTTGTATCGTCTTTTTGATCTTCATTTTTATTATTAGCAGCATATTTACTATTATCTGCATTTCCATTTTTTTCTGCATCAATTCCTTCATTCCCAACTCTTCTGACTTCATTTTTATCATCTTCTACATCTTTTTCTTCAATATTACCATCATTTCCTCCACCATGACTAACATCGTTGTTATTTACCTTGTTGGCATGCAAATCCACTCGGTTGTTGCGTTTTCTTTTCACAAATTCATTAAACGCTACGTCAAATGATTGAAATTCGCTGTTTTTAAAAGTTTTTCCATCAACAAAACTATTAACCACCTCTCGTTCACCGCTCCAAACCCCATGCAGATCAACACCATTAGTACCAATTTTTTGATCACGAGATACCCCAGTGCCATGCCCGTTAAATACGACACAAATAGAAAGAATCATTAACCGGTAATGAGGCCCCATGATGATTTTTGGAATCTGCGCCTACCAAAACCCTCGCCGACTGCATAATAAGAAGAGAAAAGGAAAATGTTTTCAAAGGCATCTTAACATCACGACGCGAGAATTCTTCGTTTTACTGATTTTATGACCCGCTTTAATTAAAGGGTAAATGTTACAAATGTTTTTACAACACTAAGTTTGTTTTAAGAAAGCTAACAATAATATTATAGTTAGAAGGTTTATAAAAACAAGGTAAAGGCAGAGCAAAGCTAGCTTAGACGCAAGATAAGGCTAAGGTAGAGCAAGAGCCAAGCTAGTGTAACGCTAGAGTAAAGCTATAGGAAGATAAGGTAAGAGTAAGGCTCAAGTAGAGTTAAAGTAGGACAATGACAGAGACAAGAATCAGCGTAAGCTAAAGCAAGGCTAGAGTAGAGCTAAGGTACGGCCAGAGTAAGACGAGAGCAGGACTAGGATAAGCGCACTGGTAGAGCTAGGGTAGGGTTAGAGCAAGCGTAGGAATAGAGTAAAACTAGAGAACAACTAGAGTAAAGCTCAGATAAAACTGTAAGGCTAGGCTCTGCCAGGGCAAGGATAGGGCAACGGTAGGGCTAGGGTAAGGCTAGAGTAGAGCTAGGGTAAAGCATGGATAGATCTTGAGTGAGGCTAGACAAAGGCAAAACTAGGGTATTGCAAGGGGTGGGCTGGAGTAATACAAGGTCAGAGCTAGAGCAAATATAGGTTAGGGCTAGTGCAAGGCTAAAATCAAGTTAGATTAGAGCTAGGGTAGAACTAGGCAAAAGTATAGCCAATCTGCAAGTGATTGAAAATAAAGCGTAATTATTAAATACTTTTCAAAATGTTGTAAACTAGCAATCCGTTTAGCAAAAGAAAATTTAAAAATTTAGAAATTCCTTCAACCTACTCCAGTATAAGTAACATACATCAAAAAATTTATTAAAAATAGTAAACTCCAACTACTTTATTAAAGTTTATTAATCTTTTGTATTCTTTATACACAAAGGATCAAGTGGGAAAAGCTGGCAATGTAACGTTTGAGGGCCTCTTCTGATATCAATAATGTCACGGTCTACAGCTGAAACAAAAAAATTTACCATAAGGTATTTCTATGATTAGCCTCGTCATAATCTCTACTTATAGTCTGAAGACAAGCAAATATTAACACTTTTTTAGGTGAATTTTCTTAAAATTGGCAATAGTAACATTTTCAAAATCCTTGCCACATAACTTACTAGGTATCTTCCTCGTAATCTTGGCTCCAAACACATTATTAGTACTACCTTGGTTGACATGAGGAAGTAATGTAGGTAACGATGGTTTAAACAGATTTTCGAAACTCAACGGATTTACTGACATAATATTCTGATTTTCCAACATATTGGTAGGGACTTGTGTTACAGTATTCAAAAGATTATTTTGTCCTAATTGAAGTTCGTTTCCAAGTTGATTTAGGTTCAGTATGTTAGGGTTAAGAGGCTGAGGAAATAAAGAGTTTAACGGGTTTAAAGCTTCAAATGGGTTAAGAGGGTTTAGACTGGGCAGATTATTATAGAAATTCATTGGAAGATAGTTCGTGTACATAGAGTACGGATTATAGGTACTGTAGAGGGGAGTATCGTACTGAAATTGGTAGTACGGGTTTAAACCTGAAAGCTTTGAAAGTTAAAAGTTAAAGCTAAACTTCAAATCTCCATAAATTTAAAGTTAAAAAAATTATTCTGCAACAAGTTTACAGAGTAAAAAGTGGCATTACCTCCATATAAACCCATTCCACCAGCCATCATTGGATTGTAAAGTTGACAATCAACCCCAATAATAACCAGAAATAAGAGATAAAACATTATATTAATGGAATAATAAAAAATGACTATGTTTAAGTATGTTTAGTTTACAGGAAGTTGAAATTACAGCGATTTTTCGGAGGTTCAAGTGGCTTTTATGGACAATAACAACTGGATATAGCTAAGTATTTACGTTTTATAGCAAAATATAATAAATTTAACATTTTATGTTAATTTCATTTTATTAACAATAAGGTGTTATTTTTAAACGCGAAGGCGCTCTCACAATTGATTTAAAAATGTGTAAACCACAATATGAAAATGTATTTTTAAAATGTTTAGATTAATCATAAACCAAACCATAGGTAACCATTATGCAAACTTTCAATCAAATCAGTGGATTACAAGTTCAGTAACCTCATTTTAAAACATTACACATAGCAACGTATTTGGTCCCACCACGAAAACAAATGGAGAGGTAAAAAAAGAGAAAAATAAAAAAGAATTTCGTGAATTTCGGAAAATTGAATTGGAAACAAATCTTTTTTGTAGTAAAAATGTCTCGTCTTGCATCAACTCTTCGTTCATCCATCAGACAGTTGAGTACCACACCTAAAATAAGGTCAGACTTTGGTGCTGTCCCGGAAGGCTTCAACAAATATACCGAACCAACCGCTCCATACGATAATACTGAACGTGCTAGACGTCCTTTGCCTTCGTAAGTTCTTTTACGTGTTTGTTTTTCGTTTTTAGGCAAGGCTATATTAATATATTTTGTTAGTTTTTTATCGGTAACTGTTCTGGAAACGAGGGGATGCTTGTAGTAGAGCTGACGGACTTTCTTATAGTTTTTTTAAAGCTAAATTTATTCAATTCCTGTTTTAGAGTGAACAGAGTTGAGCTGATTGGCGGAGTAGCATCTGATGTTAGGATTTCACACACTCCAAATGGCAAAGATGTGGCCAACTTTCAATTAGCCACGAATGTTGAAGTCAGAAAAGTTGATGGATCTTTGGCTCAGTTTACCGACTTCCACGCTATCAATGTCTTTGGTCCATTGGTCAGATTTGTTGAGAGAAACGTTGAGAAGGGTATTTTTTAGGCTTATTTTCGTTTTGATAAAGTTTTAGGTGTTACTGCTAAAACTAACTTTTAAAGCATAACACGTAATTTAAAAATTTGTTCTAGGCTGCCGAGTAGTAGTAAACGGAAGATTGTCTTACACTGGAGGATCGGTAGATGAACTTGGTAACAGGACACCAAAGCAAGCGGTAATAACTGCTGAATTGATTCAACCTTTGGCTAAAATCACAAAAAAGTTTACTGAATAGTTGTTTTTGTACATTACCAAGATTCTCATTGTTATTTGTTGTTATAGGACATGAATAAACGGTCTATAGTAAAAGTATGTTTTGTTAAGGTATGTGGTTGTTAAACCATGATTATTTACTTTGATATTTTACTCCATTTTTGTTACTAATATCTATTGAGCACGTTTGCCTACCTTTATTGTTTTTTGCGGAATATATAACGATCTTTGGCACGAATTTTAACTATTATTAGAGTAAATTATTTAGTATAGAATAATATTTATAATAAACGTATGTCATCACTAAATAAATCAAATTATAGAGGATGAGCATCGGACGTCTTTCCGCTTTCACTTACCAAGCTTTGAGAAATGTGCGTCCGTTCTCGAGCACTTCAATGAAACGTTCGGAAGAACAACAAGATCTTTTCCCACCAGAGTCTTCACCAGATGTGCAACAGAGACCAAGAAGGCAAAGACCTGGGTAAGGCTTGTATTTATGTTGTTTTTTGGATTTAGGTATGAATAGTAATACTGGAGTAACGAAAATATGATATTAATGATTTTTCAAGAATTTCGATTTTTTTTACCTAAAGCGAGAAGCATATTGTTGCATGTAATTATAAAGAGCAAGAAAACATGTATGTATTTCCGGTTCAAAAGTAAATAGAAATTTCAATCATAAGTTTCAAATTCAAAGTTTTAATTATATTGTTGTAGAATCAACTCTGTTCATCTTCTCGGCGGCGTAGCTAACAACCCATTGCAAAGAGTAGCTAGAAATGGAAAGGAATTCTGCACTTTTGACATGTTTACTAACTTGGAACAACGTCGTGCTGATGGATCGTTCGCTGAACACACTGATCTTCATCATGTTGTAGCACATGGACCTTTGGCTAGATATGTATTGAATAATGTGCAAAAGGGTAGGTCAATCATTATTTTATAATAATAATAGGGATTTTAGGCTTGAGATTACTGTAGTTTTAGTTTAAATATCTATGTTTTATAATTTTTAAAAATATTTGTGAACTTCTACAACCCACTTTGTTAGCTATTTGGCTTTTATTTTATACCTGAATCTTACTATCTTTAAGGTTCCCGAGTTGTTATCCAAGGCCGCCTTACCTACACTGCTGGCCAAACCAACGTAAGCGGCGCTCAGATACCACCACGAGCTGTGGTGAACGCTGACATTATTCAACCCATTGCTCGACCTGCTCCTCGAAACGAATAAACTCCTCCTTATCTGATCTGAATCTTTAGGTTACTATTTTTTGTTGATTTTGTGAAGACAATAAACGTTATTTTTGAAAAATTATTTGTGTGATATCAAGGTTTTTTGATAAGATATTGATTTATGAAATCAAAGTTAATATTTTTGGAGGTATGGGGGCTGCATAAGGCTTTTTTTTACAATATTAAGGGCGGAATAGCTGAACACTGCTATTTTTTAACAGAGAAAAAATTTAAAAGTTTTCTGCTTCTTTTTTTACAAAAAACTATTTTGACCAACATTTTGTTTTTCCAAAATCTTCACCTTCACACCAATTTTTTCGATAAAAACGTGTTTGTTCTACAACAGAAAGGTATGATAATGTTGTTTACATGACCCGAACGTCGGTTCGAAGTGTTTTTGGAACGGCTGCAAGTTTCATTTGAGAAAATTTTTTTATTTTTTGTCCACTTTTTTCCCTTTTCTCGGGTCAAAACTCACGTTTTTCGTTGGAAAATGTAGATTAATATTGTTTACTTCCATGTGACTGTAAATCACATTGTAGAGGGCATTTTTTGTAAAGAATTGATAAAGAAAAACTATTAGAAGTTAACTTTTGGAAGTATTTTAGGATTGAGCAGAGAAAATTTTGATATTTAGGTACCAAACTTGAATTTTTTGATCAAAGTTCAATCTGACTTTAAAAATCTGAATCTAGATCTCATTATCTTGTTATTGAGTATTTTCAATCAACTTTAGCTAATTTTTCACAATTTATACGATGTTATTATAGCTCGCACCTAAAACTATATTTTAAGGCATTAATCACTCTGTTCTAGACCTCAAAATGCTCAATATAACTCGTCAAACCTTGAGAGTTATTCCACGACGTGCATTTGCCTCAGGGGATAAGCCACAGGACCCAGTACCACAAAGTCAACTTGATATCGAGAAGAATGAATCCCAAGGTCAGTCCTGGCTCTCCAGAATTTTGACTGGGCCAGCCGGGAACCCGGATTTCCATAAACAATCACATTCGTCCATGTTGGCTGCTTCTGAAGTTGTCTATGAGATTCAGAGTAAGTTTTTTTGTTTGTTTTTGATTTTTAGGTAACAAAAGGATCGAATTTTTTTTTAAATGCAGAAGCTATTTCTCGTTAATACTTGACTAAAACTTGCATCCTTTAGCCCACGATGCTACTACTGGTAACAAAGAAGGCTACCTCAAGGCTTATGATACCTACTCGAAGGAAGCTCAAAGCACAAACCCTGGACTGAAATTGGTCGGTTCTTTCCAAGTCGTCTATGGAAATCAAGATCAATTTGTTCATTTGTGGCGTTATGCCAAGGGATGGGCTGATGTCGACCAGTAAGTATTACACTATCCTGATATTATACTGGTTTATATAATCACGAAAATAGCTGAAATTGGCTTTAGATGATGTTAAAACGAGACAGAAATGCAAGAAGCTCTTAAGAAGTGTTTACATGACTATTCCTTTTATTTCAGACAAGTAAGATCCCTAACTCAAGGATCATTAAGGTCAGCCGATACTGATGTGGCCAAGTTGTGTACAAGAAGAAGAAATGTCCTGACAAAGCCATTCAGCTACTGGGGAGAGCCAAAGGAAAGAGATCCAAGTCATATCTACGACATGAGAACATATGTGTTAAAGGTATGTCTCTATTAGAGTAGATTTTAGGGTTAAGAGTCAACTAATGACCATTTTGTCATAGATTGCTAACTGTCAAGCTATGTTATAGTAGGTTGTTAAAGAGAAAACAATATTATAGTAAGTTTTTATGAAGTAGAACATATTAGTAGTTAGAAAGCTAGTAGATGTATGTATTCTGTATCAATGTTTATCGTACTTTTGTAGCCAGGCACGATGATTGAATGGGGTAACGCCTGGGCACGTGGTATCACATACCGGCGTGAACACAACCAGGACGTAGGTGGGTTTTTCTCCCAAGTCGGCCAACTTTACATGGTATTCCACTTCTGGGCCTACAAAGACATGGTACACCGAAACCACACTCGTCACGACACCTGGTCCAAGCCGGGATGGGACGTTAACGTACAGTACACCGTGCCATTAATCAAGAAAATGAACTCCAAGATCCTGGTACCAACTCCACTCTCCAAACTACAGTAATTTTGAGGTTACTGTAACAGTTATTCGCTTTATAATGGATTACTGTATAAGTAATCTAATTTGTAAAGGATTACTGTAACAGTACTCTAACAATCTACTGTATGAGAGAAAATACTGTAATTTAGGGGTTATCTGAACCATGTACAATTGTAGTTTTGGTTACTGTATTACGCATCACTGTAATACCACTTTACTGAATAGTCATCGATGTGACCCATGTGTACGGTTATTGTAAAGTGTCACAGTACCAGCTACAATACTTTTTACATTTTTTTATTTTAAAAGTTTTTCAGTTTACAGTATAATCACTGTAACTTTTTCATAATTACCATAATCTTTTAAAAATACTGTAGTATTTTACCATACGAGTCACATCAACCCCATATAGGAACCTAAGTATATCTACTGTTATATTCTTTATCAGTAGAAACATGTACTTTTTCATATACTATAGTTTTTACATGTAAATAAACTTATATAATGTATTTTTGGCAGGATTTTGACTTTGTAAAACACGTTAACTAATTTTTACATTTGTAAATTAAAGGAACGGAGACCAATACCTATAATATTTGATAAATTAAGGTAAAAACGTATGTTTATAAGACTAAATTTTAATAACAATATTACTCAACGTATCCAAATCGTCATTTTTCGACTTTTTTTCAAATAACCACTTCAAAACCGGTTCCAGAATCCCCACCACGCTGAAGCGATCTCCAAGACGCTATGTTATACTCAATGCTTTTGGTCTGCTATCGCCTCGAGAAGCGTCCCATTTTGAAAATATTTTCGAAATCGAACATTCATGTTTTTTTCGATTCAGTTCTACAGAGTTCAATCCACTTTTTGTCCGAAAATATTTGTTTATAAAGCGTATTTTGAGTAGATTAGTTTTCGGGTCATGTGTAACATGTTCATGTTTCTTTCCTTTTGGAAAAATTTTTTGCGGACAAATTTTGATGTAAATTGTATTTTTAATATGTTATCTATCTAAAATTGGTAAAAAAGGGAAAGAAAGTGGTAAAAAAACGAAGGAAGAATCAATTTTCGTAAGATAAACTATTTTTTTTCCAAAAATCAAGAAAACTATTTTTACAAAGTTGAAAGCCATTTGTTGGTTGATAGTAACATATTTTTATTGATTTTATTAATTTAGAGTCTTTTATAAACTGTTTTAGAGTCTTCAACGTCTAAAACATTCTAATTCCAAAGTTCAGTTCGAGTTGAAATATACGATACTTGATCACGTTTTTTGTCGAAACAAAAACTCGTCCCCACCTTTTTAATCCAAAATTATATTGTAACAAAGTTCGTTTTGCGAGAACCCAGTCAGATGTCCATTCCATTTTGCTTTGAAATAGAAGATTTCGATAGTCTCTCGCGGAAATTAAACATTTTTGACTTTTTCTATTTTTTCGGTCGAGAATGAGTTTTTACTAAAACTTTTGTTATCTAAATTTGTAGCAGAGTTTGTACTTTATATTTTCAATAGCTTCTTTCCATTTTTTAGATCCCACTAACTTTTGTTTGTTTTAGAGATTCGCGGGTCGTGATATCCAAAAATGGCCAATCCTTTCGACGACGATGATGATAGTAAGTGATTTTATTTCTATTTTGTTTCGAATTTAGATTTTAAAGCTGCTAATCTTGTTGGTCGGCTTTTGTTAATTTGATCGAAAAATCAAGAAGAATTTATATTGTCTTAGATTAAGGGTTAGTTCCTGATGAATCACTTTTCGTGAACAAATATAGATATTGTTTGGACTTCAAATTAATCATAAAAGGTTTATACAGCTTTGATTAAAGTTTTGTTTAATATTTTGTGTCATTGAACAGAGGTTTTGAGTGGGTTGGCTATAAATGCTATCAAGGAAAGTTAAAAATATGGTTTTGATTGTAACATTTAAAAAAAGAATCTTAGAGGATTGAAACTTTTTATGATAATAGTTTCCTTATTGTGTCAACTAAATTAAAAATTTCAACTTAACGTTCTTTTAAAATTACAGTAGTTTTACATTACTGACTTTTCTTATGTGAATAATTTAGTGCCGGTGAAAAGCTACTCCCGTAACACAAATGTTGACAAGGACATTGAAGAGTATGAGAAACAAATCGAAGAGCTCATGCAAGGCTCTCTAGCCTCTACTCAACGATCAACAGCTCAACTTGACAATGCCGAAAAGATGGGTAATCAGACAGCCTTGAATCTCTTGGAACAGCGTGAGAAGTTGGAGAAGACAGAAAAGAATCTGGACGAAATTAACCACACAACACAGTTGACTCAACGTTCACTGAATAGTTTGAAGAGTGTGTTTGGGGGATTCTTTAAGAACAAGTTCTCAAAAACTCCACAGAAGCCTAATGCACCTGAATCGGTAAGTAATGGTTCTGTTTTTTTAAATTACGTTATGTTCTCCAAGTTTTGAACATTATTTTTAGTTTAAAACATATAAAAATGACCTTAGAATTTAAAAAGATATCTGAAAACTATTTTTTGTTGTTTTTTATATCATTTTACCAGACATATTGAACAAAAAAGACCAGTTTTATATTGTTGTATCTAAACTATTAAACGATAAAGATCACTTCTATATTTTTAAACCTAATTAAACGATCACCATTTATAGATAACGCCATCAGCGTCAGCAGGAAAGCTAGGTCGAGTAGTGGAAGAAGTTGAAGGTCGTACTGGAGCAGCCGCTGACACTTTAGCCTCAGGGCCCAGTTTGGGAGCCGAAAGTCGAAATGCCATTAAAGGTTCTCGATGGGAAGCCATGGACAACGAAATCGACGAAAATTTGGGTAGGTTTTTTAATTTTTCATATTGTTTTTGATAAAGTTTATACACAGTTTAACAAGTTTAGACTTAAATTATTAAATTTAGGCTTAAATTTTATACATTTTGCTATTTAAAAACCATAAAACGCATTAAAAGCATTGAACTAGAAACAGTAATGCAATTCTCTTTATTCCAGGCAGCATGAGTGGCCAACTCTCACGCCTGCGAATGCTCGGTCAAGCCCTGGGCGACGAAGTAGATGACCAAAACAAGATGCTCGACCGCATCCAGACCAAAGCCGAACGCAACGATCATGTGGTGCGATCGCAGGACAATCAAATGAAAAAACTGCTGGGTTACAAACCGGAGCCCGTCAAACGCTCCTGAACATATCGTACTTATTTGTGTATTGACTGTAAATTCGCTCTGTGATGAGAAAAAACGTTAACAATAAACTTTTTGGAGTTTTGTGGGGATGTACAAGTCTTACGTGTATACTTTATAGCATGAAAAAACTATATGAAGGGTAGCTAGACTAATGAAGTAATAATGTTTCTGAGGGAGCCATAGCATGGTACTCATATAGTTAAAAAAGCTAAAACATAGCCTCAGGGCAAAATAGAAATAAAGCTTTACAAAAGGTGGTATAATACTTACTTTAACATGAAAAAACTATATAAAATAGTAGCTGGTCTACCCAAGTAATCATGTTTCTGAGTAAGACATAGCATAAGGCCCATTTGTCGCAAAAACGATCGAAAAACAAGCTAACCAAATCGACAAAAATATTTTCCGAAAACGAGGACAAAGAAAGCGGCCAAATAAAAGCCTTTGTCTCACGTTTTTTAACTGTTTTCTATTTTTGTAAGAAATCAGTCTTTTTATAATAACAATTTAAGGGAATGTGATCCCAATTGTTCCTATACTTAAATATTATACGGTATTAAGGGTCAGGGTGAGGTCAGGTAGGGCAAAAAGGGTCCGGATTAGATTGGGAGGGTATATAAAATTACGGTAATTAATTACATGGGGGCTTATTGCCGTAGTGAACAAAATTGTTGGCTCTATTACATTTCTAGTAATCTTACTATTGGTATCATTTGTACTATTACATTACTAGAAACGACTACTACGTTTACTGTAGTTATACTCTGGGTTAACTTTGGTTACTCGTAGATTTTAATTTTAATTTATTGCTCACATTTACTGTGGGTGTCGTTTGCATGTTTAGCTAGTAGTTAGTTTTATCTTAGTGGTACTCGACGTGGACCTTATATTATATTTATAAGCGGGCCGGTTTCGCGGGAGAATCGTATACTACGTTAAAAAATACAAAAAATTATTAACAAGCATTTCGTACTGTTTCATTTGGACGTTAAAAGTAAAGTTGTTTACTACATGAATAGTTACGGGAGCAGTAGCAATGCAAGCATTGGCACTTGTTAGAGTCTACAGTAAGAGCTTTACTGCCATATGTGTTCATTTTACATTAAAGAAGGTACGTATGAACACTCTTACTAAACACTTTCAACCGGTCGGTATAAATTGCAGCCCCTACGTTTGTGCTTTTATGGAAGCCCGAATGAGAACTGAAAAAAGAATAGGATTAGTTTAGTTTGGTACAGAAGTTAAGTGATTGAATTTAACAGACGAACTTTAGATTGTATGCTCATGTGTTCGTTTTTGGCGGAGCATGATTTTAAATTATATTCAAAGACGTTTTTTCGCACTTTAAACATTTATTTTGTCGTAGAAAATGAATAACAAGGGACAGGCTAAAAGATTTTCAGACGGTTTTTTTATAAATCGCCGGGCATTTTGGGTAAAACAGTTAGGTTTTGTAGCAACACGTAATGGTTTGGTCTGGAAAGCTCTCTTGCTTCTGTGAAGACTCTGAGATTCTGTAAAAAGCAGGCTTTAAATTTAGAAAAATTTTTTTTCTTTACTTGATACCATTCATGTGTTACACTCTATATGCGTTTTTTACATTTGCATATTTAATATTTTATAGTTAATGATCGTTTTAATCGTATTACATGTCATTTTAATAATGACTATATACCAAAATTATTTTTTTACTTGATATATTATGTAAATGTTTTATTACTAAACTTAAATGTTTGAATTACATTGTTTAATATACTATGAATTCTCTATTGTTTTACTACACATATAATACATTACCAAATTTGTATATAATTCTGTAAAAAATGTTTGTTTTACATATACTATCTATATAATACAGTAATATTCTTCTATATAATATGGTTTTTTTACCACAAAATTATTTAAATGTTATACAGCGTGTTATCCGTTTCCCGTTTCTTTACTGTACATATATATTTTAATTTTATTTTTTTGATATACTACACATTTTTACTTGATATACTACAACACTTTAGTGATATACTACGACATCTTAGTGATATACTACGACACGAAACGTGCCTTTATTACCTTCCGCTCGACTGGCTTTCTTATGGTGCCAATATCGCCCCATATCACTGTACCTGTCTCTCTAATTAACGACATCTTTTCAGCGACCTTCTCAAGGCAGATCTGCTAAAACCGGGGCCGCGCATAAATCACGCTTTGGCACAACGTTGCGACACTGTTGTCGAGGTTTCTTTCCTTTCATTTCGGCCTTGCATCCCCTTTATGTGCTTTCCTCTCTCCGCCGACTCTATTGTATTTTAAGACACAGCTAGATTTGATTAAATTACATGTCTTTTCTAACAAGACATTGGAAAAACGAAACAAATTTAGTGCATTAACTTGGAAATTAAAAAATCCAAAAAAGGCAACGCTTGTATTTAGAACTGGTAAAATTATCGTTACTGGTGGCAAATCCGTAGAAGAAAACATTGCTACAGTCAATCAAGTTATAAAAGCAATAGCAACGTGGATGTACACTATAATACACTATAACCCGCCAGCTATTAAAAATATCGTGATTTCCAAAAAACTAAATTCCAAAGTATTGTTTAAAGTGCTAGAAAATATCCAATTTCCTTATAGTTGCACCTACTCGTATCATCCCGAATTATTTTTGAGAGCGTATCTATACGTAAAACATCATACGTCACCGGGGTGAGGTTGAGTAGGGCTAAAAGGGTCAGAGGCAGGGTTGGTTAGGGCTAAAAAGGGTCAAGGTTGAGGTCGGGTAAGGCTAAATAGGTGGGTGTGAGGTTGGGTAGAGCTAAAAAAATTTTTTGAAAATATTTTGGATCGCTCATAAAGAAATCTTTCTTGGAGAAATTGTCCAAGAAACAAAATCGTCTATAAAAAAATCGCTCATAGATGTGCGTTACAATTTTTTATATAGTTTTTTTTATATCGTGGTTTACGTTTTTTGTCGAAAAATCCCATTTGCAGAATTTTACCGTAATAATCTCATCGCAAACATCATTAGACTTTGTCGTAATATATTAGTAGTACTCAACGTGGATCTTATAAGCAGGCTGGTTTCGCCGGTGAATAACATACTACGTTAAGATACAAAAAATTAGTTTTTTGTAACTATATTATCTTTCCATCTATTTTCAACTTTAGACACATTTTGTTCCCCTTGTATTAACAACCACTTCGTACTGTTTTATTTGGACGTTAGAAGTAGAGTTGTTTATTACATGAGTGACATTCCGAGTGGAATGTCGTGCCATTCCCAGCATCGGCAAGCGTTGAAAACATTTATTAAATGGCGCTACCGTATAATTAAAGTTAGTTAAGGTGACTTTTCACCCGAGAAGCGCCTTGGCTGCTGGCCGAATCCTGACTCATCGCGCCTAAAGCGGGATCAGGAAGCAGCTCTCGGAGAAGACCATGCGCGATCAAGAGCGTAGCAGACCGAAGGCAGTGATAATTACTCATTACCTATCACTTTCAGAGTGAAGGACCGCCTCCAGGCCATGGTATATAAGCTGACCGCTTCGACACATCCAGGACGTCCCCAGTTTGATCAAACCCCTTTCCTCCGATCCGGATCCCCCTTTTTACATCAGCGCCGATTTCAGTATTGTTTTGGTTGTATATTTCGCTCGTATATAAATCATCGTGTTTATATTAGGTATTTATTCTAGAAACCCCAGTAGAGGTTGGTAGCAGCGAGTGGTTTTTCGTTCTCTCTTTCGTGTTATAGTACTGCTATAAAGTTTGGTTTCTAGTGGCTCGCTTTTTGGTTATTACAGTGCACTGTTCCTTAGGTAACTACAGATTTTTGTTCTACGCGTAAAAGTTTTTCTCCTTGTACAGGTTTGTTTATCGCTACGTGAAATTGTATTCTCCGATAAGCCGTGATACCCCCGTCTCCAGAAGCTACAGTATTTAATTATCACGCTAACTAGTTATTGTTCTGATCGATTTTTGTATTTATTTTATTAATTTCATTAAGGTTTCCACACCTCTCAAGCCCCCAAAACATGGCCACCGCTCCCGAAATCCTCACCAATGATGACAGTTTGAGGAAACTGTTCGCGCCCAGCCTCAACGCCAGCCTAGCCGGCAATCCTACGCTTCCAACTCTGCGCACCGTATGTGAAAAAATGTTAGAAGAAAACAGAAAGATGTGCAACATTTTGGACCGCGACCTTCGCTGGCATGCCCAGTCCCATCTCAAGACGGCCAACATCACTGCCCAGCATGATAAACACTTGATATCGCTTAGAACCGGCTTGGAACGACAGCTCCAAGAACACCAGCAGAGCGAAACAGCCTTGAACAAGCAAGTTTTAGACTTAAGAAGCTCTTACACTAAATTATCTCAGGTTCCTGCCCAGAAGAAGTGTGTGATGAGCTTGGAAATGCCGTAGATGAAGCTAAAGTTGAAGCCGTAAACGAGGAGGATCATGAGGAAGGTAGGCAGCGGTGAATAAGTAGGAGATTAAAGTTTTGAGCTGAAAAGTTTGCTTGAGTGACAGTGATGCTTTTAGTTGACGAAGTGGTTGATGAGGAGGAAGGCCAAGCTGGTGGTGAAGTAGGTGAAGGCGCGGAAGAGCGACATGGTGATGATCAGCCCGCTGATGAGAATGAAGAGGATAAATTTGGAGCTCGATTGGTCGATCAACAGCTACCAGATCTGGGCCATTTGAGTGGTGAGTAAAAAAATAGGTGTTAGTTGGAAGGAGGGAGAGGGGTAATCAGGGCATATGTGGCCATTGTACATTAAACAAGCTCGGCGTAAGATTATCCATCAAAAACAACGGTCACATCAAATGAGAAACGCGGTGCGAAAGTCAAATTTACCAGATACACGAGAAAGTTCAAATTTTACCAGGTACACGAGGAAGCTCAACTTACTGGACCTTGCGAATTGAATATAGAAGTCGCAGTAAGTGCTTTGGACAAACCATGTGTTTTAAAAGGAATACGTAGAAATCGCCAAATCGGAATGACTGGTGCTGTTCCGGCTTTTAGCATTCCAGATGACATGATCGTAAGCTTTTGAACTTATTTAAAATTTAAAATACTTGTATAAAAGTTACAAGAAGTTCAACTTTTAATAAAATTCACAAAAAAATATACTTAATATTCTAATACCAATATTTGGTTGTTGCAAATTCCGCGAAATGGGATTAGAAACGATGCGTTAGAGAACATAATCAATCAGAAAAGTGAGCAACCTAATAAAAAAATACCTTTTTCTTGCTAATGCACATGATTTACGGGCCCTTCACAATTGTAAATATATTCAGATGGATGGTACCCACCCAACTTGTCCAGCTCCCTTTGACCAGCTATATTTAATCGTAGTAGTTTTTAAAAATCATGTAATGAAGAACTGTAAACAGAAATGTTAACTGCATAAGATCAGAAGTAGAAAATAAAAGTAGAAATATTGGCCTACAGAAAAGAATGAATGTAGAGGTATTGACCAACAGAAGACCGTTTCTACAGATAGAGAGATGGCCGCCATAAATGCAGTGCGAACTATATCCAGAATGGAAAACTAGCTCATGTTACTTCCACTATTGCTGAATCCGGATGCGTAATTTTGGTCAACATTGTCCGTTAAATCTACTAAAACATCCGAAAGTTGAAAATGCGTTTTTCAGCCTGCTTAGAACAGCCATCTTGCCACAAAATGTGCAATTGCAAGCGATGGATTTTGTGATGAGAAAAACATAAATGGAATTAAAATTTAACAGTGTGACGAGAGGTACTAGGAGCATCATAAGCTTGACGAGAGGTACCAGGAGCATCCGTCAAACTTACAATTCTCCCAGTACATCTAGAGCAGGTGTTAATGGTTATGGAAACCACTACCTCACATAGCAGTACTCTACCAAGGCGACCCACAATGATGCTTCATCCACATCCACGAATGGCATCAGATGCAGTTTTTGTGATAGTAACCACTACTCCGCTTTTTGCGACAAAGTGACGAGAAGAGAGGAAAGGATAAGTATATTAAACCACTGGAGAATTTTCCACAACTGTCTGGGATTTCATCCAACACAACATTGCCGAAGCACGAAACGATGCCGAGCATGTGATTCCTTTCACAACTTGAGCATATGTATGTTCCACGATGTTCAATGAAGAAGGCCAACCGTTTTCTCTACCCACGCCCTACTTTAACTTCTACGAAGATAGTTTGTTACCTCGAACTAAAAACTACGCAGAAGGAATCAACAACGGCTTGCGTACTCGTTTTATTATTTGTGAAGTATATAATATTATACAATTCTTAGTGTTTGTCACGATCAAGGCTAAAACTGGTGATATCAAACTTAGACTTTCTGTTATCAACCAGATCTGACACAATTTCTCCAACCACCGGTCCGAACTTAAAACCACTGCCACAAAATCCTCCAGCCAATACAACATTACGATGTTGGGGATAGTAATCAATTAGGTAGCTACGATCATCAGTGTTCTGTAAAGGGTTATGTGAATTGGAAAGCTATTATAACATCTAGAGACAACGTTGGTAAGATAACGCAACTGTAAGGAAGGCTAGAATCTAATATTAGCCAGATCAAGAGACAAGCCAACTATAGCATTTTGATAGAAATAGTAACTATACTTACTGCGTATAAACAAGTAGTTTCAATACTCGGAGTCGTCTTAATGTGCTTAAAATGCTTCTTAATGTGTTCAGCAGCAGCCTTCTTACGCTCCTCCAGTAGATGAACAGGTCTATCTTTTAAAATGTCAAAATCATCAGCGATATTATGTATAAACTTGACTTTGTCCTTGTAGTCACCCTCCGGAATCATGAAAAACCCTTTCTTCTCTTCAAAATCACTGATAATCAAGTTTGGAGCCTTGTTTTGAGGATTATATAGACCTTGACCTTCCTTCTCAATGTCCCAGAAAAAGACTCCAACTAGGCCTGGTGTTACTTTTACTGCCAGGTTTGGTACTACTGTTGATAGCCATGCTCCAGTAGCGAAGACCAAAGAATTGGCTGTGAAAGTATTTGTTGTGGTTGATACTGTAACTTGATGGTTTTGGCTAGTCCACTTGGTCACTTTCTGATTGTACTTGATCGTTACTCCGTGAGAGGTTATGTAGTTCTAAAAATGTAGAAACATTAATATAATCTTGTTCAAACTTCTCAAAATTGATAAGTATGTCTTTAGATAAGTCTTCATTTTGAAATTTAAGATATTAACTTCAATTTAAAAGCTGAATCTGTCCTAAACAGTTCCTAAACCCCTTAAAAGCTATGATCTCGTCTATAACAATATGTCACTCTATATAGATTAAAGTGCCTACCGTAAGAGCCTCAACACACTTCCTAGCATAGATAGTACCAGCTGTGTGGTCAAGTACACTCCACCAGTTATCGTTGTAATCAAAGTGTGAGTAACGTTCTTTCAGTTCTTTTGAGTCCAACACTTGATGTGGAGCATTATGTTGTTGTAGTAGCTTGGCTCGTCGTTCAGCACCTTCTTTATCTGACAACCATAATAAACCATGATTTCTGAAAGTTACGGTAAGTTAAATATTATCAAGGTTTTTTGTAGAAGCAAGGGTGTAGCCATAGGTCTTTCTACAACCAATGTAAGATTCTTAAATTGTATCACATATATTATCATAAACAGCTCGTACTCGAAAAGTTTAGATCCAACTTCATGTTCAAGTGTTCTCCATTGTTTGTAGCTTTCTATGGCCATTGGGAGATGAACAGGGTCATTGTGAATAACACGAATGATTCTAGACTCACCATGAGATCCACCTGCTAAGTTATGTGTCTCCGAAGCCTAAAATTTTCAAAACGTGACAAAAAACAATAGTTACGTCTCGTTTAACAAGGTATTCCAAAACCCTTACTTGCTCAAGTAAGATAACCTTGTGTCCTCGTTTGCAAAGTCGATATGCAGAAGATAGTCCAATCACTCCGCCACCAACAACTATCACGTCACAATCAAAGGTCATTTTCTAAAAATGAACGTTTCATATCAAAAGCATCTATTAGTCAAGCTTTTTTTACTGGTTACTTATTAATCTTATTTACTTTACAACGGTAAGCAAACATGTGAAACTATTTTATTCACTTTATTTTGTTCACCAGGAATGTACCCTGCCTGCCCCATTCAGAAGCAGCTAAAAAGGGAAAACATAAAAATTCTTTGTACTACCAATAGTACTCGTGACAAGTTTTGACTTGCGCTTTTAAGTTTTAAAATTTAAATATTTGTGTTTTCCGTCAATTTGGAAAGTTTGGCATTGTGTTTCAAGCCTTTTTATGTGCTTCAGATAAGGTACGTTTTCAAATTTAAAAATCTAAGTCTATTTAAATGTTTTCTACTAGTATGTCAAAGAAAAAGCCTTAAAAGTTAAAAAATGACAAAGTTGTCAGCTTGAATCACAATGCCAATTTGGCGGAAAACTTAAAATGTAATGTTTTGATCTCGATTTTCTCGATTTTTTCTGGAAAGCGTAGCCTAGTACTGCGCTGCAGATCTTATGCGTTACATGATCTTTCTAAATAAAAAGTTTAAAATCACACAAGGCGAGACAGGTAGGACACTTTACTTGTCAAGCTATTACAGGTAATACTATTACTAATAAAGCCAGTAACTCTAAGAGAAAAGTATCTGAAAATTACAATATTTATCTTATACGTTGTAAAAAGCAATACATACTTAAAATCACATTTTTGAATTTTTTATATTCATTTTTTAGTGCTATACCTTCTACTACAATATAAGCAGTAAGAGCACTATAGTATACTGAAACTTTTTAAGGTTAATGATGTTTCTCTTGCACTCAATATGATGACAAATTTTGCACCCAAGTGTCTATAATACTATCCCTGATAGCCCAAACAAAAAGGAAATAAAATTATGTCGCATGTTTTCTTATCGTTATCAAATAAAGTCAATAAGCTTAATGAAATTGATATGAAACGTTCACTTCAATTGAAATGACCCTTGATTGTGACGTGATAGTTGTTGGTGGAGGAGTAATTGGATTATCTTCTGCATATCAACTATGCAAACGAGGACATAAGGTTATCTTACTTGAGCAGGTAAAGGTTGTAACTAAAAAAGGCTTATGAGTAATGAAAAGGAAAAGATTTTGGCTAAGCAAGACATTTTAACTAAAAAAATTCTAATTATGTTTACTGTTAATTAAGCTAGTAAATAAAGTAAAGTAAGATAGACAAATAGGCAACTTTTTAAAATTTTTTTTACTTTAGGCTCCAGCAACAAACAATATAACCGGCGGATCTCATGGCGACTCCAGAATCATACGTCACATTCATTCTGACCCTGCTCATCTCCCGATGGCCATAGCAAGCTACAAACAATGGAGAACACTTGAACATGAAGTTGGATCCAAACTTTTTGAGTACGTGCTATTTATGATGCTATGTGTAATACAATTTATCTTGAATTAGTACTTGAAGTACCTATAGCTACACATAGTTCTGTAGAAAGACAGATAGCTACACTCTCGCTTTTATAAAAACTCCTTGCTTCTAAAATATTTAATTTACTGTAATTTCAGAAATCATGGTTTATTATGGTTGTCAGATAAAGAAGGTGCTGAACGACGAGCCAAGCTACTACAACAACATAATGCTCCACATCAAGTGTTGGACTCAAAAGAACTGAAAGAACGTTACTCACACTTTGATTACAACGATAACTGGTGGAGTGTACTTGACCACACAGCTGGTACTATCTATGCTAGGAAATGTGTTGAGGCTCTAACGGTAGGCATTTTACTTTATATTGAGTTTCATATTGTTATAGACGAAATCAGAGTTTCTAAGGCTTTCGTAAACTGCTTTATGGCTGATTCAACTTTTAAATTGAGGTTGATATCTTAAATTTCAAAATGAAGACTTATCTAAAGACATACTTATCAATTTTGAGAAGTTTGAACAAGATTATATTAATGTTTCTACATTTTTAGAACTACATAACCTCTCACGGAGTAACGATCAAGTACAATCAGAAAGTGACCAAGTGGACTAGCCAAACCAATCAAGTTACAGTATCTACGACAACAGACACTTTTACCGCCAAATCTTTAGTTTTTGCTACTGGAGCATGGTTATCAACAGTAGTACCAAATCTGGCAGTAAAAGTAACACCAGGCCTAGTTGGAGTCTTCTTCTGGGACATTGAGAAAGAGGGTCAAGGTTTATATAATCCTCAGAACAAAGCTCCCAACCTGATTATCAGTGATTTTGAAGAAGAAAAGGAATTGTTTATGATTCCAGAAGCTGATTACAAGAATAAGGTAAAGTTTGGGCTTCATTTAGCTGAAGAGTTTGATATTTTAAAAAAGGAACGACCTGTTCATTTGTTGGAGAAGTGTAAGAAGGCTGCTGCTGAACATATCAAGAAGCATTTCAAGCACATTAAGACAACTCCGAGTATCGAAACTACTTGTTTGTATGCAGTAAGTTTAGTCTACATTCATATCAAGATGCAGTCGGCTTGACTCTTGATCTAGCTGGTACCAGATTCTAGCCTTTCTTACAGTAGCGTTATCTTAAAAACGTTGTACTAGATGTTATACTACTTATTCAATACATATAACCTTTTACAGAACACTGATGACCGTAGCTACCTAATTGATTACCATCCTCAACATCGTAACGTTGTGTTGGCTGGTGGATTTTCAGGAAGTGGCTTTAAGTTTGGACCTGTAGTCGGGGAAATTGTGTCAGATCTAGTTGAGAACAAGAGAACCAGGTTCAACATCACTAGTTTCAACGTTAATCGTGTCATTGATTATAGCAAGGCTAAATTGTAAAAATAAATTTTTTAAATTTTTTTAATTATATTTTATTTTTAGTTAATTATATAATTTTATTTTTGTTTTTTATAACTTAAGCCCGAAAAAAAATCAAAAATTTAAATCTAGTCGGACATGTTTCATCGTATGACTTGGCGCGCGCAAGCTGCAAAACTCTAAATTTTGTCAAACTGCTTCAGCTCTTCATAAAACAAATTTTGTGATAATTTCAAATTTAAAAATTTCTTTTAAAATTTATAAATTTAAACAAAATAAAAAATTGAGATCAATGGTAGTAAAGAAATGGCAGTAGAATATCCACTAGAAGGCTGATACGGTTCTCGCGACGTTAAATGCTGAGCTCGTTTATAAATGGGTCGATGTAGCCGACAACAAAACCTTGTTTTGCCTTTTATTAGCTCGTTGTGACGTTTTGTCTCGGTATACTAAAAAGAAATGTCATCATAAAGACTTAAAATTTTTTAAATTAAAAAAATTTTTTTTGAAAAAATTTTACCTCGCCCAAATTAAAATCAATACTCTAACCGGTCCCATATTTAAAATAAACTTACTCTAGTCAAGTTTGAATGTTTGAAGCGTAACCTTAAGGGTTTCTGTAACTTATATTCATCATGATACTGTGCACGGTGCAAAGTAATGGATTCTCTGTCACTTTCACTCATCGTCCATTTTCTTATCACTCGTTGAGCTTGGTGGTTCAATTGAGAATAGGTTACACAGCCTTGTTTATTCGATGGCATTATGGCGCATAGGGGCTCCTGGAATGGTACAACTTGATAGTAACGGTACAATAAAAAAAATTATGCTTTTTCTAATAAGATATGGCTGGAGTAGGACTAGGGTAGAAATAAAGTAGAGCTAGAGTGGGCTAGGGTAAGGCAATGTAAAAAAGTCTTGTCGTTTTTGAACGTGCAAATACCCATACATTAAGGACAAAACTTTTCCAACCTTCACATGTTCATAAATCATTAAATCCCTTACCGTCAGACATCGACAAGTCTTCCTGGAGTAATCCTTCCCATCTGACCTCATGAATCTAACGTAGCGAGATTCACAAGCCTCTCCAAGACCAGACTCGATACAATGTTGAACATTACAATCACCTGGAGTCAAGTCTTTCTCACATCGACTGTCTCCATAATGGGGTCGAATCATAAATGGCAACTTCTTCGACGTGACAGTAAGGGTTAGTAGAGCTAGCAGGCATGATAAGGTGACTACATTTTGCATCTGAAACAACTATTTTTGTAAAGAATCTAGCGGATTGTAGTGTAATATAAACAAAAATATATAAATTTAAAAAAGTTAAGTTTTAAACCCAAAAACCTTTTCCAAAGTCCGGTAGGTCAAACAAAATGCAGAATAAATAAATCGGGTTGGGATTACTTTGTAAGAAGATTCGGGTATTGTTGTTAGTTTCGGTAAACTGACTCAGCAATGCCCGAATAAAAATTCGAATTTTTGCAACATGACTATTCAAAAAGGCTTAATATGCGTGTCCTCCGGTGCGAACTAATGTTGAAATTTATTAAAATGACCTTTTATAACAATTTAAAACAAATTTAGAATAAAGCTAGAGGAAGGCTAGAGTAGGGCTCAAATAGGGCTAAGTTAAGGTTAGAGTAAGACCTACAACTAGGAAAGAACTAGGCTATGGCTCAGGTAGGGCAGAGGTAGGGCTAACGAAAGACTAACGTATGGCTTGGATGGGCTAAGGAAAGGCTAAAGTATGGCTTAGATAGGGCTTTTTTTCTAAGATAAGGCTATGTTAAGGCTAAAGTGAGGCTAAAGTAACCAAAGTTTTTAAAGTTTTATTTTGTAGAAGTATTTACAAGTCTATAAACTACCTTTATATATTTATAAACAATATTTCTACTACCCATTTTACTGTAAAAATTAAACCCTTTCTGTAAACTTTTACTAATCCTGATCAACATTTTTCATATTTTCAAAAATATTTTGGCCATGATTTTTAAAGTTGTGGCATAATTTATAACTCTCAAATTTTAAAGCTATATTTTAAGACAACATTTGCTGCTTTTCCTTCTATCAATATGCAAAAACATTAAAAATTCTAATAACACGTCTTCAAGAAACTATCAAAAACGTTTACTCTGTCCGCGCAAATTTGATACAGTCGGCCCTTGACTGTCATACTCTTTAGTATGACACTCAAGGGAATGGACCTAAGAGCAGTTGGGCCGGCTTTGAGCAACGTTTAAGTAGGGCCGAGCCTTAAAATCAAGGCTAGAGGGTAGCATACTAACGATGATAGACATGAGGGACGAACCGGGCTTAAAAATCAAGGCCCGGCCCGTTTGCACATAAAAAAATCCGCGCCGGGCCGACCCTGAGCTAAATTTGGATCGAGCCAGTCTTAACACTTAGGCCGGTCCCTTACTCATGTCTTTTACACGTTAACACTTCGTAGCGCAAGAATTAGAAAAAAACACTTGGTATGTACTTTTACTATCAAAAAAAATTTTTTAAAGTTTTTTTAAGCCATCACTATATAATAACCGAATAACCTACACTACCCAACCAAAAAATCCCCCTAAAATCTTACACTACCCAACCAAAAAATCCCCCTAAAATCCCAAAAACTTTTAACAAAATCTTTAAAATGGGTAACACTTGCTGTTCCCGCCTTTTGTTTGTCGATTCGAAATCAAATTAAAAAGTCGAGAATGGAATCAAAACTTGTTTGAAGGCCAGTATCAAAAAACGGCCAAAGAAAAAGATAACAATTGTTCGAAATGTTGTGAAAAATTGGCCGTCCATTTCGACGAGAAAAATGGCTGACTGACCATTGAATCGGTCGATTTTTCGAACAAAAACATAAATCTCGAGGAGTCTGGGTATTAAACTGCTATTAATTGCCATTGGGGAGGGAGGCTGTAAAAAAGTAATTTGAAGGAAGATTGAGGTAATTTTTTAAAAAAAGTATATTAAGGTAGATAATAGTATAACAAGGCGAAGGTAAAAGCTATAGAAAGGTTAGATTAGATCAGAAATCAGAGCAGAACTATGTAGGACTAGGATAGGGCTAGAGTAGGGCTAGAATAAGGCTAGAGTAGGGCTAGGGTAGGGCTACGGTAGGGATAGAGCTAGGGTAGAGCTAGGACAATTCTCAGGTAGGGCTAGAGTAGGCCTATGATACGGCTATGTAGAGCAAGGTTAATGTAGACTACAGTAGAGCTAAGTTAAAAGGTGAGAAAAGGGTCGGGCCGGCCTTCTTGAGCAAATTTTATGTCAACCTGATCTGAAAATCAAGGCCCGTTCTAAAAACGTCGGCTTGTTCGCACTCAAAAAAGAGGGGCCGGGTCGGCCTGAAGTAAAAATGAAAGCAACCAGGCCTAAAAAGTGAATCCGGCCCGCTGGTTTCTAACCCATAGCTAGGGTAGCTCAGATAGATGTAAAGTAAGCTTTTAGACTAGGTTAAAGGCTAAATTTGTCTTTTTTAAACAAAAAACCCAAAAATTCTCCACGCCTTTTAAAATTGTAAAAAAAAACAACTGCCAAAAGAGTAAACATTTACTGTCAACACGTTATTTACATAACAATCTTTGCATGAAACTCTATTGTTAACCCAATATGACCAAAAAAAGAAACGCCCGGAAGGCCGGTCTAATTTCGGTCTATAGAAAATAAAAAAATTCAGAAAAAACGAAGAGAAACATAATCTATAACATAACTTGTTATTCTGCCAGTGACATCGAACCTTTGAACTTTGGTGACAATCTTTGTGTTTTTTGACCTTACTTTTGACCTTTTTTGTATTTATAAAAAAATGTATTAATATAGTACTAACACAAAATTCTGAAAATTTATTTTAAAGTTGCATGTATCATAAATGTATGCCAAAAAAAGTAAAATGTAATTTTTAAATAACACGGAACCCAAGAAACTACAAGAACGTTAAATTTTCCAGGGTAAGAGCTAAGCCTAGGTAATAAGCTCAAAATATAAGCAAACATTTTTTTTAAAGTCAATTTGAAACTCTTTTAAATTAACCGCCGGAAGCAAAAAAACTTGAAATGTTAGTTAATTTTGCAAAAAAGTTTGAAAATGGTTTAGCGAGATAATCAACGATGAGCTACTCTTTTTAACTTTGAATGCTTATCAGCAACAAAACCAATTAAAATATAATGATAATTTATTCTTTTCATAACAGTACAAAAATCAAAATACTAGGGCTATAGTTTGTTGCTTTTAAATTTTTAAAAATCTAAATTTTAAAAAATTTGAATTAAAAAAAGTGCCAAGAGTTAGAGCTAGGGTAAGAACCGGATAAAGCTAGGGCAAAGCCAGAGTAGGATAAGTTAGGCTAGAGTAGAGCTAAGGAAAGGCTAGAGCAGAACTAAAGTAGGGCTGGGCAAGACTAGTTAAGACTAGGATAAGCAAAGGTAAAATTCAGACACAGCTAGGGAAAGGCAAGAGTAGAGCTAGGGTATGACTAGGGTATGATTAGAGTAGGAATAGGGTAAGGTTAGGACAAAGCTAGAGTAGAGCTAGGCTGAGGGCACGCACTGTAGGGCTAGGGTTAGTATAAATTAGTTTTAAAAAAGTTTTCTGCAAGTTAAAATCGTTATTTTTATACATTTATTAACCAAGCCAAGGTATTGGCACAATGTCAAAATTATAGGTTAAAATTCCTGTAGGCGAATATATAGCACTAATGATATGTTGGTACTATCATGATATATAAATATATTTGGCCAACTTCTGTACTTTTTTGTACTGTGATAGATTCCTTTTGTACCAAAACTCATATTTGTTCCCAATTCTTCCTCAACTCCTCAAAATAAATATTGGTTTCTGTTTTGGCTACTGATTCCGGATTGATAATATGAGGTTTCTCCAAGGCCGCCACCTTCCGCCACCTTCGCCATACTAACACAGTCCGAAAGCCGGGATGTCGGCAAGCGAACATTAGCATGAACACTAATGTTGAACATTGGCCAGTAATGTGCAGGCACTAAAATGAAAGGTTGCAACCGGTTGCAATATTTTGAAGTTTAGTATATTAAGGGAGGGCGTAAAAAGACAGGAGTAAGAGCTATCGATGAGTTAATTAGAATAGAAACTAGAGTAGAATTAGGAGAGGGCTAAGATAAAGCTAAGGCAAGATTAGAGAGTACAGCTAGGGTAGAATTAGGATAAGCGTGAGGTAGGGTAGAGTGATTATGGAGGCTAAAGTAAAACTAGGATAAACTTTACCTTGCTAATAAGTTTTTCCTTAAAATCATCATCAGCTGTGTTTGGCGTATGAACAATAAAATTCTTGACTACAGTTATTGTGGCAGCTAATGTTGTGACAAAGTAAAATATCATGACAGGAAATATCAACCGTAGTACTTTTATATTCTCGTTTACCTGAAATTTCAAAATATTTTTTTAATTAATTGAAAAAAAAACTTTGGTTTTAAAATTTTTTTAAAATTAAAAATTTTTTTTGTAAAATACGGCTTCCATCAACATTGAATTCCGTAGTTTACTCTGTAATTCACTTCTGTTTCCAGGTGATACACAACTTCGAAACAAAGTTATGCATAACGTAATTAAAGTAATGACATTTTAAAATGTATTGGAACGTTCAAATTACATTATTTGAAGTTTGTAGTTCAATTGCAAACACATTGTCAATAGTGTTCTTAATACATTTTTAGGTAATAATTACTCCTACGTACAGCTTCAGTACCGTACAATACTAATAAAAGTTTGTCATAAAGTCTTATCGTTTTTCAAAAGCAAAACAAAAGAAATTAACGACAAGACTTTTCTAACCTGATGAAGGCAACGGTTCAAGCCAGGATTAGAGCTGTGGGATAAAGCTTTGGGCTAGAGCTCTGGGCTAGGGCTCTGGGCTAAGGCTCTAGGCTAGAGCTCTAGGCTCTGGGCTGAGTCTCTTGGCTAAGCCTCTGAGATAGGGCTGTGGGCTAGGGCTCTAAGCGAGGGCTCTAGAATAGGGCTCTGGGGCGAGTGTAAGTAAAGATATAGAAATATAAAAGAAAACCGTACCTGGTACCGCTGAGAAAGTGGTACATTTCTTTGTTTGAGCAACCTCACATTCCACCTATATACCACAATCTGCATTCCCCATCCAAACAAGCTCACCACCATCATAACACATATCAAATGGCCATAAAAAGCGCTATGTTCAGCGATAAACAAACACAACTTTTGTTGAGGATTCACCGTCCTACTAGATGATAGCATGCCAAATATCGTCCCTACTGATATCAATGTCAGCACATAACCAACACCTAATTTGTACGAAAACTTTTCATAGTTTCGTATGTTCAATGATGCTATTAGACGTTCGCCACTTATCGTGATTACTGAGAATACTGTAGCCAAATAGCAGACACTGTATATACAGTTAAGTGAGCGACATAAGAAGCGGTCGGTTAGTGAGTCGGCGAAGGGAGTAAAATAAAGGTAGGTACTGCGGCAGATTTTGAGGATTTGGTTTTCTATTATCGTGCAAGTCTAAAAAAATACAGTATAACAAAAAAATGTCAAAAAGTAAAATTTAAAAAAATTAAAATACTATATTATTTTTTTCAAATTTTTAGGTAACATGTCTCATACTAATAAAAAATTTAAAAAAACATAAAACTGAGTACTATCCTAATCATTCACCCCTATCGAAACCCCCCTCCTTACCATAACAAATTTGAGGTTTGTGTGAATCAGACTAGTCCGGAACAAAAAGAATACAAATCCAATAGTGTTGACAAAGGTCAGTACAAACAGTACCCATGATACGTAGTCTAAATAGCGGTTAATATTAAGCATCAGTTCTGTTGACACCATACTCAAAGTGCCCGAAGTTCGACTAAAACCAATTAATTACTGAAGCCAGGTGAATAAACACAAAGATGTAGAACTCGGTAATCAATGAACACGCAAAAACTTTTTTACTTCGTCATTTCAAAGTATACATTGAAGTTAACCTTTGTTTTTGAGACTGAATTTACTGTATATAGTGTGAACTAAAGTATAGTGCAAGAACAAGGCTAGAGTAAGAACTGACAATGTGAGATAGGGTAAGTTAGAAAGAGTAAATTAAAGTACAGTAGAGTAAAACAAGCTATGGCTAGGATAAGCTAAATTATAAAAATTAGAAAATGGCAAAATCAAAAATAATAAATTAATTTAAAAAAATTATAGTACGTTATGACCAAGGTAAGATAAGAACAAAGGTAGGGCTAGGACCGTATAGAGAAAAACAATATATGGCTAGGATAATCTAGATTAGAATCAGAGTAGGTCAAAGATAGAGAAAGAGGAAGACTATGGTAAGTCTAAGACGAGATAAAGTAAAGTAGGCAAGAACTAGAGTAAACTAGGGTAAGACTGAAGTAAGGCAAGAATAGGGAAAAAGAAAGACTAAAGTGTGGCTAAGACGGGATAGGATGAGCTAGGATGCAGCTATAGTAGGCCAGGTCAGTACAAAAGTAAGACAAAAGTAGAGATGGAATAAGACTAGAACAAAGTTAATACAGGATAGAGCAAATTAAGCTGAAGCTAAAGTAAACAAAGATTGGAAAACAGTAGAGTTAAAGTAGAGCAAAGTAGATATAAAGTAAGCTTAAGGACTAGGTTACCATATGGTAAGATAGACTATCACTAGGAAAGTCATAAGCTACGGTAGAGCTAACGTAGGGCTAGATTTAAATATAGCTAATGTAAAATAAAATAGAGTCAATTTAGCGTAGAGAAAAGTTAAAGTAAAAAATTAAAAAACACTACAATAACGTACTGACACGACATTTCTAAAAATTCGTGCGAAAAAAAGATAAAACACGTCTATGACTTCAACATACATATGTATGTGTTATAAGTACACAAGCTAAGTTTGCACTACGTTTGTATAAAAACATATGCGTAATTAAATTGAACTATGTGTTCAAAAAAAGTTAATAGTAAAAAATACCTACAAAGTAAAGTCTGTCTTGTTCCCAAGTTTCGTAAACTTGTAGTGTACAGTAGACTGTCATAATAATGTAAATTTTCATATATATGGCACTATTACTGTAAAACAATCATCTTAAGAAGAATATATTCATAGCCTGGTACAAAGCTATTTCTTATTAAAAATCCCCCCCCCCCCAAATTTAGTTTCAACCCAACATAACTCATTCAAAAACTTATATTACCATTTTGCATCTTCAGACAGCAAAGAAATGACAAAACCTTTATGACTTCCCGATACGTCTTACAAGTACTCACAAAAACTGTGATGTTTTGTACTCAAATTTCCAAAACTTTCTACGAACTTAAACAACGTAAAAACTAAAAGTTAACGCATGTCTTGTCCTTTAATATCTATAATGTAAAGAAACGTTATACCGAATAGGAACCGGTGTTTACAATGTTAAAGAAACCAGGAAGACTGTAAAACAATGTTCTTAATATTATAGTATGTTTATCTAAACTGCAAAACTATATTCTATGCAAAATTCAATTGATTTTCCCTTCTATGCCAAAAATCTTGGCATTCTGTTTGTAATTGATGTATATAATAGTATAGTACGTTTATTATCACGCACAATTTTTGTTTATGACAGAATTGGTAAGAGAAAACATAATCGAGTAAGATACTATCAAACCTCTTTAGTTTGCCACTCTGAGAACTCAATCACAGTGTCATTATAACCGGGGTGTCCCACTATCCAGGTAATTTTCTACACGAGTAAATACTTTGAAGTCAATCAGAGCGAGGCAGGAACGCTTTCCTTGTAAAAACGTGCCATCTTCGCAACTACCGTTGTTAGCCTTACAATAACAAAAACTGAAAAAAAACCAAAAGCAATTCAAGATTACAAATTTTCTCCAAAAACATGTAATTATGACCAAACACATCAACATATAATTTCACCTTCCTCTTTATTTTTAAAATACAATGGTTGACGTTTATACATCTGTACCCATAATTATAACTGTAAATTGAACTACTGTAACTTTGTAAAATTTTAAAAAAGCATAACGTGTACATTATTGTAGAATATACGTTTACAAAGCAATTGTGATTGTAAGTCTTCATTTTTTATCAAAAATGTCATTCTTTTTTAAATTTAACCATTACCAACTGCATTACAACCAAACTTATACTACCATTACTAAAAACAATAGTAAATCTCATTTAAAAACAGCAATATATGTATATAGTATATCATTTTAATAGCCATCGTTTCCTTTTCAACCCCTACCAATCCAAAAAGCACCCTCCAAACCGACTACAAAACTAACGGTTTACTATGGTAAAATGTACGTGCTTACACTAAATATGATCTCAAACAACTAGAGCTAAGTACTTGCAACATTTCCTCCATTTCATACTTCAAATTTTTAATTTTAAAACTACAAAACAGCTTGAGAGCTTAAAAATTAATAAAAATATGAATTTTCAAGTATCGTAGGTGTTGTTTCGAGTTTATATTTCTGAAATTGTAAACAAATGGGCACACCGTATATACCTATAAATGTATTATACCTAACTCGGTTTTACACCCCACATGTCGATAACAATGTAATATCAAAAATGCAATTAAAATTTCAAAATGATATTTTATTCAATGCTGGTTCAGGTGTACAAATCAGACGCTGACATTTACATCCTATGGTTGCTATAGCCTACATTTGACATTTTGCTCTAACGTAAAAATAGCTAACTTACTTTACTCTGCTATGTAAAAGGTAATATTTTTTTTCTATTTTTCGCTTCGTAGATATTTCTATACTATAACATTATACACCACAATATTGATCTTCCCCTACTACAAAATTATCTTACCCCATACCTTATCATTTTTTGCAGTATACTCTACTCTTTAGCTGTCTTCATTACTATAGCTTATACAATTATAAAACAAAAGCATCATAACATACCACTAATGTTCATATTCTCTTTATTGACTTTAAACTAAATACATGAACATAAATTGTTCTTGTTTAACAAATCTATTAGCCCTTTTAGCTTGTGGTAATAGTGGAGGCGGCGGTGGAGGTACGTTCTTATTGCCAGAACCCTGAATACCAAATGTTTTTGTACTTTCTACTTCACTTTGAAGACCATTTTGTAAAACATTATCTACAACAACTTCCTTGTGTTCATTTGCAACAGTAATCTTGCTTTTTGAATCAGCTTTAAATGTAGTGTCACTAACAACTTCTTTGTCTATCGTAGTACCATTAGTACACCCGTTTTCTGTCGTCCCAACAGAACAGCCATTAACAACTACAGTACCATTCATACCACATTTTTCTTCACTTTTCCCCAATAAACTTAACAAATGTCTTCTCTTTTCACTTCCAATAGGCTTGATTTCAGAAAAGACAATTGAGTTAGCTACACAAGATTCCATTTCCATCGTTGAAACTGGTAGAAACTCGCACCATTCGAAGCCACATTTCTCGTAAAACAACATCTGATCTTCTGTACACAAAATCACCTAAAAATTATTTATTATTGTTAAACTTTAAACGAAAAATAAGTCTACCAACAACAAATAGCGTAAATTATTTAAATATGAACTAAAATATTTAATAAACCTATTGATCTTGTTCGTATTTAAGTTTAAAAGCATAATTTATGTCTACAATCACGTAGCTATATCGAACTAGAGGTTTCTTGTCAAAAAACGCCCAAAAATCTCAATAATAAGCCAGGTTTACCCACAGTAAAATAAAGTATAATACCAGATTGTCAAATATAATTAACAATCTGGTATTATAGTATTAGCTCACAATAAAAAACATAGATTAAAACTATAAAAAACCCACCACATTATAACCATCATCTGTAGCCTTCTGAACACACTTGTGAACCAATATTTTGCCATAGCCTTTTCCACGATGTTGTTTAGCAATTATTAAAGACTCCAAATAAGCTGCCCTGCCTCCACCATAATTGCAAACATTCAAAAACCTTGCATGCCCTATCAATTCTCTTGTTTCTTCATTCAGAAGCAACAATGACATTGGAGGACATGACTTACAATACTTGTTCAACGAATTCAAACGAAACGCTCCGGATTTTGGCCATTCCTACAAAAAGATAACATTAAAATAAATAATCTTTTAAACTTTAATATAACCCCTATAATTTAGTTATAAACTTAAGTTTGTATTATAGAAAAGAAATTTTATAATATTGAAAACAGATGCGGTAAAATTACTGTAAGTTTACAAAACTCATAAACTCCTAAACAAATTTTACTTTAGTAGTAGCGTAAGTACATAAGCTACAATCGCTCAAACTTCCACGTCTTTAGCTAACTGCTGGAAAAGGTTACAATAAACACCATGTAAAAAATACCAAGTCTTTCAAAACTTTGTCTGTTCACATTGAAAAAACTCCAATTTCTTCAAAAATATACTAAAACTTCATCTTTCTCAAGTTTTTAAAACAATAAAACAAGCCTATTATTGTCAGATCTTCTATTTAGAATCCACCTCTTTACCAACATTTGCTTTCTACACCTAAAAATCAACAGGAATCTCCAATAAACTTACTTCGTTTAGCAACTTTACACAATCCTGAATCTTATCTTGATGATCGAACAGTGAAACAAGCTGAAACTTGGCCATTCCATTTGATTAATCTTGTATGAGGACATCCTTCTCGCTTTTTCTCTTTTTTTTTACTTTTCCTTTATTTTGTTGCGTTTTGTTTACTTCTAATCGGAACGAAGTGTCACTTTTTTGTTGTTTTTGTTGTTATATTTTGGAGAGTAAATAAGGCCGAAAGAACGTTGGTTTGTGAACAGAAATATGGATTTATGGTTTACAAAAGTATTTTTCGATGTTTTTTACATTTAACTAGGATTTTAAAATAATTATTGGCGTTTGTATATATCACGATCTAAAACAATATTTTTTTGAAGTTTTAAGCAAAGTTCTTGATTCTTTTTAAAAACTCTTGGAAAATTCTTTAATCTCTTTGTAAATTCTTCTTTACTCATTTCTATTTCATTCATTTTGAACAGTTATTGTAATTGGAAATGGCTTGGCTTAAGAGGAACGTGTTAAAGGCGCCGAAACGTCCAAGGTTGGGCATTATGTTTATACTTTTCATAGCTCAAGGTCACGGTTAATACGATTTTGGTGTAAATATTTGTTTTAAGTAGAAAGTTTTGCAGGTTTTTGTCTAAAAATTCTGTTTTTATTGAGTTTACTGAAGTAAAAATCATATTTTTTTTGAATTTTGGCAATCTACATCAATATTTTGGAGGATTCTTGAATTTTTTGTAATATACATTGTCAAAAAAAGTTTACATTTTCTATAGTTGTATTTTAGCTGCAGTACGTATGGTTCTGTACAAGGAGGTCTAAAAACAATCCCGGTCTTGTAAGTCTTTTCGTCTTGTCTATGATAAGGTTATGTTGTTGAACACGATTGTCCCAAAAAACAATTTTTTATAAATCCTAAAGACAATCAAAAGTGACGTTGCTATGAAAGTCTACTCAAATCTCTGAAATTACAGTAATGAGCATCAGTTATCGCTGACTAATCAGCCCATCACTATATAACTTGACCTTCGACTGGTTTCGTTGCTAATTTCGCAAACTTATTTTGTTATTTCCCCAATGACTCACGCCTTAAAGCCTTTGAAAAACATTTTATTGTTACGGAAAAATAGTTGGGAGATTTCCAACGTTCTTTCCCCCGTTCTTTTTTATTTGTGAAAAGAGGAAACTGAACCTAAAACAATGTCCCAGCGCTTTTTACACTACTTTTTAGATTCTTTCTTGATGTTTGACAATTTAGTTTGTTTAATTTGGGTTTTTCAAGGCTTGGTTTGTTAATTTAGATGTTTATGAATTAGTTTATAAGGGGTTTTTGTCGCGAAAAGTTGGTAGAATATGAAAAAATTTTTGTTTTTATGTCATTTTTGGTATTTTTTTATAAATTTTTGATTACTTTATGGCAATATTGGTATGTTGAAGCTTTGAAAACATGAGTTATCTTATGTTTGACGTTTTGAAAGTCTTTTTTGGTGTTTTATGTTGTTTTTGAGGTCTGTTTTTGGATGAATATGCTGTTGGGAAAGCAAAGTTATCATATTATAAACAGATTTACTCTTTTCTGATGTTTCTAAGGTTATAGTACGCTTTTTAATAGTGTTTGACAATGATTTTAAGATCTTTTAAAGTTAGTTTTTTAATTTTCAAGAAGTTTAAAAAATTTTTGCAGGGTGCGGTTTAAAGTAATTTTATAAAAAAAATTAAAAACCGCTTTTAGTAACATCTTTTTTTTGTAAACTACGGTGTATCTACCATTACTTGTATTTTCAAAAAATTTATAAAATATTTTGTAGTTTATATAATTGATAAGGGAGTTTTAGTATACTTACTGTACTTTTAAAAGGATAAAATATGTTGTAGTTAATTTTTGTGGCTTAAAATGCGTAGAAACGTTTACTTTTTATTATTTGACTAACTTTTGCTATGATTGTTCAAAATGTCGTCTACCGTACTTGTCGTGAAGTGTAGGTAACATGTATTTAACTTTGGTACTTGATGTTGTTATTTATACTAATTTAGTAATTGTGTAAATGTATGACAATATATACAATATTTAGCGAGATTTCATGCCAACTTCAATGTATTAATTGGTTTCTTGCTTTCAGGATGGCAAACCGAAAGAATTTTTTGGTATGTCCGGGCAAACCGGCGTCAGAAGTGGATATAGCGAGCAGAGTGACGTCGTACATGGAAACATGTATGTCGTTGAATGAAGAAGTGAAGCAGGCGGTGAAAGAGGGTCTGAATGTTTTGAATCAACGCCGACGAAACGCTTTCTTCAACGATGACATTGGCAAAACGTTGAGCAGTGTGGAGGCTCTTCATTTGTGAGTTTGGTTTGGAAGTTTTGAGGAAATATTAAAAAAGAGGACTTTGGATATCCATAAATGGCATAAAGTTCGTCTTTTATAATACATCTTGATTTAAAATTACTTTTAGCGAAGGGAACAAAAAAACTTAAAAACTGTCATAAATTGTTACTATCAACATTATTTCAGGTTTTTTTTGAAAGAACGATTAAAATAATGTTTTTTACACCTATTTTCATAAATTTGGTCTTTACAGGTACTACGATACTTTTGTAGCACTGGATGAAAAGATACCGATCAGAGATGGAGAATGCCCAATTCCATTCAGGTGGAAGAGCGCTTTCGACAAAGGTGGATTGTTTGGTGGCAAACGTGATTTGAGTAAGGTTTTTCAAATGTTTCTTTCTGATTTTAGGTAATAAAAGAGCTTTGAAAGACTTTTTGGCTGCACGATGTGGTAAACTAACGATGCATTGCACGAGTGCTGTGCAAGATCATTTAGTTTTTATAAATTAATTTTTAGCTCACAATTACGGCTCCTACGAAAAAGCTTGTGTTTTATTCAACATTGCTGCATATCAGTCCCAGTTCGTAGCCACCAGACCACTTCAAGATGATGAAGAACTTCGTCAAGCCGTCGGCTTCTTCAAAGGCTCTGCCAATATCTATAACTACTTGAAGGACGAAGTTATGCATTTGATTCCAGAAGAATTGCCAAAGGATATGCAACCTCAGCTGCTGAATGCTTTGGCTCAACTCATGATCACTCAAGCTAACGAAATCATGTACATCAAGGCGGTGAAAGGTGAATATTTGGGGATGTTTAGTGATTTGGGTGACGTTTTTGGAACCTAAGGTGTCAAAATGACGAGATTTGAAAATTTTTAAGGTTTGCTACTTAAACATTCAAAAAAATCAAGTTTTTATAGCCTAGTCATGTTGTTGGTCAAAGTAAAACAATTATAATATTAATATTTTAGACAAGAACAGTCCCGCGATTCTGAAAACAGTAGCCATGCAATTGTCGGATTCTTATGGTCAATTGTACAAACTTTTCAATTACGAACAAGCCAGAGGCATTGTGGATAAGGTAAGACATTAAGCTTTTAAAATAGCTTTTTTTGTTAAAAAGGATAATTTTTATGAATTCAACACTCCTTTTGGATACAGATTATAATTTTAGTAAATAAAAATGACATTATTTGAAAATCCTTGCATTTCAGAACTGGTACACAGTAATACAAGCAAAAGAGCATGCTTATCACGCGTTTGCCGCTAAACATCAATACGATGAAATAGAACCCCAAAAGTTGGCATCTCTGAAGGAAAGATTAGGAAGATCCAGGGAAATTGTGGAATTGTTGGAGAAAGCGGCCGATTTGTTACCTAAAAACTTTGAAAAAGAACTGGCAGATGCGAGAAATGAAAAGGAGAAGTTGGACAAGGACAACAATTTTATTGTATGTTTGCGGAAAGTAAAAAAGGCGTTGCGGCAGAGAATTGAAATTTATAAATCACTTAATTTTAAAATTAAAAAATGTTTCAGTACCACGCCCGTGTACCAAGCCGTACCGAACTGCCAGCAATCCCGCGAAAACTTATTTTACAAACCGGAGACTTGAAGTTTCCCTTCTCGAAACAGTTCAAAGATCCCTTCACTGAGTTGGTATCAGCTTCCGTATCAAAGGCTGTCAACCTCTTCCAAGGAAAACTGAAGGAACGTGTTCACCAAGCTGTTAGTCAGCTCAGGAACAGCGACAACGACGTCAAAGCGTAGGTTTTTAAAAGATTAATGGCCGATACAAACTGATGTTTTGAGGCAAATTCGAATTTACAAAGATAATTTTGAAGGCTTAGGTTAAGTAAAAGCTTTTAAAGGTCATAAACTTAACAATAACAATATAAATTTTTAGAAAATTGGCCGCGATCAACATGCCAGCACTAGTTGAAGACTCGACGAAGCAAGAAAGAATCCCAGCTTCGATTGTCAAGAAATCAGAAGCCATCCGCTCCAAGGGAGGCTATCATGCGATCGAAACTAAGGAGAAGGATCTCCTGAAGGCTTCGGAAGAAACAGCCACCCTTATCAACCAAATCAAAGACAAACTCGACCAAGAAGAGCTGGCAGACGAAGCTCTTCGTGACCATTACTCTGCCAGATGGACCTGCAAACCTTCGAATCAGCTCACGATGAAGTTCCGCCAAGAGATTGGCAAGTATCTCGGCATAAACAAGACTGCACAATCAGCTGATGAAAAGGTTCGCTCCAAGATACGACTATGTGAAAGAGATGTTACGGTTATGACCGGTCCAAGAGAACAGCTTTTGGAAAGAGTACCGCCAATTCAATCGACCGGTAATGATCAGAGTCAGGCGGTAGAGAAGCTGAAAGAGTTGTGGACGGTGATGGAGAAGGAGATGAACATGGTTCAGAAGTTGGAGGATAGGTTGAATGATGTGAGTTGGGATAAAATTGAGAATAAGGAAGTAAAAGGTGTTGTAGTAGATGGATTTTGAAGAATATGTCCATTTTTTAGTATTTGAGGCAATATGTAGAGCTTTATTGCTTTCTTAAAGATTATTAATGGGTCGATAAGTAATATTTATATTTTGTTGGTTTTTTATTACCTTATTATAGGTCAAATTCGACTCAACCCAACACTTTGTCCAACTCCTGAAACAAGAAGGCCAACTCGAGGATTCAGAAGTGAATTCCTTTGCGGATCAGAAGCTAAACGACCTCTTCCAACGTCTCACCGTAGAGTGCAATCAAAACACAGAATTGAGAACAGCTTTAATCGAGGAAATGAAGGTCTGGCATCAGAAGTTTAGCCACGGTGGAAACGAGGACGACGCACGGTCAAGAGCTTTGAAACAACTCACGGCCGCGTACGATGTGTTCCTGGAGTGTGAAGGCAATTTACAGGAGGGTGCGAAGGTAAGGATTATTTTTGAATTTTTTGAACCAAAATTCAAAAATTTTAATTTAAAAAAATTTTTTTCAGTTCTACACGGACCTAAAAGCCCTCCTAACCCGCCTCCACCAACAAATTGACGACTTTTGCTTCGCACGCCAAACCGAACGTGAAGACATGGTACAGCAGATGGAGGCCGGCAAACGACCATTCGAAGTCATCCCACCTGTGGTCGATGCCTACAAGAAGAAGAAGGGCCTGAACTCGGAAGCCATCCGCGAATCAATCCGCGCTCCACCACCACGCCCACCCCCACCGTCCACCGCCGGCCAACAACCTCAAGCACCCCCACACTCGGCTAGTATGTTTAATTTCCTTTCTCTTATTCATAAGTTGCGCACGGCTTGAGGGTGATTGAACTTTTAAAATTCTTTCTTATGAGGTTGTATAAAAAGTAATGAGCTATGTATATCATAGCGATATGGAATTCAGTAGCTCATTAGTTTTTATACAACCTAACAAATTTGAATTTTTTATCAATTTTAAAGAGTTTTTGAAATCTTTAAAACATTTTTTTAGTTTTGAAAATATTTTGAAGTTTTAATTTTTAACTGGAATTTTGAATTTTTGTTTTTCTGGTAACTTTTTGAACTCAATTTTTTGGTTTTCTCCTTTTTAATGTGTTGTATTTAATATAATGGTATTTAATCAATCCCCGAGTGATATTGTTCTATTATAACGTGCTGTAAACTTGCTTCCCACCCTTATTATCTTAAGATTGTTCCCAATGTATCAAAATTTGCATTTCCCTAACGCTTTACGATAAACATATGATTATTAATTTTTGAAGTTTATTCGTCTTGTAAAATAGAGAAATGACTAAAATTATATAAATCACTTAAAAATGATTTTTTTGAATTTATTTTAACATGTTACCTAAAAACGGCATTTTATACCGTTTTTCCCACCAAATTTAATATTTTTGAGGGTTTTTTCAATTTTATCTCTGCATAATTTGGATTTTCCAATATTTTAAAATTTTGTTACCTAAAATCAAAAAATTTCAAATTTTGACCCAATTGCAACCGAAAAATTGCAGCACCAAAAGTGCCAGACATGGACCAGTTGAACCTGAACCCAAGTGCTCCACAAATCCCACCAAGGCAGAGCAACGCACCATTACCTCCGGCCCATCAACAAGGACCACCACAAGGTCCGCCTGGCTATCAACCGAACACTCAGTACAATCAATGGCCCCAACAGTACCAACAACAAGGCTACGGGTATGGTCAACCTCAACAGCCATTCTCGAACCAACAAATGTTCCAACCCATGCCCAATCTGCCCTTCTATGGCGCTTATCAGACCGAGAATAACAGTAGGTTTTTGGGAGGGGTGACTTTTTGGGTATGATTTTAGGAGGGAGGGGCGTTCTTCCTTTTTTCAATTTTCTTTAAAATGGAATTTTTTTGAATTTTTAGGTAATAAATGTTTCAAACTTTGAAGAATAATAAAAAAAACCAATTTTCAGCCTACCAGCAATACGCCGTACCCTACCCAACCCAGTACCCGAACCATCCACAACCCCAGTACAACCAACAGCCGCCTTACCAGCCATACACTCAACCACCCAACTCTCAACCCCAAAACCCCGGAAACCCATTTTCCTAATCTAAATGTATAAACTTCTAATTTTCCATTTTTTATCTTGTTCAAAGTTATATTCTTGTAACAGTAAACTTTAAATATTGTATTGGGTAAATTTGTTTGACTGCACGGCGGAGTTTTTAGGTTTCCTTCACCGTGCCAAAAGTTAAAAAATGTTCATAAAAATGCATTTTAACCCTCTTTTTAATTTTTTTATGTTGTAATTTACAATAGCAAATAATAGAAAATACAACAAAAACAACCAATTTCATATCTTTATATTCTATTTTTATTTCTTATTCATCCTACAACGGATCCACTTTGCCGAAAGCCTTTGCGATTTCCAGTAAACTGGCATAAGTTCCGGTACAAAAGCCCAGGAATCCAAAAGATACTAAAACAAGGTCGGTGAGCCAAACTTTGCCATTTAGAGTGCATTGTGCCCAATGTGTGAGGAGGTCAATAACTGGAGGGAAGAGTAGGGCCAACGCGGTACCAGCGAAGGCACCAATAAGTGAGATAAATAGGGCCAAATGAGGAATTAGTTCCGCTAACAAGCCTAAAATAATATTTTAGTGAGAAAGCGGAAAATTAAGGTCAAAAAATGTATAAATTCTTCTAAATGTTCACAAAAAACAGAAATAACTTAAATATTGTTTAAATTACAAAAAATCGGTAAATTTTTTAAAAATTTGTTAGAAGTGCAACTTACAAATGACAAGAACCAATGAGTACCTAGAGAAGTAGACAAAGAACTCTTGTCTATCTTGTGGTACCTTCCTTGAGATCCATTTTTCAATTCTTTCGATTGGAACGTAGAATTGTAAAGGGAATGATACCAGAATACAACCGACAAACATCAACTTGATCAGTTGGTAGAACCTAAAACAATAATTTTGATTATTTGAAACTGTTTTTTTAACCACCTTTGCTTTCTTCTTGTAGGTATGCATTACAAATGGAGAATTTTGTGTAAATCAAATTTACAAAAATTGAAAAAATAAAAGGAAAACACAGATCAACGTCTTACCATTCATTAGGAAGGTTAAGAGTGATAGTATCTTTTACTGCATCACCGAAAGCTAAGTAACCATAGAATCCTGTGGTTGAATATACTGCCAAAACCAATAGGCACGCAGTGTTGAGAACACCAGTGTTTGAGATAAAGTGGGGAGGTTCATCCATCTGATTCTCAATTGGCAGGATCTGAAATTTAAAAACATTTTAATTTAAAAACACATACTATAACTTTAAAGAAGTCCTACCTTAAAGATGTATTGCCCTGCTCCACTATGCTCTACGTTACCTTACATTACCCTACCTCTACCCTCCAGTCCTATTGATTAAGAAGTTCAAATAATTATGTGCCTCTAACCAAAAAAAAATGCTTTGAGAGAGGTCACATAAGTATTTGAACAATGAATACTCAAGGACCACATTACCATAACATACCAACCATTAACTTACCACAGCAATGCCCTCAAAAGCAAACATGACCGTTCCAAAAAACAATGGCATATCATCCAAACTTCCAACGTATTTTACCGCCGTAATCGGCTGTAAATGCGAGCACAAATAGTAAATGACGATTGTTACAGCGACAATGTAAACCACATTTCCAATCAAAGCAAACGGTGCTAGTACCTTCAACTGTCTAATGGTACACAAAAAGAAAATGGGGATTAAAAGTAGAGCTATCCATCCAGCTTGAGAGATATGGATTTCTGACGTTTCGTCAAAAAACTGTTTCAAATTGTCAGCCATAAAGACAAAGTAGACACAACAGAAGCCGATCTGGGCTATGAACATGTTCAGGTTGACTAGATTTCTGAAAAATTTTAGTTTTAAACCTTCTACTGTAGAGGTATGTTAAAAAACAATTAAAAAAGTTGTGCCTATAACGAATGGTGTTCTTATCACCTGTTTTATACCTAAAATCTAAATTTTTAAGAATATATCTCCATATTGTCTATAAGAATATAGTTATTATAATGAAAAATCCTTATAACGATATTCTAGCGCAACTTATAACACTGTGATTGCAACAGTCTTACTCACTTTGCAAAATATCCCCATCCGCTGATCCAATCGGGACCAAACTCGACAGCATTCCTCATAACATTGGCATAATCCATCTTTCCTGACCTTTTCGTCGGCATAGATACGTTGATGAGTGTACCAGTATACGACAACAGTAAGTGCATACAGCGCATATTACCATCAACAAAGGAAGGCCTAACTAAAAAGTTTATAATTTTATATTGTTATTGCTCATATTATACTTGTATCAATCTTCTGACAGGTCTTGCTTATAAAAGTAGGTTCTATTCTTTTTATAATTATCTTTTTTAAGATCTTTAGTTATACATTGATCCAAAAACGTAAAATAGAACAAAAAACTGAGATAAAAGAAAAAAAGCAAAGTCAATTTCAGTGTTTTTCCACTGAAAACAACTTCACCTTCTACATAGTTTAACACCTTTTTCTCCCATTTTCTAAAGTATTCTTGTCATTTTAACCTAAAATACAACACAAAAAACAAGAACTTACGAATAATCCAGAATGTTTGAAAGCCAATGGCAATGACAACATTCCAGTGCCCATCATAACCTTGATCAAGTGGATCAACGCTTGTTCCGGCGTGATTGAACTCTCGGTGGTACGTCGTTCATAGACATTTGGTTGAGTTCGAATCAAATTCTCTCGGCTTTGACTGAAAATTAATTTATATTACACTAGAATTGCTCATTGATCCTAATGGTAAGACTCAATAAATTAATTTTAAACCATTACATAAAACAAAACGTTCTAAAATCTCAAAAAACCCCAACTTTAGACCCTTAGCTTCACAAAAAAGTTCTAAAAATTCAAAAAACCACCATCCATACTTGACATTATTTCCGACTTCGCGGGTCGCGGCCAAAGGGTTTGTCATTCCAAAAGGTCAGAAATTAGAATACTCAGCCGAGGAATGTAACAAGTAGGCTTCTATTGTTTCGTTCTCTATTCCGCGAGGCCTTATCACAATTTGGTTCGTCGAAACTCATTGATAACAAAGTCTACTATAAGACAAACACATCTTCGTGGAAGAAGACGGTTTTTGAAATAACCTACACTTTTTTATATTAGTTTATACGTATATTTGCGGTTCGAACCAAGTAATTGATAAAACTTACAAAACAACACTTCAAAACTTTACAGTTTATTGTTAGTTAGAATTGTAATTTATACATGATATGACACAAAATACCCGTACTTGTGTAAGGCTATGGCGGGAGAAGTTAACTTCTAAACTTATAGAAGCATTCGATTTCAAAACCAGGTTACAGTAGCAAAACAGATAGCAAAGTTAAAATAAAATGCATTTTTAAGCTGCGATAATGATTGCAAAAGATTACAATTACAATTTTCTGTTAAGAAATGGACAGTCAAAGTAAGAACAGGTCGTTTCACCATAGGAACAAGAGGCTTTACAATATAAAATTATCATTTACACTAGCTGCACCGACTGGTCCTTCTTCAGCTTCAAATTCATTCTGCAGTGTCTGACGTTGGTGTGGAAGCAGTAACTTTCAGTCCACTCTTGGAATGGTCCCAAAAAGTCTTCAAAGATCTTCACCTTCTCTTTCAAGTGCTCATCATCAACCACCTCAATCGTAGCATTGATTGACACGTTTATATGATGTTCCGCGGCTTGAATCGCCAATACTCCAAACAAACTCGTCAGTCTGAGAACGCTCTTCCTCAAGACTGCCACTTCATCATCGTGAACGTCCGGATCTCCACACGCGACAATCTTCAGCACTTTTAGGTTCGGGAATTTGGTACAGATTTGGGAGAAGACTTCATCGAATGGCATAACATAGTCGTCAAAGTAACAGTACTCGAAAGAGACAGTCTTGACACATATTAAAGGAGAGTCAATGCTGTATAAGGTCTCGAAGCCGTATTGCTCGTTGAATACCAAGTGATGAACACACGCGTTCTTCAGGGGCTCTAGGTCTAAAAGATTCGCGACATTATACTAGGTTTAAATTTTTATAAAAAAGCAGAGTGCGACAAATGTAAAAGCTATTTTGAGTCGTAAAATCAAAATTTTGATAAACATTGAAATCATTAAAATTTTCAAAACTTACACATATTCTCATAAGAATTCAAGGTCAGCGTGTGCAAAGAGCAACCGTCTAGATGAGAGATAAAGTTGGGCTGGCAAAACACTGTCCTGACACGTTGTTTAATAGTATGAAACATTGGAATCGTCAATGCCATAACACCAAATTCATCCATATCACTTTCAAGGACAAAGGAAAAAGAGCCGGTGAAGTTTTCTGTAAAAATAATGGTAAAAAAGTTTAAAAAGATACATAATCTACTACAATATCTACAAAATGATATAACTAACAACCATTTTATAAGTCAAACAAATAGACGCCCAAGAAGACCTACAACAACATAAACTCCAAACCATTAATATTACCTTTCAGAATCCTTCCAATCTCCTGTATTTCATTGGGCTTCAAGTCAACAGCACTCCACAGTGAAAATGATAGTGTAAATTCCAGTTGTTTAGGCAAAAACAGATGCAACGATGATATGTCAGCTATGGTAAGGTTGTGGAACTCCGTATCACGCATGATTCCTCCCATATCACTAAACAATATCACACCATCCTCGTCAAAGTACAACTCCCATACCGACTTAGCGTGCATCTTCTGAATTTCCTTGCGAAACTTCTTCGAAACAAGCTAAAATATAAAGATACGTTGAAAACTTCTATTACTGATAATAAAAACGTGTAAAAATAATTAAACAAGTTCAAAATAACATGAACAATTAAAAACAGCTTATATACACAATACTACCTCAAGGAAACACTAAAAAAGCAAGGAGGCAACAAGATATTACTCAAAAGAACTTACAGACAATCGTTTGGCCCGTGAAATGTCAATGCCACCTTCAAGCGTTTCATATTCTTCCGAATACAAATACATATCCATAAACGCTTGTGCAGCTCTTTTGTTCAACGTCTTCTGAATCCCCGTATCGTCAAAGAACAAGTCATTTGAGAAATCGAATGTGCTCTGAAAAAATTAAGATTTAAGAAAAAATAACATGTTTATAACAATATAACAGTTGAAATTAGAACAAAAAATGTTGAAAACAATAAGAATTTTATTTACATTACCTATCAAAGGCTAAAGAACGTAACAGAAAAAAATAATATCACTTACACTCAAATCTGCCGAGCATTTACGCTTTTTAGGCGTTGACGTCAAAACATCAGTCATTGTTGAACGACTGAAGACTCGATTGGACAATTCGATACTGGCTACACCATCGCTCTCTTCCACAGCTGATAATTTCCTTTTCAATACCATTTTTGTCTGCTACAATCAACCAAAAGTCAAACGAGATTCGGAAATCGGCCAATGCTCTTGAAACGGAATGCCAACAAAATGTTTCGTCATGAAAGCGATTTACTCAACACACGTCATTGTAACCGGTTAGTAATTTGCAGATTAGAGAAAAATATAATATTGAATGTAATTTGTTGTGCTTTATTTGCTGCAACTTTTTAACTTTAATTTTATTTTTTATTTGATAAGCTTTTACGAGTTTCAAGAAAATTGAAATATTTTTTAAGATTACATTAGAATTACAAAACCAGAAGTCGGATTTGATTAAAATTTAGCTTATACATAGTTCGTGCAATTATAAAACAGTAAAAAAAGTTTCGGTTAATTTTAATTGGCAAGTTTTGAGAAAATCGATTTTTAATAATAGCCACTTCAAGTAAAAGTTCCTGAAAACCTTGACTGGATGTTTGGGTCGTATACGGTGTAATTTATGATTTTTTACAAACATTTTTTTTGTATTATGATAGGAAGTAATGTAATAGGTAATACAAAACATTTACAAATGGAGCTATACGGGGTCATTGAAAAAACTAACTGAAGGCTTTATGAACATGAGGAGCTTGAAAAAATTTGAAGTCAACAGAAATAAAGGAAACTCTGGAAAACCTAAACGTTTATCTATATGATCTAAATACTTCTAACTTCTTTTATTTGAGCTATCATTTGGTAAGTTTTGTTTTTAATATTTACTGTGCATAATATATTATCATAGGTTTTGTCATATTACTATAGTTTTTTTTTCATTCAATTAGCATAGCTTCTTGTAAGGTATAAGTCTATCATAGTGTAGCAAATTCATAGAAGCCTAATTTCAATTATAATCATAAAATCAATTACATAATGTAAAGAATGCTGTATTTTCCCCAAACCTTGATGTTTCATCAAGTTGCGTCTAATGGCTGTGGCATTTCCAGTTTTTCTAAGATTGTCAAAACCGCAAAAACTTTTTCGTAGGTTTAATTGGACTAATTTGATTAACCTAAAATCTCATTAGAAATCATCGAATTCGTTTTTCTTTGTTTTATAATTATAAAATTTTGCGTTTCCCGCGAGTGAATGACTAAAGTGTGTTGATTCAATTCTAGTTTTGTAAAAGTTTTGTGAATGTGTTTGGAGTTTGGTTGGTACGATCTTCGCATTGGTAAGCATGGAAGCTTGGATTCCTTGCTTTATGGTGTTTGATTTAACACGCTTTTAAAGTCTGTGTTAATAATTTAAGCTTCATAATGTAAGTAATGTAAGTTAGGTCAAATGAGATTTCTACAAAGGCTGAGGAAAAACGGTGAAAAAGAGGATATATTCAACATCTGTGGCCTCAGAAAAGGGTATGCCGAAGCATTTAGCATGTTATTCTCTATAACAGCACTTCACGCTGCTGAACTGAGCTTGGCTCGACTCAGTGAACGCTAGGTCATGGCTTAAGGTGGGTTTTAAAAACTAGTTACAAAGAACAGGTAAAAGACCGCAAAAGCCTTTAGTTGTCTTTAATGATATAGCCTAGGGCAACAACTTTTTAAAAAAGTATTTTTGTATCTAACAAGGGAATAGCAAGACTCATGGTATAACATGTGAAGGTTCTAACGTTCTCGTATGCTTGATATTCTCTCTTCTCCTACTGAGCTTGTCAAAAAACTGCTAGAGGTAAGACTATTTGAAAATTTTTTTAAAAATTGAAAAAAGTGTATTTTCAATTTTTTTTGTATAACAGCTTACTTTAACCTCCTTGAAGAGTTAGCCTATTGCAATATAAATCTTTAAAAAAGTATTTTTTTTAACTAGTCTACGGTAACATCTTTGACTAGTTTGAATTTCCTTTTCGTAAATTATGTATCGCAGATCTCAAAAACGTGCGTCCATTATGATCTTTTGCACTTTCGAGTAATGTTTTTGTGTTTGAAGGCGTCAAGATCGGGCGGTCGGATCGTCGAAAGCACTTCTCATTAATTGAGGATGCCGATTCTTCTGAAAGTACGATCTTTACGATTTCTCATGGAATAGCAATACCTTCCTTATAAAAGAATTGTTATATCTATCAACATTCTGCCTACAAGGCGTTTCATATAAGCATAACATGTTTATAAGGGCAGTTTTGACCATACCTACAAGATCTTTCTCGTACATACAGTCTATACCTACAAGGTCTCTCGGTTGCATACAGTCTATACGTACAAGATCTCTCTCACACACGCGGAAGATCTCTCGTTTCGAAGAGTTCAGTCATTCAAAGGCGAAGGAATCAACAAGATTCTTCGACCCAAAAATGGAGCACAAAAGACCTGCGCAAATGGGCGAAGAATAGGCGGACGGAAATGAACATAAGTGTTGCGATTGCACTTACGAATACTTTCTTGACCATTCTTCTTCGAGGTGTTTTGCTTTTCCATGAAAGGTCGTGTTTTGAGCGACGTCAAGGTTTGCCGTGTGCAATTTCTGGTGTACACGCCAAACTTTGAATAGTGAAAAAATAGGTATTATTCTACGTTATTCTTTGTTGTTATGGAATAGGAAGGTTTCTAATGGTATAAGAAAGTCTATATCGTGCCTTAGGAAAGGGTAGCTAGTAATAGAGGCCTTAGAATTTACGTACAGTGAAACCTCTTTAGTATGATCTTCAATAGTATGACACCCTTCTTATAATGACATCTTTTTGACCGCCCTTCTTAATATTAAGTTATCCAAATAATTCTGTGCCCCATCTCAAAGAAAATTTCCGGAATTAGAAGGCACAGAATTATCTGAACAACACAATAGAATTTCTATCAAAAAGTACTTGGATAGTCTGACAATCTATTTAGACGGGCAGGTTTGGACCAGCCTTTTGAGTGTCATAGTAAAGACGTTTAACTGTATCTTAACTGTTGATGTAGAGGGAAAGTCACAAACGCTTTATCTCAGTAAACAGTACCAACAGTAGTTTTTAATTTCAATTTTAAAAAGTTTTTACTAGTCTTCTTGGAAATTAGAGAGGAGATTAATTTTTATATGAAAAGGATCGATTTTTATTTTTTTTCGATAATCAACTATCAACAAATGGTGTTAATTCTACAACGGCTTCTTCCTCTTTTTCGCAATACAAATTCTGGAAAAGTTTTTAAATTTTAAAAATTTCTTACACATTTTTGACTCACCCCCCCCCGCCCTTCAAAAAATAAATTAATTAAACATTATGTTCCTTGCCAATTTAAAGACAAAACTAAAAAGTTTTTTGATTTGTATTATCCCTCACCTTTCCCTTACATCCTACACCTCTTTTACCTCTTCTCCTTTCCACTCTCTCTCCCTCTACCCTAAAAGTTCTACACAATAGAACTGTAAAAAAATTTCGATTTTTTTTCAAAACTTGTAAAAAATTACAAATCTAGGTTATGACACCTTCGCATACCACAAATACTCGTAAAACCGGCTGTTAGTGCAAATTAATTGTTCTAAATATAATTATAAGTTTTTGTCGCTCGAGGTCAGCCGAGGATCGGGGAGAGGGGTGAGATCAAAAGGAATGGCAAAAACAAAGTAAGTCTTGTCTTCACGCTCCATTACTGTCTCTTTCTTTTATTCTCGAGTCAAATTTTATTCTCGAGAGTGTGGCGAACAAGGGGGGGGTGAAGGAAGAAGATTCAAGTTGTTCACCAAAAACTTTTATGCTCTTGTAGGCGACTGTAAACGTTTTCGCAAAAAACTTGTCTTATTTGGTCTAATTATTGGGTTTTACTGGAGGAGAGGTTGTTTTAGTTCGATTTTGGTTTGGTTTATTGTGGTGTTAAGGTGGGGTTGTAGCTGTATTAATCTTTATGTTAACGTGGGGTTCTAGCTGTATTTATTAAAATGTAGAGTTAGAGTTGAAACTGTATTTATTGTAATTATTAGAGCTGACTAACATACTATGTATGACCAGCTCAACCATCATATAATATCCGCTTAGTTGCTTTGTTTATAACGAGAGTCTGGCATAGGCACAGCCAGATGAAAAGATAAATTATACAGAAGAGGATGGGCAAGGGGATGTACCTGGTTGGATGGGTGGGGGTTTGTGGGAGAGCGTAAAACTATGGTCTAAAACATGAAGTTGGGATCTGCTGAACGTGGTGTTTCCTAGCTAATTTCAAAAAAAATTTAAAATTTACCGGTTTGTTGAAAAACGTTATTTTTTCATCATCTTGCCCTTTATCCCTTTATGTCATAATCGCTTGCCATGTGCTAGGTAAATAATGCACATTCTCGACCTCTTTCTTCTCTGTTATACGTTTCTATAACTAACTCTTGATCTACACATTTTTGTACTAGTTGTTAGCAAACAGTGAAAAAAATTAGTATGTCCCTTGATAGTGTGATAATTCCTTTATAATGACAGATTCCTGACCGTCTTTTGTAATAAAAGTCTTATCAAAAAGCACCTGAGCAGTATGACACCATGGTTATAAGGACTGACTTAAACCAGTCCTTCGAGTGTCATACTAAAGAGATTTAACTGTGGACTTGGGAGTATAGTGCATTTGAAGGATGCGGTTACTACATCATGTTTCAGAGGCATCACTATATATTTTAAATTTACCTATCGACCACTAACTACTACAATTTAATTACTACTACTACGCTAACTAAAAATTATATTTACTATTACTAAAACAACTAAAAAATAACTTCTACATGCTATTGCTTACAAAACACTGTGTAAAAGCCTAAGAGAGCCACCTGTTGACAGTTGGAGCATTACGATACTGTCATGGAGTTGCTCTCTTAAGATGGTACACAGATGTTTAGACACAAGTACTATTATTACTATTCTTTATGTTGAATAAGCATGAAGTTAGGTATAGTTTTTGTGATTAAGATGATGATAAGTTTTTTGTGATTAAGATGATGATAGCTGAATGGTAAAGTAAGTTGTTGGTCTAAGCCTAAAATTTTTTTTTGAAAAGGTGGACATGATCCATTATGTTGCTTTAGAGGTTTTTTTTTAATTTACCCTGCTTCTGTAGGAAAATGTCGCGACGTGAGCGTAAAACATTTTTCCCTGGCTCATTTTTGGACTGACATTGCCCAAACTTTCACATTTTGTTCAAAAAAATGCTTCACAAAACTTCTTTTTCAAAAATTATCATGCTTTTTTTCGAAAAAAATTCGAAAAATATTAAAGTATATTCAAATTTTCACTATTCCCCACGATTATTCGCTTTTTACAAAAATTTGCATAATCCGGCCAAGACTTGTCGATTCAAGTTGAAATTCAGCGGTACAGGCGAAACTTCTCAGTCTAATGCATCGTCGTCTCGGAAAGTGGTCGGTTACCTTTGGATCTGGTTGGAGAAATCAATACAATCAGCCAAACAACTGTCTGCGTGAATTGTCAAGTGTTACAATGGTATGTTGGTATCTTATCTTGTTGGGCTTGATCTTTGGTGTTTTCGACTTGCTTTTGATGGTCTTACTGTGGCTTTTCTCTAATTTTGTTACGTTATTTTGATCTTCATTATTTGAACAGGTCCTCCTTGTTGATCGTTTGAAATTTTTTAAAATTTTTAAACTTTCAACTTTATTTTTTCATAACATTAGTAAAATTACCTTTTCCTCTGCTACAATGGACCGCCTAGCCCTATTTGCAATCTCACAATTGTTGTATCAACAGGGAAAAACTTAACCCAAAGGGAGGGAAAAACTTGACCCGCACCAGCTTTTCCTAGACACGAGCAACGGGCCGGGCCTGAGCAAAATCGAAAACGGGCCGGGCTTGAAAATTGGGCCCGGGCCCGAAAAAAAAATTTTAAATTTTTTGAAATTTTTTATTTTACTTCCCGTTTATGTTTTTTGGTTTTATTGGATTCTATGATCCATAAATGACCTAAAAAAAAACAATTTAAAGCCGAATTTCCGTTTAGTTTTAAGTTTTAAAATTTTTAAAATTTTTTAAAACGGGCCGGGCCGGGCCTAGAAATTTTCTGATCGGGCCGGGCCGGGCCTGACCAAAATCAAAAACGGGCCGGGCCTAAAATTTAGGTCCGGCCCGGCACGTTGCTCATGTCTAGCTTTTCCAATTTTTCGGCTCGAATATTTGGCTGATGTTCAATATTAACATGTCTTCCTAATTGCTTTTTGTACATTTTATATTCGATATTAAGCCTAAAATGCCGATTTCAGAAGTCTGGTTCACAACGCGCGATAATATGCATTTTGATAGTGGCTATTGGAATAACAAGCCTTCTTCCTGCGACTGAAGCTAAAGCCGAATTCGACGAACAATGTTTGGATTCCGTCGCCGGTACTACTGGGTACTTAGTGTACAAAAAGGACGGCAAGATTAAGATCTTCAAGCAGGAATCATCGGAGAACGGTGAGTTTTTGGTGTTTGATATTGTGATTGATCATATTATAGGAGTTTGGTATTGTGATTGATCATAGTTTGAGTTTTCGATATTGCGATCAAAAATGACGTGCTTTTATTCAAATTTTAGAGCAATGCGGACAGGAAATCTTTGTTAACGTCAGGCCGGACGATAAAAAGGGAGAGATTGTGGACTGCACGTTGTTTCATATGAATGATCCCCTCATGCTGGTTGTATCATGTTATTACGACAAGGGAGGTGGTCACGATCTGTCGTTCCTTGGCGTATACGAAGTGTGAGTTATTTTGGGTAACATAAACGTACGAGGTGTGAGTTTTACTGAACATAAATGTACGAATTGTGATTTGAGTAACACAAACGTATGAAAACTATAAAGTCTAAAGCAACTTTGTTTCAGGAAGGCTTGCAAGTTTGACAAGTTATACGAATACGTCCGTGAGATGCCACACGAGGGGGTTGGAGCTATTTGTTTGAGCGAACCTAAATTCCAGAATTGTGGTAAAGATTTTGCCAAATGTGTAGATGTATGTTTTCATAGTTATAGGCTTTTTATTTTTATATTTATATACATTTTAAGTTTTATAATCATACACATGTTTAATTGCAATTTTGTCAATTACCTACTTGTCTAATTCTAATGTTCATATAATACTTAATTATAATAATTTAGTAATAATTGTTGTTTCAGGGCCAGCCGGAGGAAGGTGTGTTCAAAGTGTTTGGAAGTGGGCAATGCATCGCCGGATACCTGGAGATTTTAAACCTAGCTGTATACAACGGCATAAGAAAACGTTTTGTAGTTGACCAAGCTGATGGTAAAACGGCCTATATTGAGGTAAGGACATGGTCAGTGACGATCAGGCAATTTTGGTTTTGTGTGAGGTTTAAAAGTGTTTTTTGTCCAGCTGCAGTCTGAAAGGCATTTCTTGTTTACTTGTAGACTAAACTTGATTTTTTGTCCGATTATAGACAAGCATTTTTTTTTCATAATTTAACAAGGGCCAACATGATCTTTAAAAAGGTCACCTTTATGGAGAATTTGAGAATTCGCCGTTGTATTCAAGTGTACTAAGTCTTTCTTGATGAATATGTAATATTGTTGTTTCAGAACCACTATTTGAAAAACGCAGGTAGTTTGGTGGGAAAGTACGGACCGGTTTTGTTGACTAAAAAAGGCGATAGTATCTATACGGCTGTGTTGTAAGTCATTTTTTTTCTGTACTGTAAAAAGTTGAGATAACTCTACTTTAAAGGAAACACAACTGTCCAGTTACCAGTGGGGAACAGGAGGTTTTGATTTATTTTTAGAGGCAAGGCCTTGCCTAAAAATCTAAACAATTCTTTTCAGCGACCACATCAAATGTATTCGAAAGCTAAAGGTTAAAGGTTCTAATGGCGAATTGATTGGCTACACGATCGATTTGGCCACGTATGCCAAGAAAGCGAATGAAGTGTATGCGGCGGCCAAGAAACAGAACACCACTTGTCTCAGCAAACGAAAAATCGGCGTCCTCCTCGCGTACGGCACGGACGGCTACAGGGCACGAGTTAAAATGCTTGACTCTAGTTGGTGCAAGCCGTGAGTTGATTTTTTTAGTGTTTTGTGCTATCTTTATGGGAATTATGATGTTAATTAAACATGGTACAATAATAAAAAATTCAAAAAGGAAATTAAATTAATTTTAAATCGAAAAATGTCAGGTTATATCTAAAATTTGCATTTTAGACAGATTGAAAGTGTCATAAAGGGTGCTAGTATAGTGTTAGCCGTGATTACCACATTACTGTTGGGTTCGTGTATCGCTATCTTCGCCTCCATTTATGTAGGCAAAGGAATGATGATAAAGGAAGGAAGACCGTTGCCGCCAAAGCCTTGGGGTAAGTTTGATTTTATACGTTTGATGGTGTAAAGTATTGCTTTTTTTACGTTTACTGGTATAAAGTAGTGCTTTTTCGCGCTTGATGGTACAAAATAAATGGTTCTTTAACAAGTCCTTGAGTTTGATGCAATAACACTTCCTTTTTTTCACTTATGGTGGTATAAAATGGTCGTTTTTCAGAGAAACGCCGTGGCAATGACAGTTTGATGACCGCCGGAGTTACCGAAAATGCCTCAGCCTATGGTACCGTCGCTACCACCGTATCCGAAGCCGATGCTTCCCAGATGTCTCAGGCCTCACAGGCTTCGCAGGCGTCTCAAGCTACCCCCTCCAGTGCCCCCGCTTAGACCAACTATCGAAGTGTGCTACTGATCTCCCCCAGTTATTGCGGACTATATTTGGAAATAAATTTTTGTAAAGTAACAGTATTGTAATGTGATTTTGTGTTGTAGATTTAATGTTGAATGTTTTGTCATTTTGTACGTAATATAGCTTTCATCCCTGTAAACGATAATGTAAATTTTGATATTGGATATGCGAGTAACGTTAGTCTTCTTCCATCGACCAGCCGAATCTATCGTATGCCTATATTGAGCGGCGGCATATAATTACAATAAAACTGAGAATAACCCAAACCTTTCTCATGAGTACATTTGACATGGATCACCACCCACTCACCCCATCAGCCTCCGCTTCCCGAAATCTCTCTTATCTCCGCGTTGGCCGCGATCTCTGAGCCGCGCAACGTTCTTGAATTTCGTTTGGATCCAGAAGAAGGGACACCTCTCGAGACTGCCTTCATTCCCAAACAGCTTGGCCCACAACACGACTTGAACATGGCTGACGACGAGCAATAGTAAGTTTTCTAAAACGAGGTTTATATTACTGATATTAATATAGTGAAGAATCAAGTCCATTATTATTATCACATTGATAAAGGCAACCCAGGGACGTCGTTTGGGGGAGGGGGGGGGGTACCCCCTCCCCCAGAGCTGATCCGAAAAAAATAGCACAGGTAGGTACGCGAAAAAACGAAAAAAAAAATTTTTGAAAAATCGGTCCACAGGTCCCTACCTGTGGACGAAAAATTTTTTTTCGACGTCCCCCTTCCCCAGAGAAAATCCGTAGCGACGTCCCTGAGGCAACCACCTTCCTTAAAATGAATAACGAGCCATGTAGGTTTAGCCTGCGCCGGTTTCGAGCTAAAATGAAGGGCCGGGCCTATAAATGACGGCTCTCTTTATCCTTTCGAATATTAAGATAACGAAGTGCCAAAACTTTTTCCTTCTTTTTGATGTGGCGTTATCAATATATATCTTGTTATAATCAACAAACACCTTGGTTTTTTATTCAGTTTTAAATTATTCTGTAAAAAAGCCGATCTAATTTCAAAATTTTGATATTATACTTGATATTTTAGCAGTGAAGAGGAGGAGTACGAGGAAGAGGAAGAAGAGGTAGAAGCCGAGGAAATCTCCAAGTAAGTTTTTATAATCAACTTGTCAAAACTTTATGTTCCATTAATTTTAAAATTAACTGAACCTTTCTTAACTTCAAACTCCACTTTTAATCTCAAACTCTTATGATATTATCTTAGACCAGCCGAGCCGAAGCCAGCTGCTGCTCCCGCCGCTCACGACGACGATGTGGACGAGTCCAACATGACCGAAGCCGAGAAGGCGATGCTGGATGCGAAGCGTCGTCAGAAAGAAGAGGATGAAGCCAAACTTCAGGATTACGAAGAACGCCGCAAAAGCGAACGTGAACGTGAGGAAGAAGAGCTGAGACTGCTGAAGGAGAAGCAAGAACAACGGCGGATTCAGCGTGAAGAAGAGGAACGTGAACAAGCCGAAAGAAGGAAGCAGGAGGAGGAGAGGAGGAAACAGGAAGAGGTATGGATCTTGTTTGTTGAAGAAAGGTTTGAAATTCAAAAAATATTAAAAATCGTGTAAAAAACTTAAAACAATATAAAACATTTAATTTAAAAATATTAGTCATTCTTTGTATTATATTTGATTACTATACCTCAAGATACCTTCAGGAAGAACGAAAAGCCCGTTTGGAAGAAGAACGAAAGAAGAAAGAGGAGGAGAAGAAGAAGAAGGCCGCCTTTACTGGTGCTTTCCCAATGGGACAAGGCACTGGTCCCAACTTTGTTCTGCCAGAAAAGAAGGACAAGGGCAATGACAAGTTCGGAAACATTGTCCAAGCCAAACAAGAGATGGGAATGACCAAGGAACAGCAAGAAGAGGCCAAGAAAAACCATTTGGTGGTGATCGAAGGTGGCATGAACTTTGACGGTCTCTCTGGCAGCGAATTGAAGGCCAAGATCAAGGAGATGCATCAGAAGATTTGCAAGTTGGAGGCCGAGAAGTATGACCTGGAGAAACGTCACGAACGTCAGGAGTACGATGTAAGGTTTATCAAAAGTTTAAAATTTTTTGCTTTTTAAAATTTTTGTACTTCAGGAAGGGTAAGCTTACTATAATTTCGAAAAATTCAAACTGAAACATTGAAATTTGCTCGTTTAGCTGAAAGAACTGAACGAACGTCAACGTCAAGTAGCTCGTAACAAGGCGTTGAAGAAGGGTCTTGACCCCAGTGACACCGAAAACTCACGTTACCCACCAAAAGTGTCCATCTCCTCGAAATACGACCGACAAATCGACCGGAGAAACTTCAAGGAACGCCGTGCTGTTTTTGACAAAGTAGGTTGACTCTAGTTATAGATTGAGTTAAAAACGAGAAGTTTCTAACACTTGATAGTAATCCTATCTAGAAGTACTACAAGTTTATTACGTTTAGTACTGTATAGTATTAATTAAAAGTTTTTTTAACAAATTTGCAAAATTCAATACAAAAGTTTTTTTGAATTTAGAAAATTTAAATTAAAATTCAAAAATTTAGTCCTATGCCTACCCCTGCTTCCCCAATATCCCACCCCCGCCTGTTATACTGGAATTCAAGCTTCAAAAAGGCTCCGAAGCCGGCGACGGTGAAGGCGAACAAAATGTGGAAGAGGTCGAGGAAGAGTACGACGAAGAGTAAACTCATTTTCGCGTTTCACACCTCAATTTTAATTTTTTAAAAATTTCAATCAATAAATCTTTCATTTTTATTTGAAAAAAGGTAAAAGGATCTTACAACGAGAGTGTACTTATTCTGGTATCGAAAAACTTTCCCTAAACTGTAACTAAATTTTTGAAAATGAAAGTACCCGACCTGCCCAGCTCTGATTGACTTCAGAATTTTCTTATAGTATGATCATGTAAGTACAAGACCTTCAGAAAAGTACAAAATTGTGCTTTCTAATAAACCTCGAGAAAATCGAGCTCAAAAAGTTTTGATTTTCTACTAAATTGGCATTGCGTTTCAGGCTTATAACTTCGTCATTTTTTAACTTTTAGTCATTTTTCTTTCATATACTAGTAGGAAACTTTTAAATAAACTTACAATTTTGTATTGTAAGTGTAGCTTATGTGGAACAAAGTGCTTTGAAGGTATGATGGAAAAAGTGCTTGAAGCACAATGTCACAGTTATCAAATTGGGGGTGGTACAAAGAACCCAAAAAAAAACTGAGCTGATTTTGAGCAGGGCAGGTTCGGTACTTTCCTTGTAAGATTTAAAAACTCAATCTTTTGGACTTTGCAAAATGAAAATCGTGCGTGTCTCGCGCGCCAAACAGATTAACAAATGTCAAACTGTGAAAACGGTATTAGAAATTGCGTTTTCAATGCGAGAGATGATTTTTCTTGTAACACGAGATACGAACTTGTACGTTTTGGCAGTTTACAAGCTTTTGAGCTAGGCTTAATTTTTTATGAAAATTGCAATTTAAAATTTTTAAAAAACTGTAAGTTTAGCGGCTGAGCAGGGCCAGTGGATGATTGTGTGGGGTTCATCATCCTCATTTTTTTAAATACCGGTATCATATGTGATTAAAAATTGTTTTTTATTCATTTTAAATTATTTAAAATTTAAATATTTTTAAATCAACGACAGTTTGTAAGTCGTATTTTACATTACTTTAACGTATAATTTTAAAAGCCCATACTTCCTTATCACTTGTGTGATCAACTCGAACAAGATTGACCACTCTCTACGCTTTTGACCCTTGACGCCCTCTAACTTTAGTTCAGGTCTTTTTTTTACGAATTTAAAACATTTGGTAACAAGTACTTCCGTTCTGTCACTACTTAACCCACGAGTTACACAACTGTTGTAATAATTGTTTTTGTAAAGTTCAGTGGGCTTTTTTGAGTATGGTACAGTGAAATATCTGTAGTACGATTTGCAATAGTGCGACATCCTCTTTATAATGACAGTTTTCTGACGGCCTTTTGTAATAGAAATTAAAATAGGTACCTGGGTAGTGTGACACCTGGGTTAGAAGGACAGGTTTGGACCAGTCCCTTGAGTGTCATACAAAAGAGATTTGACTGAACTGTTCTTAACTTTCTGTAAAAGTATACGCTGTATAAACTTGTTATAGGCTATTTTTTGAGCATGACATGTTTTTAATATAATTGGGAGGGGGCGGGGGATTTTAATAGGTTTTGTCAAGACTAGCTAATTTGTTATTGTACCTATTGATTAGCTTTTTGATCTAGCACACAAGAGCTGGCTTTTTTGATTTGGTTTTCTATTATCTAATAACTAGATCAACATTACATTTCCATGCTATAATCTTACAATATGTGTAAAAGGAATCTGTCTCTTTGGAGACTTCGCCAACAGTCATAGTTAATTATAATATATATCCATTTTATTACCACTTTATGTTGTTGACGCCGAATAAATAAATAAAATATTATAATATCCAGAAGGGGATCAGATATTAAAATTTGTTTAAAAAAATTTTTGTGCGGTAGACTGTGTAACAGAGGTAAACCGGGCCCAATCCTTCGCCCCGGCCTTTTTAAATTTGTTTTGGCCTTCTTTGAGGCTTAGGTGGGAGAAGTGAATCTTTAAGTTTCTCATTGTCATACTTTAACTATAAGCATTGCACTGCACCAAGTTTCTTATAACAAAGCTGCTTTTTTCACTAATACTAGGACTTTAAAAAAGTCTTGTCGCTAATTTACCTCAATTTCCACGTTTAAAAGCGACAACACTTTCATACCACTTTTATAGCACACGTACATAGCTCTAATGTCCCTTTTATAGTACTCTTTTATCACCTTAATAGCACTATTTGTAAACTTTTTCAAACAAAAAACTGTGACTTTTAAAAACCGTTCGCCCCTCGAGCACTTTCACTACTTAACTATGCTACCAGTTCGCCTTTTGTTCTATTAAAGGTCTCAAGCAGCTGAACAGTCGGTCTAGCCGGAGACAAGATTAAGGAGAATATTGTTTGGGTCGCGCGATCTCCAGTTTTGTCCTCCGCGACAAACTCTCGAGGGGGTTTTAGAGAGGTCAGCAGAAAATAACTGAACGGTCAGTTGTTTGGAAAAACGGCTGCAAATCTGGAGCGGAAGCGGTCGATTTGGCCGGGGGGATTTTGAGGGGTTTATTAGTTTTTCAGAGGTTTATCAGTGTTTTTTTTTAAATTTTAAGGGGTGTTAAGTAAATTTTTTAAAATTTTTTGATAAGACACGGCAATGACAGTTCAAAAAATATTTCTTTTGTCCTAAGCGTGGGTTTAGAAGAGCGGGGTAAAAAATATTGAAGTTTAAACAAGTAGACCATATCAAATTAAAAAAGCGTTTTAAATTACTTAAATGCTGTGTTATGTTAGTCATAGTACGGAATTTCAAAAAACTATAGTAGAAACACACTCTCCAGAAGCCTTCAGTTTACCGTGGTGAATTCGGGATAATTCTGATGACTCATTTCCGCGCAATTCGTATAAAACCCTCAGGGCTAGAAAAATCTGGACTATGCGTTGTTTCAGTTGTTTTTATTTTTATTTTTTTTTAATTTGAAAATCTAGAAATTTTAATACATTTTGCTTTAAACCCTGAGGGTAGTTCACGAAACTTTTTTTAAAATTTTCCAAAAAAAAATTTTGGATTGTGCACATATTCGCCTAACTTTATATTACCAACCAACCGTTTGTGATTACCATTTCTTATCATTGCCAAAATAATTGTGATCAAAAATGAAAATTTCAAAGTTTTAGACACAAAATGATTTTACGGTTATCACGGGTGCTACAGCACACGATATGTTTGTTAATTGTTATCAGGATACACGCTGGGTATTACGAACTTACACAGAATGATATTGACACAGTGAGTGACACTATTGATTTTTGGTGATAAAAGTGTAATGAATATTCACCTTATATCTAATTTATATTAATTTAGCTATTGAAATTATTTTAAAATAAATGGGAGTTTGTAATAATTCCAATTTTTTCAGTATTTCGACGCAGATGCAGAAGAGCACGAAACAGTTTTGTCGCCAGAAGACTTCGCCGCAATGTCAGAATATGGGCTGGATTCAGAAGCACCAGCTGACGATCTCTGGGACAGTGATGCCATGTACAATCATGACAAGTTCGAGGGTGATATTGCGAATGATGTAGGTGGTTTTAAATGGCATTTTAGGCGTTTTTAACTAATTTTTTAAAAAATTATTAATTTTTTCTCAAAAAATTGGTTTTTAAACTAAAACTTGCACAAACCTACAAAACTAAAAAAAGCAAAATTTCAGTTAAATGCCTCAACCGTGACCACATTCATCCAAGGCGGTCCAGTCAACACCAACTCCACCAACACCCAACTCAATGCCATCAGAGATCGTCGCCAGCTGTGGAAAAACGGTCGTATCCCCTATGCCATAAGTTCCCAGTACAGTGCCTACAGTAGGTCAGTGATTGCTTCAGCAATGCAAGAGTACGCCACTCATACCTGCATCCAATGGTCACCTCGTACTGCCAATGACAAGGACTATGTTTACATTATGCCGGATCGAGGTTGCTACTCGATGGTGGGCCGAACTGGTGGCCGACAGACATTGTCGTTGGGTAATGGCTGCATTCAGAAGGGTATTATCATTCACGAGATGATGCACGCTGTTGGGTTTTTCCACGAGCAATCTCGGACTGACAGAGACAACTACATCACCATCATGTGGAACAACATTCAGCCAGGAATGCAAGGCCAGTTCGAGAAGTACAGTTCAGTGACCATCCAAACATTGGGTGCTGAGTACGACTTCTCGTCGATTATGCACTATGGGCCTAAGGCGTTTAGTCGAAACGGCATGCCAACTATAGTACCAAAGCGAAAGAGTAATATTGGTCAAAGAAGTGGCTTCTCCCAGACTGATTCTTTCAAAATCAACACTTTGTACGAATGCCCTAACCGAAACACTAAAACAGTAGTACCAGTGGCTCCAGTAGCGCCGGTTTCCGCCACTCAATCCCCGAGTGTCATCGTACTAACCGTAGCACCACATACTACAACACAAATGCCTACCCTAGCCACGGCCGAACCCTATGTTAGTACGGAAGCACCAAAAGGAACACTAGCACCAATCCCAGCGGCCAACTGCTCCAACTCAAGACCAGACTGTGAACAATTGGCACAACAAGGCTGGTGCCAAAGGAACCCGCCTTGGATGAGAGATAACTGCCCAGCTGCTTGTGGAATGTGTGAGAAGGCGGCGGCCTGTGAAGATCTTCGAGTGGACTGTCCGGAGCTGGTGAAGCGAAGGTACTGTATCACGGCTCAAAACTTTTCAAAAAGTTTTTGCGCCAAAAGCTGTGGATTCTGTTTCGCGCCGCCAACAGAGTCAGCGAGCACGCTGATTGCGGGTTCTGGAGTTACACAACCAACTATTGCTACACGACAGCCGTTGGTCACGTTCTGGCCTAACAAGTGAGTTTTTAAACGTAGTGAGGGGCAGTTGTAACATATCTTTGGGAAATGGAACTACTTATAACATATTTTATATTTAAAAAGGAGTATAATTTACTTTATTTAATATTTTCGGTAACAATCAAAAATTTTTGTTTCCTAAAATAACTCACACCTGAATTTTATAGAAATAGCGTTCTTACAAAAGCTGTGTAACTTATACTACTTTTTAAATAAAGTTGTATCTAAAATAAAAACATTTTGTTACCTAAAATAACGCTCAAAAGAATAAATCAGTCTTTCTGAAAGGTAATTCAATTTAAATCCCATTTAATTATTTTAAAGGTACCTAAAAATCAACAGAAAACTAAAAAAAACTTACCTGAATATCTCCGGTAACCAAAATCGTGCTCTTTGCTTCGATCTTCATATTACCCATGAGTTTTTGTGAAAAATTGACTTCATATTGTTCGGTTTGACCTAAAAATATTGATTATTAAAAAGAAATAATATTTTAAAGACCAGGTAACAATTACATACCTAAATAAAGTTTAAAAAAGGTAATAATTGGGAGATAAAACATGAAAACTTCTTGGAAACGAAGTTTTTTTTCAGAAAAATAATTATTTTTTCGTTTTTCACAGATTTTGGTCGTTTTTGAGATAAAATGTCAAGTTTTTCAAACATTTTTCTGGTTGTTTATGTTCTCTTGAGTAGAATGCGTATTAATTTTGCTTTTGAATAACATGGTAGTTAGTTTTGTTTTAAAAACTAGTAAGAAAAGGCTTGTTTAAGGTCTGGTTTGTATAAAATATGTTAGGCTTAACTTGTTTTGTCAAATGCTTTGTGATTTACCCTTCTTGGCCTCTAAAAAACTTACTATAATATAACATCCAACTTTTAAAAAAATTTTTACAAAGTTTTTCAATATAAAATCAAACTTTCTGAAATTCCAGGCCAAGCTTGCCAGTAGCCTCAACCTCTGCTCCATCAGTACCATTGACGTCGTGTCGCGACAAGAAACACTTTTGTCCGCATTGGAAGTCGGCTGGCTTCTGTTCCGGCATCTTCCAGCCTTATATGCGGCAAAACTGCGCAAACTCGTGTGGATGGTGCTGAACCTTAACTTAGAGTTATGTTATGTTAGCCATGGCTTAAGTTTATCTTATGTTAACCATAGCTTAACTTTCTGTTATGAAATCATAATTTAACTCTATGTTATGTTAATCATAATGTAACTTTAAGTTATGGTTATCATAATGTACTTTTTCGTTAACTATTGTACTGACAAGTATAATATTGTGATATCTGTGCTGATATATGTGATAGCGCTGTGATATATGTATTATAATAAGTTATTTGACGTCTTTAGAATCATGTTTATATTGTAATAATTATTGTTTATTCGAACCTCATAATAAACCTTCACAAAGTTAAATTTAGGTGTTTTAGGAATTGATAGTAGAGGACAAGGAGAGAGGAGAAACCTTTTTTTTGGTCGTATGTATTATACGATAACGTATAATTGTAATTTTTTGGTTTTGCACGTATTTAGCTACGTATAATCTTATTTTAGAAAAAACTCTATTGGGCAAAGTCGGGATAATTTAATAAATTTATGGCCAGAAACATGCGTATTAGCTACTATAACATATTGGCATCTCTCTGGAGATACGAATATAGTCAAATTTACTGTTTTAATGGTCGAAAATGGTCGTTTGAACTTAAAAATGTAAAAAAATTTTTTTATTATTTGTTTTTACTGGGTGTTATATAGTACATAATAGTACTGTTTTTATTACTAATAAGGTTGTTTTTTTTGTTGTATCAGAAGGTTTAAAATGGATATAAGTAGGGTACCAAGCGGTAAAGTTTTGCAATACGTTCAAGTTTTGTAAAGTAATGAATTATTTACTTTAACATTACTAATTTAGGTCCAAAAGTTGTGAGAACGGTGTTGTTTGTTACCTTTGAGAATGTTTCACCTGGCACAGCCTTTACTTTCCCATGAAAACAGATGTATTTTATTTAAATTTCGAATTTTCACGAATTGTTGGCTTTTTCATCGTCTGAATCATGTAGTCTTACAGGTGATAACAGTTCATTTATTGTTGTGCTTACATTTTTAATTTTTAAAGACTTGTTTGAAAAATTCTTCTGTAACAACTGATGAGTAAAGTACGTCAGGACTGAAGGCAAGTTGAAATGTTATTTATGATATGGCCAGCGGGTGGTAATGCTAAAACATGGCCAGGCTTAAGCTAAGTTAGGATTTTAGAGCTATGAGTGCGACTGGGACTACGCCTTGGGGCCTAGGGTTAAGCTAGAGCTAAGGCTATGGTTAAACCTATGAGCTACGGCTATAGCTAAGGCCAGGACTAAGCCTAGGGGTTGGGCTATGACTAGTGTTAGTGCCAGGGCTATATCTAAAGCTAAGACTAGAACTGAGGCTAGGGATAGGTCTAAGACTAGGGCTATAGCTAGACCTGACGGTGGGGCTAGGGTTAGTGCTAGGCTAGTTATAGGCTAAGGCTAGAGCTCAAGCGCTAAGGCTAAAGCTAAGCGTAAAATATGGCTAGAGCTAGGACTAGGACTATTGCTAAGGACAAGGCTAAACCTAAGGCCAAGGCTAAACCTTGAATAAGGCTAGGGTTAGAACTAGGGCTAGGTTATTTTTCTATAAATAACCGTAGGCGTTTTCCAAACATTTTTCCTTATTTTACATTTCAGAGTTCACAATCCTGAGAATTTTACTCCTCAAAAACACTGTATATTACCCATTCTCTACTTTACTCTTTTACACTAGCCATATGCAAATAAACACATACACACATTCGTGTTTGCTTTAAATACCTACACACAACAATAACATGTGTGCGTAGTTTTTTCGGCAAGATGAATATATGGCTTCACCTGGGAGAACGGCTAACATAATATTCACACTTTCGGCCGTTTTTATGTTGTTAATGGTAAGGGAATAGTAATGGAAGGTTTTTGTATTGGAAAGGTAGGGCGAAATTGAAGGGTGGGGGCACAAATTAAAAATGCAAGTTTAGTAGAACAAAGAACAGGAAAAGCCATTCTGACAACACTTATATGACAAAAGTGTTTTTCCTATTGGAAAAAATAATTTTTTGGCTAGTAAAAGAGCCAAAAATAGCATTTTTACTACCTAAAAAAAGAGAAAGTAGCTGTTTCAAAGGCTTGTGGTTTTAAAATTGCAGCCTATATTATAGTACATTTAAAAAGGGCTGTAAAATACAATTTTAAACATTTCTTGACTTTATTATTAAAATTTGTACGTATAAATAAATCTATTAGGTTGTTCAAATAATTCTGTGCTTCCAAAAAATGTTAGGACTTAAAAGGCACATTATTATTTGAACATCCTGTTACTGTTGTTTCTCAATGTTCTTGATACAAAAACAAGATAGTGTGTTGATTATAGCGAATCTTATCGTATTACGAGCTGACAGTATCACGAACTTACCGTAGCTAAATTTATAAATACAAAATTGACTTTAAATTATCACTAAAACAACGTTTTGTTGTCTAAAAATGTCTAAAACCCTTGAAATTTTAAATAAAACAATTCTAAACGTGAGCAAATGTTATGGTAGATGTCACGCAATTCAAGAGATTGTCAGGGTAATTAGTTATTATTACGAAATCTGTTTTGCTCATTAACTGCTTCAAAAGGGTTACTGAGCAGTTTTTTACTAAAGTATTTTTTCACACTTTTTCAAATTAGTTTTTTGTTACGAGTGTTAGTACTATCGTTTTTTAAATTTGGTTTTGTAATTTAAACATAGTATTTTTTGGGCTATGTTTGTTGAGTTATGGTTTGATTTGAGTATTGGTAGGCTAAATCTTGGTTATAGTACGGCTTGGAGAGGGCTTGTTTAAGCTACGGCTAGAGGTTGCTTAGAGTACAGTTAGGCTAGGGTGAAACTAGATTAAGGCGACAAAATGCTATGGAAATTGTCAATGTTGACTTATTTTTTGGATTTTTGTTAAATTCCAGTTTAAAGGTGCATTTGTTTACTAATAAGTTCAAAAAACAATATTGTAGACGCTTTTTTGAGGTTTAAAAGTTACGTCGATGCTCTTTTGTGAGGATTTGTAACTGTTTTTGTTCAATAGTGCCTTTGTAAAAATTGGCTCAAAATTTAACGTGTTTTGGTGTCATCAGAATTTTAAAAGTAGAAGAAATAATAAATTCAAAATTTTGAAAAATTTATGCCAGGGTATCAAGATCTTTTTTATACTATAATAATAGTCCTTTATAAATACTATAATAAGATGCATTTTTAAAAACCAAATAATTTTTTTGTTAATTTAAATTCACTTTTGTACTTTTAAAATTGCTTTCATTTTACCTTTATCTTGTGAATACTATAACATTTCATGTTATAAACGGTACAAGATAAAACAATCATCGAGTCCAAAATGTCACAATAAATAAAACACAAATAATCTTTTTTCTGTTGATTTATTACAAACATTGTTAATGGTCTTTGCTCTAAATCTGGCTAACAGAATCATTTCGTTACACACTTTTAATGTAAGACTTTTTTTAAATTTAAAAATAAGAAAAATTTTTTAGAATAATGTTAATATGGTGCACTGGTCCTGGTGAGAAGGGGATGGGGAAGTAATTTTTGTTTAACAATTCCTATCTACCAAAGACAGGGCTGATCGCAGAATCTCCCCTTGCCTTGCCTTGCCTTGCCAAGTCCTACTTTCACAATATTTACTATTACTTTTGCCATTTATACATCACGTTTCCTACATTTCTACCCCACATTACAAAATGCTATAATTAAACTTTACGCTGTAACTTTCTCCAAAGACCATTACCAAATGACATTTAATCTCTGAACACTACAACATTCCAAAGTTGTTGCCAGGCTGACTTCATTCAAAGGTTCACAGTGTTTTCATTTGTTGTTTTGTTTGTTATATGCACTAGCATATTAATCACATTGCCATGGCGAACAGTTTAACGAATTTTTTTGGGCCGACTGCTTGAACTTTTGCCTTTTTTCAACTGTCTGCGAATATTTATGGCATCCCCTGTAATGGGTCCTTGGGTTTAAAAATGGATATGACATTTGTTTGGTGTTTTGCAAAGAAAAGTTGTTTTTGATGAATATGGTAGTTATGTTGAAGTTTAGGTATAAATATAGATTGAGGGGGGGGGGGAGTCAGTGAGTATGAGGTCTTACTGTAGCTTAAGTAAAGTTTTACTGTAAATTATGTAAAATTTACAGGGCTATAAGCTAGGGTTCTGGGGTAGCGTTCTAGGCTAGGGCTTTGTGCTAGGGTTCTGGGGTAGGGCTCTTGGTAGAGCTTTGGGCTACGGCTCAATTTAGCGTTCAGGTTCAGCTCTAAGTCTAGGTCTAGGCCTTGGTGCAAGTCTACGTTCAAGTCCAACTCCAGCTTCAAGTCCAGGTTCATGTCTAGCTCCAGATCTAAGTCTAGGTCTAGATTCAAATTCAGGTCCAAGTCTAAATCCAAGTTTAGGTCCACCCCTATGCTTAAATAAATTCAGTTTCAGGTGTATGCCTGGGTTTAGAATAGGACTGAGGTAAGGTACTTAAAAATTTTTTTCAAAGAATACTCTACCTTTCTATTAAAACAAAGTCTAAACAAACTCAATAAATCAACCGGATTAGACTCCTAGAATCACTTGCATACCACTATAACCACTTTTATAACTCTGAACATGCAAACAAAAAGAACGGAGCGGCGAAACAGCTGCAGTCGAGTAGAGTTATTCGCTTTCGATCATCCCGAAAATAAAGTTAGACGTGAATCGACGTGAACTTGCTCTCCAGTTTTTGTGGTTTTCCCTTCTGAAATGTGTCACTTTTTGGCGCCATTTCAAAAAACTTAGCCAATTATTCTCCGAACTTTTGTCGCGTTTTTTATTGTCTGTATTGTTTTTTTGCAGGTCGTCTAGACTGTAATGGTTGGGGGTTTTGTTGGTTTAGATGAGGTTGGAATTAGCTGTTGATAGTTAATTTTAAGAAGGCTTGGATCGTGCAGATTAAAAAAGTTACATACCAAAGTTATAATCATTTTAGGCGTTTCTTTACAGTATTGCTAGATTTATG